AGCTCATTCATCTATCCGCCTTCTTACGTCAGAATGCAATCTCGGTTATCAATTTCATTTCATCCGTATTTCATGTTTTGCACATGCCATTTGGACATCAATAATTAAACACCTTCTCTTTTATTTTCCCTCCCTAAACGTTTATATATTATCCCAAAACTTCAAAAAAATCCCCACATCAAATGTCACAAAAACCACTCTGAAATAAAGACTAAGAATTTCCCCTTTCTGAGCTCCTAGATATCGAGCGTAATTACGCAAAAGAAGAACTACTATAATATCTTTCCATGCAATTTTACACTCTGTCATTATGTTTTTTGGTGAGTTTTTTCATCTTAATTATCTTCACACTAGATATACTAGCTGAGGGAAGCCGCACCTCGACTGGAACCAGGGTATGGTGGCTCTTTTTTTGATATATAATTTAATATGTTTATATTTAATTAAGTCTAACATATGTTTTGAATTTAAGGTGTAAGCTAATATGTAGAATTGTAGGGAATTGATTTGGTCATTTATTTGTTGCATTTGTTAGTTTCACTAAATTTAAATAAAGCTAAGTCTTTGAATATAATATAATAAGTTTTTTTTTCTTGGCAAAATTACATATTGATGACAAATATATTAAATTAAAATGAACGATTGCAACTAAATTTATAGAAAAAACTTATTAATGACAGTGAAAAAGTAAGCCAAAATGATGCATTTGTCGTCAGGTATTAACTTATAGAACACAAACAATTCTATGTTGCAAAATTAGTAAAAGATCAAGAAAATCAAATGTTGTGTAAATGTAAGAGACTAAGAGCTGCTTTACAAAGAACATACCTTTAGAAACTTATTTTACAAGATATAAGTCAAATTTGGATTTTCTGCAAGCATTATCTGAAATCCTAAAAGTGAAAAGAAAAAGGTCATCTTCAGATTGTTGTTTTTCCCCCTGCAAGTCAGCTAGCGAAGTTCTAATGTTTTGCATTTAATCTACTGATACACTTTGGTATTTTACTGGTTAAGTGAGTGATATACTAAAATGAGTAATGCCTTCTACTTCTTGAAGCTGTTAACTTTGTCATTTCTCCTGCATTCATACATCATTCATATTTTCAACACCACCACCACCAGCTCCATGTTTCAGCCTCATATTAGCAAATTCACCTTTCAGTGTATTGATGGTTGCTGATATAGAACTTTCATGGAATCCAGATTGCAAAGCCTTGATTGAACCGGACAAATCCAAGGTACTGTCACCACCAGATGATGTTATAGCTCGGGCCTGTTCAAAGAATAAAACCTACACGACCATCCGCAATGGTAGTAGTTTACTTTGCACCGCCTGTGATTGCTCACAGAGTTCAGTTTTCTCCGAAAGAGAGAATGAGCATGCGTTTGTTAAGTACAATATTGTAGGTTTTCAACTTATTCATCGAACAAAAGCGATTCAATCTCCAAATTCTCGACATGAATTTAAATATTCAAATAAATGAAGACCATAAAGAAAAAGCAGGGATTTGTATTAAAAACTACCCTTGAGATTAACATCAATAGCATAGTATGCGATTGTGTTGGGGGAGGGGAGGAATTTGATACCATTTTTGCTAAATTCATGTTTGACAAAGGTAAACCTGGAATCTCTTGCAGCTTCAGCAAGGTACCCATCAACTAATCTGGTCACACTTCGTTTTAGATGCATCTAATATTACTGTAGGACAGAGTGTCGTGACAAAAAATTACAGAGTTCACAAACTTTTTACAGAACATTATTTATGCTTCAACAAAGCAATCAATGAGAAATCCTGCCACAATTAACGATGATACTTATAATATTATGATACAGAAAATCTCATTTTAAACTTGACATGGATGCAAATGAGTGTACATTTGTGATGCTGAAGAATTCATATATTGTATTTCAGAGTATAGAAATTACTTAAATAAAGCTAAAATGAAGGTTATGAAAAATAGTCTGCTGGAAAATGTTGATCAAACTCAATAGAAACTTCATTTCTTGATTTTGAGGCTTCAATCACAAAGCTAATGGAAATCATTATTTGAGATGTGACCGCACCTGAATGTACAGCAAATATGAACATTTCAATGCTTAAAGCCATTGTCCCTTATAGCTAAATCATCTTCCAAATCATCTTCTCTTCCTCATTCAGATACATAGCATAACAAATAATGAAGCTAAGAAGCAAGAAAGAGCTACTCCTAACAGTTCTACTCTAAACAATTTAATCTAACAAGTTCCAACCAGATTTATAGGGAGGAGATTAGTAGGTTACCTTACCGAATTTTGAAATCTTGAGCTACGTACGTTTTCGAATTAAATCCCAACTTGAACAACTCTAAGGTCTCTGTTTTCCTCCCCTTTTGAATCAAAATTCCAACACCAACACCAAACTTTCTGTTTTTGCCCCTTTTCACGCAAAATAATGATTGGCAACAATAAGCTAACCTGAATATACCCCATTTCTTTACTCTATAAAAACCTCTCGATTAAAGGCCTTATTTCTTTTCTCAAATCAATTCAATTCAGTTGTACAAAATTAATACTGACTGCAATAATGAAAAGATCTAAAAACCGAGGCCTCAAAATGCATGAACTAACATTTACACTCTTCAATATCAGACCCGAGTATATAATTTCGGCACTACCTTACATGCATCAATCAAAAAGGAATGAAATTAAGCATTCAAATCAACTCCCTTTAAACCCTTGAATTTATTTCCCCAAAAATTCCAACCCTAAATTCCCTCTGTTCTTCTATCGGTGGACGGAGAACAAACCACACAAATTCACAAACACATTTACAAAGCAGAATACATTCGGTGACCAAAGTTATTAAAATCCCAAGCCTAAAAGCACACAAACCTCTGAATACCTGCTGCTTAATCCTGGAATCCTGTCGACCAACCGAAACTTCCGATCTGGTGATTTTAATTGTTCTTTTCGCTTAGACACAAACCACATGAAAGATTTACAATTAGAGGAAAAAAGGGGCGCGGTTACTGGAGTGAAACTCTGGTCTGTTTTGTTTTTCACGACATCTAACCAAAGGTCAAAAAATGGAGGAAACTGGCTACGGGGAAGAGAAGTTGCTCGTACAAAGGCCGGCCAAAAGGAAAAAAAGAAACGGTCCAACACCAAATTGCCACGTCAGTGATGTTTACCGACAACCCACCTTTAAACCACCTTTAACAGAGGAAACCGGCAACGCGGAATGGGGCGATTGAACTAATGGAGAGGAAAACGACAAAACAGAGACAGGTCTAATAGGCGTATGACACGTAGTCAATTTGTACTGTTAACTTGCAGTTAACCGTGCTAAGATTGTGGATTCTCCCTTTATATTATGTAGATAGATATGTAATGCTAGAATTTACATTGAAAAGCCAAAATTAACCGAATTACTTTTTTTTTTTTTTGTCCGATCCAAATGTCGTACGCATCCCTTTCCTTCCAGAGATACGGTCAATTTTCATAAGAAATTTTGTTTTAAAAAATAAAATAGTGTAGAAGTAAAGACGTCCAAGCATGGAATTGTTCATATTAATCTCTTATCTCAAATGTATTGAGTAAAAAACAAAAGTAATATACGAAATTGAATAATAACCTAGAGGAGGGATTCAGGTACTGTGCTTCGTGTAGATCATATCCTATCCTCACTCATGAGCTTATAACTCATAAGGGGGATTTTCTCGCATTTAAGTGGGTGAATTTTTTTAATTAATTTTTTTTTCTTCAAAAAAGAAGAAACGGTCTCGTTCACCTATGTATTAATCAGCGGTAAATCTCCCTCTCTCTCTCTCTTGAAGTATTAGATTAAATACAGTGGTAAATCTTGGTTTTCGTCATTTATTTATCTGTATATTCCATATCTTCTCTAAGATTTTTTATTTTTATTTTTGGGTGCGTCCAATCTTGGTTCTCATTTATTTATCTTAATTTCATATATATTGAAGGTTCAAAATTTGATCTTTTTTATTTCACTAATTATTTCCATCTTAAAGCTTCGGTAATCTCCCCCCATCAACAGTCGAATCAATCCATTTGCTGAATAATATCTCCGTCAATATTAAATTGAATTCAAAAAGAAAAAGAAGGCAAGAAACAGCATTACTACTATGTTAAAATGCTCTAAATTTTAGTGCTTGGTCAGACAATTAACTTTCTATTCTACGCAAAATTTTAATACATTTCTTGTTACCTTCTATTTGGTGATATTCTTCATCTCAAATATCTTCAATCCCAGATTAGATGCCAGAATTCAATCAGAAAAACCCAATACTTGGTTGAATCAATTTCAAAAGGTAGTACCCAATATTTTACACAAGCCGCCGGACACTGATTTTGTCAAAAATAATGTTCAAAAGCCCAACCTTTGACGTCTCAAAGAAATTTTCCACGAACTTTGGTTTTTTATTTTGTTTTGCGTGAATGATTCAAACTTAATTGTCTGATAGCTCCATGTGTTCTACTTAGTCACCATTAGTTTCCCATACTGCTTGCTACCAGACATATATAAGTGCATGTGTTTTTTTTTTTTTTTCGGATTTTTATGGTCCCGCTTTTATCAATCAAAATATTATTATTGTATTATAATACTTTGCTTACTCACATTCACATGTCAATTTTATCTCTTCCGTGAACACCAAATGCTAAGACATCGTTTTGTATTTGGTTTTAGCATAATTCTTTTGGTATCATATTAGTAAATCCCAAAACAACAAAAGATAATCAATTTCAAGGGGGAATTATTTTTATTTTTAAAAATAAAGTATAGTATAAATAAAGAGATTAAGGTTGTCATCCTCGAACACCCATGCAGTGTTACACTTGTTACAACTGAGTGGACGTGTGGTGAAGTGTAAAAAAGAAACTAAAATAGTTCTACATGCATTGGTCTTCTCTTCTTCTTCTTCTTCTTAGTTTGATAGATTTTTGTTTTTAGTGAAAGAAAGAGGGGCGAAAAAATTCCCAATTTTAATTGTTGGAAGCAATGGAAAATGGGTTAGTGCGTCACAGTGGAAACGAGATTGAATCGCCCAGTAATATCACCATTAAAGGGACGCTGAGCTTGTTGATGGCGAATACTAATGTTGAGGAAAACAATAAGCAAGTGATTTCTTTGGGAATTGGTGACCCCACTGCTTATTCTTGTTTCCGTACTCATGTTGCTGCTCAACAAGCTGTGGCCGATTCCCTACTTTCCTGCAAATTCAATGGCTATTCTCCCACTGTTGGGCTTCCTCAAACCAGAAAGTATTCTTCTTTTTATCATTCAACCTCTTCTTGTTCTTATAGTTTTTGCTTTTGGGATTTATTGGTTTAATGTTTCAAAACCAGTTTATTGTTGGTTCTACGTTTTCCATTTATGGGATTCGTTTATAGTTGTTGTTGTTGTTTTTTTTCTTTTATATGTTTCTCTCACAACTGAATTTTTCCATTTTAATTCTGCGAATTGTATGTTATTTATGTGTTTGTAAAAACTTAGGATATCCTGTTCAATTATGGTTTTTTCTGTTGAGTGATTTGGAATTGCACTAGGCATGTGATTATGAAATTCTGAGAGTAGGTTGGATTTGGAGGTGCAGGGGTGTGAATTTTCTTGAACTTTCTGTTCAAGTTGTTCTTACCAGATGTGGTCAGAAGCTTGTCTTTGTTTTATGTCCACAAGTTGCAGTTAATTTTATCGACTTCTATCACCATTCAAATCCCCAATTTTATGTGCCTTGTTCTTTAGTTTTTGTTTTTTGTAGTTATCTGTCACTATTTTGTTAACAAAAAGCAGTTTGTTACTTGCCATAATCTGCTGGAATTTTTAGATATGGTTACATCATATGTGCACATGACGTTGCTATGTACACGACCAGGACAGAGGAACCATATAGTTTTGGGTTTGACAGAGTTCTTCAAAGTGCAGAGTTTTAGATTAGTGTAGGAAAAAACTAATATGGTAATTCGTATGGTAATTTTCCTGTCATATTTAGCTGTTCCGACATCTCAATTCACAAGTTGCGTTTCATCTCAAGTCTTACCTCAACTGTCTTTCACGCAGGGCAATTGCAGAATATCTGTCCAGGGATCTTCCATACCAGTTATCGCCGGACGATGTTTTTGTGACAGCTGGATGTACGCAAGCTATTGAAATGGTGTTATCCATTTTGGCTCGCCCCGGGGCTAATGTGCTTCTACCAAGACCTGGTTTCCCAATTTATGGTCTTTGTGCCAGTTTTAGAAACATTGAGGCTCGTTATTATGATCTGCTGCCTGATAACGGCTGGGAGGTCAATCTCGACACTGTTGAAGCTCTTGCTGATCATAATACCATTGGATTGGTCATTATTAACCCTGGAAATCCATGTGGCAACGTCTACAGATGCCAACATTTAGAAAAGGTTTGCATATCCTTTCTGAATGTTCTTCCTTTCGCTGCATACTTCTTCCAACTTTCATGATGTTATTATCTGCTGTTAGATCGCAGAAACTGCAGAGAGGCTTCGAATTGCCATAATTGCTGATGAAGTCTATGGACACCTAGCTTTTGGTGCCACTCCATTTGTTCCAATGGGTGTTTTTGGATCTAAAGCCCAAATTTTTACCCTGGGGTCATTATCGAAAAGATGGTTAGTGCCCGGCTGGCGCCTTGGTTGGCTTGTTATGAACGATCCATGTGGAGAATTTAAAAACCCAAAGGTGTCCACCATCCCAATCTAGAGTAATTTTTATTAATTTATCCTGCACTGGAAATATATATTTTTTGACTTCTTTAGTCTTCTTTATAGAAGTTCTACAAAATATAACTAAAGCTTCTCCATACTCATGGATGGTTTTGACCTGATGTAATGTCTACATATAAGAAAAGTGGATTATCCCTTTCAGTACTGTCCTACTGATTCTGATTTTCTCATGGTTGCCAGTTCATAGAGCGTGTCAAGAAATATTGCGATATTTGTGGAGGTCCAGCAACTTTCATCCAGGTTAGTGCTCACGAACTTCATATTTGTCCTAAACTAGAGCGGAAATGGAAGTATTGTGCTTAATCCTCTGGGCATTTTAATGAAGTAAGAAATTCGGAATTAGAAAACAAAACTGAATCTTTTGAATGTGCGTGGCTGTGTGAAATAGTATCGCTTGGTTAGGATGTTTCTTAAAACTGGAAAATGCAGTGTGTAGGTATCATGATGCCTTAAGGACTTATCAAATGGTATAGAAACTTGCCATTATCACGCCATTTGTAAACACAATCTCATATCACTGAACTCAGAATGAAAAATGGCACAAAAAGTACCAGTGGAGTACTTAGCCTCAATGCTTACTAATGTAAGGGTTTTGCAGAACTAAGATACCTTCTTGCGGTAGTTTCACCTTGCGTAAGGGTTGCTCCAAATCACTATTCGCAAGTTTCTGTCCTGAGTATTCTCTTAAAACAAATTTTTTATTTCTGCCAGGCAGCTGTTCCTCAAGTTATTCAGCAAACAAATGAAGCTTTCTTTGCCAAGACCAATAAGATGCTAAAGCGGACCTCCAACCTGTGCTATGAAAAGCTGAAGGAGATCCCTGGCATTAGTTGCCCTTCCAAAGCCGAAGGGTCAATGGCGTTGATGGTGAGTTACGTACAAGGCTGGAACCAAGCGACTTGGGACCTAAAACGTGTGCTTCCTTTCGAGTATTTTTTACCATTCTCAGTTGAATTTCATTCTGTTAACTGATGTAGGTAAAGCTCGATCTATCGCTATTGGAAGACATCAGCGATGACATGGACTTTTGTTTTAAGCTGGCCAGAGAAGAGTCAGTCATTATTCTTCCAGGTTAGTACCCAAACCTTGGCATCTAAAATGCAGAACTGCAAATGCACCCTACTTAGTAAGCAGTTACTGGGATGAATTAAAATGAATATTGAAACAATGCATAACTTCCAACCATCAGTATATAAGTGGTCATGCATACGAGACCTGGACCGGAAGGTGACGGCAAAAACAACCAAGCTTTCATCGTTTTAAGTTTTACTCTGTCATCTCGGGCATATAGAATGACACCATTGAACTAAAACTACTGTACAGGACTCGCAGTGGGGCTAAAAAATTGGATCCGAATAACTTTTGCAGCAGATCCAGCATCCATTGAAGAAGGACTTGGTAGGCTGAAGGCTTTCTGTAAGAGACACTCCAAGCAACAAACAAAATCATCTTATCTTAATAACGCTATACCATGACGGATTTTTCCCCCCCGTTTTTAAATCTACAAACGCTTAAAAGAAGGAATTCCCCCATATACACTATTCTTGCATTTATATAGCCATTTCAATGGAAAAATATGTAATTATTGGACCCTCAAATATCAATAGTAAAGCTGAAAAACTCATAGAATTGATATTATTATGAGGAGATCTTCATCATGGAATTGGCTATATGACAACTCCCTCCAATATAGTCAGTCAGAAAGAAACAGAACAAACCAACTCCTCTTTAAATTCGTGCCGCTTGTGCTTTTTAATTACTTTTGTGTACAATGAAACAAAAAGCAGCTGATTATGTTGAAGATTTGGCTCTGGTTGTAGCCTGCAGATTATACTAATCGAAAATGCAGATTATATCCACATCCCATGACATGGAAATTTTTTTTGACAACTAGTATATATACTCTATCCGTCTCATTTTAATAGGTCACTTTTATTACGCTAAGAAACTAAATAAAACTATCTATCAGAAACTTCAAGACACATATACGAACAGGTCTTGTTAATGCATTGTTTTAAAGCATTAATCTTAAGAAAAAATGCAGACTGATCCGAGCCAAGACAACAGTCGTTCACCTGCTCCTATTTCGTCTTTCTCGTTGGGCCGCTTCGAATCAAAACACCGAAAAGCTTCAAATGCAACGTCAAAAATGTTCAAGCTAAAGACAACCACGGCATCCCCTTTCTGTCGTTTTTCTATTATTTTTAGCAACCTTTTTTGCGCTGATTTATGTATAAAATGCGGTCTTGTCTGCGTCATAAAAGCAGCAATATTTTTAGATAGTGCTTTCCCCCAAATCCTCAGTATCATTTAGCGCACTAAGTATCCACTCAACCATATTCTCTTCATGGCTGATCAAAAACCAGGTAAGATTAACTTGTTTGTTCTGAAAATTTGCCGGGTTTTGTTTGAATAAACTGTTAACTTACGCCGGTCCCGTTTCTTGATTGAGGGTTGATCTTCCTTTACTTACCCCTCGTAATTTGAACGAATGCTGCAGAGGTTGAGAATGGTGAAGACGTCAAAGTTCACGTTTTTTCATCGGCGACAGAGGTGAGTAACTACTGTGGCAACCTTTTTGTAATTGATTTGTTTCGTTAAATTGCATATGATCTTCACTGGTTACCTCAAAGTGTTAGTTTCTGATGGAGGTTGGTGTAGTCCCTTAAGGCTTGGGATGCCACAATTGGTGATTCCAGTAGTCAGTTCGGTAGATTTTGGTAGCTAATTTGGATAAAGATGCAGCTATCTAGAGAGTAAAGACTACAATCAGTTACTGATCATTTTAAAATGAATTTGTGATAGAAACTTATAGAAGCTGTATTTCCCTTCTTGGCTTTATTCATATATAAAACCTTGGGCTAAAATCTGGCAATCAAATGTCTTGCCTCTATCAATCTGGCTCCAATTTGCTACATGGTTCTTGTTTGGTAGCATACATACCCAGCAATCTGTATCCATAGATGTACCGATGAAATTTTCTGATTCTGGAAGGCTTTTTGTGATCTAGGATTTTGTCACTGCCAAGTGTGAGATTGCTATTGCTTTTCCTTTTGTTTTTTTTTTTTTCCATGCTTCTGATCATTTGGAGAAATTTAAAAGGGTATTTGTAACTCATTTATGCAACATTTTCAAAGATTAAACATGTTTTTCTTTGAAATTTATGTCATGCTGTCCGCCTGTGGACAAGAAGTTCAATTCATGGAATGGTGACCATGATGAAGTGCATGATTTGCTAATTCTAATCTTGTTCAAATTAAACTTACTTGTGTTTTGCCCAGACACTTACTTTTTCCGTGTCTTTTACTTTGGACTCATCAGTTACTTGGGAAGTTGCAAGAGAAGTGGAGCTCAGTAAAGCCACAGCCCTATCCAGCTATGTATTCCAGTGTATTTGCTGGAATCATTCTTGATCCAGCAATGATGGTTATCCCAATGGATGATCACATGGTTCATCGCGGTCACGGTGTTTTTGATACATCTATTATTCTTGACGGGTACACATATAATTCACCTTTGGATGAAAACTGTTGTGCATTTGAACTTGATTATGGAGAATAATCTGCAGATGGAACTCTGGATCTTTGAGTTTGCTCTCTCCCATTTAAGTTATCGAGTGCTTCATAAGTTTGTGTCTTTTACTGCACCTGCCAATTTACTGTTCAAGATGATGCTGTAGTTGTTACAATACTGTCTAGAGATCTTCTCTGTACCAAAAAGAGAGTCCAAGTGGAATAGAGATTTTGATCCTTATGCATCTTTAGTGATTTTCTTGTTATTCACTGATTTGTCTTTGCTTGATCTTAAACAGGCATCTGTATGAGTTGGATGTCCATCTGAATCGATTCCTTAGATCTGCCTCAAAAGCCAGAATTGTGCCTCCATTTCCTCAATCTAAACTCAGAAGCATTCTTATTCAGCTCTCAGCCGCATCACAATGCAGAAAAGGCACTCTAAGATACTGGCTGAGTGCAGGGCCAGGAGACTTTTTACTTTCTCCTGCAGGATGTCCAAAATCAGCATTCTACGCCGTGGTGATTGATGAAGACTTTGCACAGTGCAAAGAAGGGGTAAAAGTAATAACATCAACGATTCCTATGAAGACACCTCTCTTTGCCAACATGAAGAATGTGAACTATCTCCCAAATGTCCTCTCAAAGATGGAGGCCGAGGATCAAGGAGCATTTGCGTCGATTTGGGTTGATGAGGAAGGATACATTGCAGAGGGTCCAAACGTCAATGTCGGATTCATAACTCATGACAAGGAGCTTATCTTGCCACTATTCGATAAAATATTGCGTGGCTGCACCGCGGCTAGGCTTCTGGAACTGGCTCCCAAATTGGTCGAGCAAGGGCGTCTTAAAAGTGTGAGAACTGACAATCTCACTGTCGCGGAAGCAAAAGGTGCTGCCGAGATGATGTACATAGGAAGCACACTTCCAGTTTTACCTATCATCGCATGGGATGACAAGCTCATTGGAGATGGTAATTAACCTGAACATCCTACAACTACAACCTTCTTAAAAGGATGTCATCTAAATTTCTGTTTCTCCTAATTTTGTTGCAACAGGAAAAGTGGGAGAACTGACCATGGCTCTATCTGACTTGCTGTGGGAAGACATGGTTGCTGGACCTGAAACACAAAGGATCCCAGTTCCTTATGCGTAGGAAAATGTATGCCAGTCCTGTTACAGATCAAGAAGATGATTTACGTTTCAAGCTACTGGAAATTGCCAATGAGTTTAGTGAGATTGTTTGTTGCCTTTGGGTGAATATATATGTAACTCAAGTCCTTATGAGATCAGAAAGAAGAAGCCAAGGACATTCATTATCCAATATGAACATCATTTCTTTAGTTTCTTCTTAAGGTTCCTTGTCATTTAAACCAGGCTTTCTTGCTGTGATTTGGAATCGAATAACCAAGGATAATCATTGTCTTTAAATTTGATCAGCAACAAAGAACATGTTCAAATTCATAATTTGTCTTTTTTTAAAAAATAAATATCAATTTTCTTCTTGGTATCAGAGTTACAGAAACCTATAGGGATCTACCTTAAAATCAATTGGCAATGAGGGGAATAACCTATGGAGCTTATATATTAATACTCAGAGTCTCCCAATACCGATGTGGGATTGGGACTCTTTAATAGTTCGAAGATACGGTATGTCATAATAACAAATCATATCAGTTCAGTTTCAGAGGTAGCCCTTCAATATTGTGCAGGTTTAGTAACATAATGAACTGAAAGGCTAAAGCCAGCTCGCCTAGATATGGATTATGCATCTTTCGAAATGGACTTGTTTTAGCCATGTCAAGTCGAGAAAGAAGTAGATCAAAAGATCAAATAACACTAAGATGGATCATGTTGAACACAAATCTAGATAGCTGCTGTGTAGAATCTCTTCTCGCTCATTTATAGCTTGTTCGAGACAAGGTTCATATGAAAGGTTTTTTTACAATGATTTGATAGGAATATTTTGATCTTAAATGAGAGGGCAGAAGAGAATGAGCTTGAGATGGAATAAATAAAAAGTTAGAAGTATGAGTAAGAAAAGGTCGCAGCTCGCAAACGAAGTTCGTCGACTTCTTCGTCAAGATTACAAAGTCGACGAGAAGCAAAATATTGTATTGATTTCACAACTGCAAACAACTATCAAGTGGACAACATATCGTTGAGCTACTTGTGTTGTCTTGATCCCTCCTAAGTCGATGAGGTTCATAATTTGGTGATAAATTCGTGCGTCCATTGAAATCAAGAGTTCGTCGACTTTGACGTCAAGTTTATGAAGACATCAACCCAATGAATAAGTTGACACGAAGCAAAATCATATTTTTTGTTAGTTCATCAAAATTTTCTGTTGAGACAAAATTTATAATGTGTCTACAACAAAAAAGTTGTTTGCTAGGGCATTGTTGATCTCTTTATGTATACGAACAACTGCGTATTCATAGGCTTTGTAATTGAATTTTTTTTCTTTTTATAAATTTTTGTGCCTAGTGATTATGTTGATGAGATAATCTTTGTAATAAAATTCTGCAAAAATCGAAAAAAACCCCGCAATCCATTCATGTCGCCGTAAACATCTATCTCTATTTATCTTTATTTTCCAACGATAAACTCAACTGAGGCGGTTAAAATTAGTAAAGTTGTCAATAAAGAATGGAAAATTATAAACTTTGTTTGGAATAAGAAAATCATGTATAAAACACTCTTTTTCAGAAGAAGAACACCAAAGTTATGATACACAATCTACTAATCCCATCTCACTTTTGCAACTCAGTTGAGTTATAGGTTATAATTCAATTCATTTAATTACGTCTGTAGCAACCAAAAGTTGAATTGACATGTCAAATTAGATGTAGTAAAATTGAGATGAAATTTATAGAAATCGAATTTGGCCAACCCGACTTGAAAGGTTGAAAGCTAGTAAATTCCAACGTAAGACGATGGATTGTTATCATTAATAAAAGCACGCACCTACTACTTCACCACAACCGCAGTGTTTACCTCGTGATCCGCCCGCAAATGACATAACCAAACCGAACTTACAATTGGAAGCCAAAACGCAATGGTCCCACCTCCCTGGCTTCCCCGCTCTCCCCATCCCAGGTTCCCAAGCGGCCAAGCCAATTCAATTCATCACATATTTCCCGAAATGGAAAATTGCATTTCTAATCTTTCATCTTTTGATAAATTACCGCTTTTGCTTCTTTTCTTTCCGAAGCTTCCACTTACTTGCATGTACAATTAGAGATTTTAACTTTGTGATACTATACTTTGATTCATGAAGACGCAGTGACATGACGGGATGCGATTGACATGGATTTTGCATTCATTACATACATTTATGCTTTTTATTACTTACATGAAATAGATAGAAATTAAGTATATAATATTATTGTGACTAGAAAACTCAGAATTGAAAAAAAAAAAAAACTAAATCTGTTACGAATAAATCTATGTTCCTTTTACATTGAATTTACATCTAATTTCATGCAGGCCTAACTGGTAGTAAATAAGGCACGACGAATATTTCTTATTGCAAACTATTAAATTTTTCCAAAGAAATTCTTTTGTTAAACATGGAAATGGGTGTTTAGCATGTCTTTGGATGCAGTGTGAGATATATCGGAGAATGAAAAATCAAAATTGGTAATTTGGCAAAAAATTTGATACTGAAAATGTTATTTCCTCAAACTGAAAGATTTGGATAAAGTCATACCATATATAAGAAGCCAAAAGCTTCCATTTAATACAAGCTACTTACCACCCCCACCTCATCACTGCAAAACTCTACCTGTACTCTACGAGAAAAAACATAACAAAGATAGCAAAGAAAGAGTGAGACTCACGCCTCTTCTCTCCTACTCTCCCCCATCTCCCTAAATTCCCTTCTCCCCTTTCTCAATTCCTCTTCTTGTTTTAGGGCTAGGGTTCTCAAAGAGTTTTGACATTTTGTTTATTTGTGGGTTGGGTTGGGTTTGAAGAGAGTGATCATCAATTCGGCCAAGTGATCATCAATGGCGGCGGCGAATCGACCGAATGCGGCGGCGGCGGTGAGGTCTGGGTTGAGGAAACCGGTGTTCGTTAAGGTGGAGGATCTGAAGCCGGGGACAAGTGGCCATACTCTGACCGTCAAAGTTGTTGAGTCCACTATGGTGCTGCAGAAAGGCGGCGCCGTCTCTGCCAGCCTCCGTAACACCCGCATTGCTGAATGCCTCGTCGGCGACGAAACCGCCACCGTCCTTTTCACCGCTCGCAACGATCAAGGTCTAATAACCCTACCCCTGCGCTTCCCTTTTCTTGGTACACCGTTTCTGTCTCCCATTTTTGAACTACATGAATATATTAATTATGCATCTGAAACGGAGGCCTTTTTAACCATTTCTTTTGGGTATACAAATTTGAGATTTCATTTTTTTAGAAGAAGTAATTTTTATGGTGAAATAAGGTCTAAATAAGCATATGTGTGAACCTTTTGGTCTCTGGATTTTGGTTTTGGAAGTTGGAGGGGATCATGTCTTTGCTGGCTGGACTATTTACCTTTGGATATATCTGTCTCTTGTGGTTATTTTGGTTTTCAAGGTATTGCCTCTTTTGCTTTGTATGTGATAATTGAAGCCAGTCTGTGGCTTTTGGTTTCCCAGGGGATTCGAAATAAGTTGCTATCTTTTACAAGGTTTGTTTACTGTCTGCTCAAGCATTTTGTTCATGTCCAGTTGATCAAAAGATGGTCAAATATGTGGCTGTTCCAAGTATGTTAATGGTAGTAAGGACATTTCCTTTTTATCCTGTCCTGCAATGGAGAAGTATGCGACACACAGCTTTAAGTTTTCGAAATTTTATTTCTACTAATATGCATGATCACATAGGGAAGCACACTGCTACAATAAATAGCACATTAATTTGTAAGAATTTGCCTGTAATGCTTCCTGTAAAGCTTTAAGATGCAGTTTTTTACTTTCTTTTGGGGAAAGTTTTTATAGCTAGTAATGCTTCCTCCAGTTCCTACTGGCAATGTCTTCGTGCCCGGTGTTGTGTCGTTTATTCTAATTAGTGGGAACAAAGGTTTGCTATTATTGTAGTTGTTGATCACAATTCTATGAATTTGTTCTCCCAAATGCTCTGCTGATTATTCTTGTTGTTGGATAAAGTCTTGGTTAAGAGGCTGGTTGAGGCACCAACTAACAGGAAACTAGTTTTAACTCCCATGCTCATTTGATGCTATAACGCACATGAGAAGGAAAAGAGCAGAAGGCTTTATAGAAGTGCGAACACAGGGCTAGGAAGGAGACATCAATAAGCTTCCCATTCTGCTGATTTGATTGTTTCTTAGGCTGATAAATGGATGATTCTTACTTTAAGAGTGCAAGTATGTAATGTGGCATGATATGTTACTTCCAGTCCTCAAGGGCTTGTTTTTCAGGCACCAACACATTTTAATAAACGAGAACATGAAAAAGAACACAAGTGATTGAGTCAAGATAAAATTCAGTTGCTTGTCGTGGAATGAAGTTCTACAAATTCCCAGCCAAATTAGACCTGATAAACTGAGGGACACCGTAACTACCATAGGATAGTAGAAGGGACTTGCTCTATGTTTAATATATGACTTGTCGTTGTTATTGCTTCATTTTGTTTTACTCTGGCTTTTGCTTTGAATAAGCTCTACATTTTGAATGTCGGTTTGTCTGAAATGCATATATAATGTATGTGATGGTTTGAATTCTTGATGTACTCATTCTTGGCTCTTGTTGATTCCCTATAAGTGAACCGTGCTATGTGGATTATGTCTTCTACACCGAGTGTTCTCTTGGTTGTCAAAGATGATTCACTAACTACGTCTTTAATGTTACCATATACATTCTTGGCATGGTGCTCCTTCATCTTTGCTCTCAGTTGATCTGATGAAAGCTGGCAATACTGTCATCCTGAGGAATGCGAAGATTGACATGTTCAAAGGATGCATGAGGCTAGCTGTTGACAAATGGGGTCGTATCGAGGTCACTGAGCCTGCTGCATTTGAAGTGAAGATGGACAACAATCTCTCGCTTGTGGAGTACGAGCTGGTCAATGTTCCTGCTGAAGATTAGGGGTTTCTATGTTTTATGGTCTCAAGATTCAGAATGTGAATGTAAGATATAAAACATGGTTAAGTTATGAATAGCGTAAGGAAGTCAGCATCGGTTCCAGGGTGTAGCAGTTGTTGCAAACTGGCCCTAAGTTTCTGGAAACCTAAGTTAAAGACCTATATATATAAGGCTATCAAAAGCTGGGAATAGTAGATTCCTTGGAACTTTTATATGTGGATATATGGTAGAAGAAGTGCCCTGGTTCGAATTTTACCCTGCATTTAGCTGTGTCTTCCTATTATGATCTTTGGGAAGTTTGCTTGCAAAAACTCGTCGGGATACTACAATGGTTGGAGATAGCATGGCCAAAATCTGCAATGAAAATTGCATCTAACCATAAACCGCAATGTAAACCAGGCTTATAATCTCTCAAACTACCATACGGCTGTCTGATGGATTATGGTTTAAAGCACACACGACGGATGACACTACCACATATTCATAGAAGACTTTATCCAAATTTCATTTGGAAGATAACTATTAACAGTTTTACAGCGCATCGTTTACTTTTCAGATTTTCACCTCCCCGCAAAATAGGCAACATTCCAACGTGTGAGTTTTGACAGCCAGTCAAAAATAGTCACCACAAGGGTATCCTTGTCATTAATTGGAGGCGCCAAAAAAAACGGTTAAAAAGTAAAAACCGCCATTCTGTTCGTCTTCCTCTTCCCCCACGTCTCTGTGATTTATCGCCCCCGGGACAGATTTTCTGGGGTTTTCTGCATTGTTTTCGTTGAGGGTTTTTTGAACCCAAGAATTATTACCATCCATAACCCAGTTTCTTTCTTTCTTTCATCGATTGGGTAAAGTTTGAAAAGGAAGGAATCTAACAATGGGGGATTGCAGGCCATTGGGTTTCTTGATTGGCCTGCCTTTTGCATTTCTTTCTTTGATTCTATCCGTCATCGGTGCTATTGTTTGGATTCTCGGGTTCGTTTTCTTTTCTCTCCCCGGGATTCGTCTCTTGTTTTTTTCGTGAATGTTTCTGTTCTTTGGTTTTATGTTGTTGTCTCGAACTCTCTTCCTATGATATCTACATCGCTTCAATTCTTCAAAAACATTTAATTATTTTCCCTTTTCCCCTGATTCATAACCATTTTTGAGCTACATACCTAATCTAGCAGATTAAACGAAACGGGCTGCTTTCAAACTTGCGATTTCATATCAATTCCATCGTTTCTAACATTTTTTTTTCTTTTTTTTTGTTTTCATAAATGCTCTGTTATATGATAATTCATTGACATTGTATAAAAGGGTGGCCTGAAATTAAGCTGCGATTCTTATGGAGTTTGATTCTCAGGGGCTACTAAAAACACATGAGAATTGTTTGCTGATTTGTCTAAATTGGGTCTTGATTAAATTGATGGGGCGTTTTGGAATGGCAGGTCGATATTGAGTTGCATATGTCCATGCTGCATTTGTTGTGCCGGTCTCGCAAATTTGGCCGTAAGCCTGGTGAAGCTGCCTATCAATATCGTGAGATGGTTTACAGATTTGATACCTTGTTGATGATGATGATGATTAGAATTACCAGGAAGATGGGAGTAAAATGTTGACCCCCCTTTGACATATCTAGATATTAACTGGTTGAATTGCATCTCCTTGTATAGAATTATTAGAAGCAAGAATTAATGTGCTCTTTTCTGGTAGGATATGATTTGCTATTTTTTAAGCAACCCATCTGCTGTGCCTAATATACTTACCATATATGATATGTCTAGCTTTCCTTCCATTTTTTGGTGTCCGAAACTACTGTCACGATTAATTTGAATTCAAGCCGTGGTCTAATTCTCTTACTACTTGAACCGAGTGTCTAGATTTTCCTTTCGATTATAATTGTGAATGTTGCACATAACATAATGAGCTGCCATTAACACCTTTCTCGGCTTGCTTCACATGATCTGCTACTTTCCCTCAACCTTAAGCCATGGAAGATGTGCATTAATTGATATCAGTGTTACGGGGCTTAATTGTTTTGGCGTGGGGATGATTTTGACTTTCTTGGTCTATCTCAATCAATCAGTAATATTTGAAGGGTTCAAAGTAAGAGCAAAAAAATGGGATATTCAGTTTTAGAAAAAAAGTAAGAAAATACCATGGAGGCTATATAGTCAAATTATTGACTATTTAGAAGTCTAATTGAACAGCAACAAGGTTGATGATGAATTGATGATGATCAGAAAGTGTAGTAAATAGTTATACAAACAGTAAATGTCAGTCCCCACCTATTTTACATACTAGTACTTTTTGGGATAATAATAATGCAACTTGCTAAAGCCTAAAAGGTAAAGTTTGAAGTTTGAACCTTTTTTTGGTTGAGGTTTTAAGGTCGTAGGACGGAGATTTGAAGGCCTTGAATCTTCATGCAGGCAAGATGCAGGCAACTAGTTGAGTTACATCATGGGACAATGATTGTTGTGTACATCAAAGACTGTTTTTTTGTTCTCTTCTTACTTCTTTAGTTTCTCTTTACAGAATTACAGGGGACAAAGTTGATAAAACTGGAGACAATGACACAGATACTGTTCCCGTAGCTGTAGTTAGAGCACTATTCATTTGGTCATTTCTTAGATCGTTTTAATTGGTTAGCACCAATCATTATTGAGTAGGGCTTTGGAGAGGGTTGTGATTTGTAACGGACGTAAGACATTATACAGCACATCCCATTTGAAATATTTACCTATTTCATTATTTGATATGAACATGTCAAGATATACAAATGCGATACCATAAGTGTAACGTTTCAAAACATAATTATTCGGTCTGATTCGTAAAAATATCTCAACTTTCCGACACCATGTTGTTACTCTAGACCCGATAATACGAAACATAACCCGATCGATTAATTTTTAGGATTAATGACAGACCTTTTGGAAAGAAAATCATCCAAATTTACTAAGAATCTTTACCAGAACTTTTTATAATGTTCAAATTTTCATTCGCCATCTGACCAGAAAACAAAAGGTTTGCAAAGGAGCTTTGCCAACAAGATATGTCGCAAATGAGATTTGGTATTTTAGATTATCCTAATCAAATAATTAATGAAGGTTGGTCACAGATACTATTTTAGTACCTACTTTTCTATTCTCCCTCCGGCACATAAAACTGGCACGAATGAATGAATTGAAAATGTCCTTTTCTATTGCCAGAAAAAAAAAAAAAAAAAAAAAGAGAATAAGAAGCAGAAGGAGAAGAAGAAGAAGAGAAGAATATCCCATACTAGAGTCTATTTTTGTGTCTGCTTTGACCCTTTGAAATCAATGACTGCGCTTTTCTCTTTTTAATTAACAATTAAGGGAATATTTGAATCGAACTCTTCTACCATGAACAAAGCACTGTATTTTGAAATACAATCGATCTATATTAAATACTATATTTGCAGAATAAAACACAGGGCACTTGTGCCCCTCCATTTTTTCTATTCGGTATAAATATGTATAACCTATTTAGTAGTAACTCAATAATTCTAAAATTTACTATTTGATTGAAAATAAAATATTTATTAGTTATATTTGTATATCTTACACCTTGTTTCTGAAATTCTTGACCCTCTCTGATAGAGAGCTGTCCAATTAACTAGATTGCAAGCCCTACCTCCTTTTAATTTTTTTTTTAATTTAACTTATTTTAGAAATTGGCTTGTTGAGCTAGGGAACAAGTTCAAGAATTAAAGAATATATATGAGCAAAATCATTATCCATTCTCCATTGATCATCATCCTAAGATGCATGCATGAACAAAAAATTTGGAGTCATATATGTAGGGTTGTGGTGGGGAACACTGTGTCGACCAAATGAATACCAAGTTGTTGTTACATGACTATTCAGAAAAAAATAATAATAATACTAATAAACAGAAATGAAAAGGACGAATTTTTACCAAAGATGACAATTAAAAAAAGTTTGACAAAATATGTTTTTCGGACAACAACATAACATATATATATGGTCTTAAAAGACAAATCTAGAACAACATCTTCTTCATTCTTGACAGTTGATCAATGATTGACCGACGGCCGGCGGCGGCTGCGATGATGGAATTACGACGTTTACGTTGCGTATGTAAATGTTTCCCTCCGAAAACTTACCGCCAAACTCATCTTCACCGTTTGATGATCTGTCAGGTCGGCAGACCTACAGAGTCTAAACTCTAATTTTTGGGGGGGGTCATAGACGACTAAATGGTGATGGGGGAAATTGAAAAATATGAACTCATACATACGCATATGCACAGTAGTCACGGGTTTAATTTGTACGGACAATAATTTCATCTCAATTTTGTCTATTTCTATTTTTTTCAAAAAAACTTTATTCATCTATAAAATTATTCTATGCAATCGCTAGCTTGTTTGGACGTATACTCATTTTACATTTTTAACTCATTTTGCCTCTTAAACACAAAATTCAATGCAAACTAAATTGACGTCCAAACAACTTTCTGAATTACATTTTAAAATCAAACTTGAAACATTTTATTAGTGCAGTAACCATTTCTGAACTAAAAATAGTTCAGTGACTAAATCCAAAACTTTGCACATTTATTTCAATTTGCCTCTAGTCAAAAAATCGAGGCCCAATCGGATGGTAGTTAGGAAGAAGTTTTTGGAATATGCATTGCAATATCAAGTACGAAAAACCTCACTAAACAATCGAAAAGTGTCAATTTTAGTCACTGTAAAAAGAAAAATTCAAAAATAATCACTAAGCAAAAGAAAAGTGTCAATTTTGGTCACTGTAAAATATTAATTTTAGAAACTATTATGTAATTTTAGTGATCATTTAATAGTGAATATCTATACATTTTGGTGTCGCTAACCCTTGAGAAAATATCATGAATATCTATCGATTGCTATTTTTTATTCCCTTGAGAAAAAAATAGGTTTCGCTAAACCTAACTCGATACTAACTTAGAATAGGGAAATTGTATTAGATGCATGATCTGTTGTACACAATATACAGACTATATATAGACAATAAGAAACCCTAAACTAGAACATAATAGGAAATATACTAAATATTACAATAATGTATAAAGATGTCGTATAATTTTACGCGATACAAAGTAATGACTGAATATTAACTCTGTATAGACAAGCTTTGAGCTCCATCTTTCACTTTCACCGCACATTGATGCACGTATGGAGTGACCGTCTGAAAGTAGGATCAAATGAATATTAAAGCATTTTTACAGGTCAAAACATTTTTATCATGCGGTTGTCTATTTGATTTTACATTGCAAGCTGTCAAAATTGAAGCCATATTGTAATTGTGTAACTGCTTGAAATGCGTGAATAAAATAATACTGTACTACTCTTCTTGTCCTTACAAGTTGGTTTGTATTAACACAAATATTAAAGAATTGCGAACAAAATTTTTGTCCAATTAACCATGAGTCCATGACACAATACATGCATCATGAATTTGTGGAGTTTTTGTTCCGGTTTGTGGATTTTTTTAGTGGATTACATTGGTTTCTGCCTGGTATATATTGATCATCAATAAAAGTAGGAATTAGAACCAGATATCAAATTCTCAAGCACTACAAACGCTGAATATATGCAAGGGTTATTATCAACTTTCGATTTGATTCCGAATTTGGAAAAGAATAGATGCCTAGCAACATTTTACTTGGATTACACTTTCTTACTCATTTTGCTAAAAAAAATGTAAAAGAAATTGGCTAAGAGATCATTACTAAAGTTGACAAGTAATCATTAATTATTGGTTAGTAGTAGTTAGCTAGATCTACAATTCATCTTTGACATTCAAATCGTGGTTAAAGAAAATGTCAATGACGTTGACCTATGATATGAACAATAAATACTAGTAAATCCACTCGACTTTGTTCATATAAGAAATGCAAAATGGCCAATTCATCAATTCAAGCACATTCAGAAACATGGTGACGATTTGTGACATGCTTCTAAAATAAGACCGGTAATTAACTCCAAAATCTAATCCAATTAGTAACTTTTGACATAAATATGATCTGTTCATTTGGTGGGTAATGCAAGTTTCGCAAAAACAAACAATACCTAAAATATGATACGTTCTTACAATATTTAAACTCGTATAATACAAAACACGACTCAATTACCTCGCCAATAACAAATTAATTCGTTCCTGGTTTCATTTCAAACGCTGGTTCGCCTCGACTGAAGGCTATATATAAAATAGCCAAATTCTGTTCAATTCCGTGGGCTGTAGCCATTGAAGAGTGGTAGAAAGAATTGATTAATCAGGCAAACTGCTGTCTGTTATCTGTCATTATAGTATCCTTTATGTTCAGGACCTGGTCAAGTCCATCCATGTTTAAAGACTTCATACCAAAAAAAAAAAAAAAAAAAAACTCAAACCTTCCTTATCCCCATCCCACAAGGAAGGAAGGTCCAACAGACCAATATCATGAAATATATATATCATCATCATCTCAAAACCTACATTTTAATTAATTATTGTCCAAACCATATCCAAATTCATGATCCTCATTTTTTTCCCCTTTCCTTTTTGGAACAGGTTCATGATCCTAAATTTGGTACTTGTTCGGGATAACATTATTAAATATGTTCTTCCTCATTCTTAATCCAAAATCAGATAAACTTTTATAGTTCAATTTGTTACAATAATAAAAATAACTATCCCTTATTAAGGAAAAAAAAAAAAACAATACATTATTCCTTTTTTACAACTTTGCATGGTAGGACCAACCCCACGTGAACACCAAATTGCTAAAATGCATGAAGAAGAAAGTCAGCCAGGTCCTACCAATCTCTTTCCATTCTTCTTTCACTTCCAATCTTCTTCATTTCATCTCCTAATCATAAATTTCAGGGCCAGCACCACATATTTAGAAAGTCCAAATTCTTTTCTTTAATAAACTAATGTGGATTTAAAAGAAAAAATAAACAGAAATGACCAAATTTTCATACGCATTGAATCCCCTATATAAGCCCACATAATTCACATTTTTTCATCCCAACTTTCACTGATTTGATCATTTATACCCACCCGGCCCCCCTCCAAAAATCTGATCAGCCCTTTTAATTTTCTTTCTCCACATCAACCAAAACCATGAGCTCTTCTTCTAATCATCATCCACATAATAAAGGTAATAACAATGGAATGAAGCATAATCTCAACAAAAAGAGATTAACCCAAGATCAAGTTAGGCTTTTAGAAGCCAATTTCACCTCCAACAAGAAGCTTGAGCCGGAGAGGAAGCTCCAGTTAGCCCGGCAACTCGGCGTTCCGCCGCGGCAAATCGCAATATGGTACCAGAACAAGAAAGCCCGGTGGAAGAACCAGAGCCTGGAACTGGATTACAGCGCGCTTCAACTCAGGCTGGAAACCGCATTGGATGAAAAAACCCAACTGGAGAGAGAAGTGGCTCAGCTTCAAGCCGAGCTTCAGCGGACAAGGGAAATCTTGATGGGTGTTAGTACTCAACAAGGATTGGTGGTACAACAGTTGCAGCAAGATCAACAGGTTCCGCCGTTCTCGTCTTTCTCCGGCGGCGGCTGCGGCGGCGATGAAGGCGGTGGGTCGACAGGAAGTTTGCATGAGGATTCGTGGCAAAATGGTGGAGGGCATCATCATCATCATAATCAACATCAGGGATTACAGTTTGAAGAGCTTTGTGCTTGGTTGATGGGATCGGAACAAGGTGCTACTAATTCTACACGTGCTTCAATTGGGCAGCATGAAAAAGTTTTTCTTGTTTAGAATTGATGTTTGTAGTTATAATTTATAAAAAAAGGTAAATTATTATGAGAAAGAGTTAATCAGTTAAGTCGTCCCTCACAAGTGTAAAAAAAATTACTACTACTTTGTTTTTTGTTTTTCATTGAAAGAGGAGGAAGGGGGGAGTGAACATTTTGTTGTTCACATTTTTATAAATGTGTTACAAATCGGTCTTCAATCATTTGTCAGTCTTGTGATTCATCACCTTCTTTTAGGTCAAATATTGTTTCCGTTTATCGGGAATTACAAATGTGATCAAGAGGCGATGATTATCATTGAACTGGCAAATGATTTGTAATTCCAGCATTCCAAAAAGTGGATGGGTAGCTTCCTACTTTACTTTCCTTGACATGATGCTAGAGTAGTTTTTCACTGTGAGGGACGATTTTATTGATTAATTCTTATGAAAATTACGAATCACATTATGGATGAAGTAAATTTTGTCTGATAAATATAAAAATACTCCATCCGTCTTATTTCAGTAAGAGTAATGATTGGTACAAGGAAAAAATGACAAGCGAAAATAACAAGGACATGATCTCATTCATCCATTGTTAAAACTTTTCAAATAGGATTTATGCATTTAAAGTTATAGCATAGTTAAGATCTTTCAATCACTACTCTTTCAGTAATTCATTTTACTGAATTGTCTTTTACCACCGGTCTTAAAAATATCTGAACTCTTTGGTCCTGGGTTGATGACTAAAAATGTCCATATAAGACAAAGCGAAGGGATAAGCAAATTGTTTTTTATTTGAGAGACAAAATCACATTCGTAGCTAGACTGAAACCTATAAATGTATCCGCTTTTAATGTGATGGAGGGTTTAGTTAACTATATCCTGTTCTACGCAAAAACATCAAACCAGGAAATGACATTTCAGTTTGCAACATAGACAGATCGCTTTATATATGGATAATTTTTGCAACGTAGTTAATCATAGCTAGGGTATCGTATGTATAATCTCTATTCTCTAATGGTGAAATCAAAAACTATTTTAGTCATTTCTTGTATGACGATACATGTTCTTCATTCCGACGAAGGAGAAGAAAAACGGAGAAACTCGCTGCAGATCGTTAAAATGAAACACATTTAACAGTACAAATTTAGTGCCAAAAAAAAAAAAAAGTCTTTACTGAACATGCAAATGTGTTCATTTATAATCCCTTAATTTGTCATTTATCAAATTGATTTCCCATCATAAATTTTCCTTGGATTTCAGCTCATAAAGTTGATCACTAATGAGAAATTAAGGTGTTGGAATAAAGATGGTAGAAATGGATATCTTGATTTGATTGCCATATATGTAACCAAATTTCTTTTAAGAAAAGATTAAGTGAGACTGAATATTGCCCCACGATCGGGTGGCATTTCAAATCTCCCGTCAATCAACCCCAGTCTCAATCGGTTCATGAATGAAGTTATTATGAAGAAGCACAAATATTGCAATTGGCCCTATTGTGTTCAACCACCGCTTTTAGCATGAAAGCAATATTTGGAGTCTCAATTATTCTTAGCATTTAGAAATTTGCTCAAAACAACTCATAAAAACACATTGATTTGTGTTGAGTACAACCATTAAATAATTTTGTTCCTTTTCCTCTGCTGGGTAGAGCACGCATTGGAGAGATTTTGAAGAACATGAAATGTCTAAAAACCCTTCTGGCCAACTTGCTCGTCTATGAGCATTTCTTGAAAAAAGAGTATACTGAAAATACAAAAAATTTGTATTAAAAATGTAAAAAAAATATTACTATAATAAAATAAAATCAGGCTGCCTAGTAGGTAGTCACAGGTGTTAATGAACAAGTTGGAGGGTGTCTGAAAATTGATTAAAATGGGACCAGCAGTAGTAGCCTTTCGCCCTTTCCTACACTGTTTAGAAACAGACAGATGTATCATGTATTCAACGTTTGAAACTGTTCCGTTTTGAAAACCATCTATCTGTACAATTATGTTGAATTAATTTACCTAGTTCTAGAAAAGTAAACACCATAATTTTGTAGCCAAATACTCCCTCTGTCCCATAATTATTGTCCACTTTGGGTTTCCATCTCTAGTTCAAATTGTACTAAAAGTAAAATTTTAAACTGGACAATAATTTTGGGACGGAAAGAGTATTTTTTATGGTTCAGCGTTTTTTCAAAGAGGTATATATATACAGTATATGTAATGAACACCATTCACATTCTAATGATTGGATTATGAAACAAATCTTTAAATCTCTTAATGCACAAAGAAAAAGAATATATGTTTAAAAGTTAACACAAACAAATAAATAATTATCAAAAAGGAAATTCATATTTATTTATTTCTTTTTTACAATTGATTTTTTTTTTTGGATGTTCAGTACTTGGTCTACATGGCATGTCAAATTAGAACTTTGGCCACCAATTGACGGTGTGCATAGCCGCCTAGCTACTGTCCACACTCAACGATTTTGGGAAGAAGAAAGTCACAAGTGGATGACAAATTAACTTTTCATCTTATAAATACCAAAAAATCAAAAAACAAAAAATAAAGAAGACAACCCACCATCGACAAGAAGTAATCTTAAATTTTTTTTACTAATTGTTTATCTATCGAGATATTTACGAGTGCAATAAGAAAAATTATTTTTCATTGTTGTCAAGAGTGAATACCTTAAGCTATGGGGGCAAAGAAATAGAAAAAAGGAAGAGAATCTACTAGCTATAGCTAGCCACTATTGAAGCAGAATTGAAGAAGAGGAGGAAGAGACTAATTTGTGATAATTATTAATTGAGAGGTTAATGTGTCATAGTCAATCAAGATGAGGAGGCTGTGTGACAGCAATCAATTCAAAGAAAAATAGCTATATGTATTGGCCCAATTCCTTCATATCTGGATATCAAATTATCATCATCATCAAGTCATCATAACAAGCATATCATGTGTGTCATGTCGTTGTCTATCTACTTAATTAATTAATTTTATTTTGTTTTTCTTCATTGGTTTGCTTTAACGTGCAAGGAAGATCGTTACATTGGCGGAGAGGAATTTTGCATATGCCTCAATTTTGACATTGTTTCATCAACAATTAACAGCGCGGTAGCTTTCACTTGCATTTGAAACCTTTTTGATGAATATGTGGCCAATCATCATTGGTAATGAACAAATGAATTCAATAAATTAGATCAACAATATACATTAATTAATAAGTGACTCTTCTACTTCTGTCTGCTGAATTAACTTAAATAGTGGTCTTGTTCGTAGTTAAGTGACACATGAAAGATATTATGTTGTTTGTAGTTAATAAAAAAGGGTAAGACATTGATGGTGAAAATGATTAAATATTTTCTAACTTTTTTTTGAAATAAAAGTCATGTTCATGATAATTCAGTTAATCCAATTCTTATTTTGGAACGGAAAAAAAAAAAAAATACAATACCAAAGTAATTAAATGCAGTGTTAATTTTGGGTTATATTTAGCCTATACTTTTCGATGCTAGTCAATTAGTCTTTGTGTTCTGCTTGCGAATGTGTGAGCAGTTTAAAATCGTAGTATTTGTGAACTACCATTACCAAACATTTCGATAAAATATTTGAGAATTAAATACTAATCGAACTGAGACTTTGTAGTTCAGCTTGTACACCTAAATCACAAACATATGATTCCTGAGACTGAGAGATGAGTTATTTGTAAACTGCAGGCTTCAAAACCATGTAGAGGATTGTATGGACTTTGTCCGATTTCTACAAAAACCCTACCACATAATTTACAAAAACCCTAAGTTTTTATTACAAGCAGATTAGTCTTTTATTATTAACTGATCCTAGTATTATATATTGATTTTGCTTTTTCCGTTTTTTTTTTCAAATTAATTTTTGATTTGTGTGAGAGTATCAACTTAAAATAAATTGCAAGCAATTAGTTACAGTCACGTAAACTGGGACAACTAAACCATTTCAAAGAAAAGGAAAGAGATCAAATTTAAACTAAAAACACTATAAAATTCAAAATTTAATTGATTATTATTATTTTTTTTTGGGAATATAAAGAGTAGAATTTAACCATCTAGAACTTGAAAGTTTTTGTTTCTATGAGATAAAGATAAGGTCTATATTGAAACCTTTGCTGAAAAAAAAAGGTCTATATTGAAATCCTCTACATTGGTTGTAAAATAATTTTCAGCCATCTATATTTTGGAAAATATTCCTTTTAGTCTACTAAATTTAAAAAAAATAAAATTTATATCATCGAAAATATAATCACCTTGGATAATAATGCTACTTAACAATGTTTCAAAATGATTTAATAAAGAATTTTATTTATTTATTATTTGGTTTAGTAGTGTTTGATCCTCCCTCTTTCCAAATCATACAGTACAAAAAGTATACAATTATTTCATGATAGAATAAGTAACAAATGAGTTGATCTAGAATTACAAAATTTCAGTGAAAAAAATTAATCTAATACTAACTTATTCTGTATCTCCGTACTTATGAATTTAGTATTTTTATTTCAGCATTAACATAATACTAGTACTAGTATAAAAAGTAATTTATGGTATATGATCGTAGTACATTAGTTTAACCCAATGTGAGAAAAGAAACCAATGAAAAATGAATGATGTATTAAATTAAAAAAAAAAAGAAAGAAAAAACCCAATGGGAGAAAAGAGTAAAAATAACAGAAAAAGAAAAAAAGGTGAGCAGCAGAGAAAATCCGGTTCGCTTCTGTTGGGGCATAAGCAAGACTCTTTCCATTTTCCCTCCAAAATCAACTCGATTAGAAAGAGAAAAACGTCAGAAGCATTTGATTTCGAAACCCTAGTCAGGATGGCTTCTACCTCTGCTCCTCCGAGCTACACCGATTGTCGCCGAATGAAATCGTCAGCGACAACACTGGTCGACGACAATCAAGCTCTCTCTGGGGTAATTAGTTCTGCTCAACTCTGGAACCCTAGTTCTTTAACCCCCAAACGCAATTGCTAATAATTTATTGTCTTTTGGTTTCTCAGGAAGTTAAGAGAGCTGTTAATATGATGAAAGAGATTGCCGTTGATTTTGAGAAAGACAACCGATCAGACGAGGTAACTTATAATTTTGAGTTCCACAACATGGCTTCTGTCTTCAGTGAATCTCTGAATCGTGACCATCTTTGTTTTATTTTACGTAGGAATGTTGTTTTGTTTCAATTGAATTTAAACGAAGCTCCTTGGGGCCTGGTATTCAATTCCTTGTTTCGTGCCAATTGATGGTTTTCCTCAATGGGAGGGGATTTAACTGTTTTTTTTTTTCGCCCTTTTAAAGTGATACCTTTAGGAATGTTATGGAGTTGGTGGAAATTTGTAAACGAATGAAATATTGCTTCCTTTACTTGTGCGAAAATAATTTAAAGAACCTACTTTCAGAAACATTTAGGGATACTTAATGAAACCTTGTTTTTTTTTTTTAAATTCTGATAATGTTGGAATCCTAAGATTAGAGTTACAAATTCTCGATAAAAAAGTATTGATCTTGCTTGGTGGCTTATGTAGCCTGATATTGAGTGGAATGAAAATGTTGTAAAGAACATATTTCCAGAAACATTTAGGGATTTTCTTTTGGATGATAAACCAGGTAAAAGAGCTTGAGGCTGGAGTAATGGAGTTGTTGGCAGCTTCTGAGGACTGCAGACATCTTTCAGCTGCTACTCAAACCATTGCAAATGAGTATCGGCTTGGTCCTGAGGTACTTCTCAGTCCTTTCTTGATTTTGATATCAGTTTGTTTTTGTGATTCAGTGGTAAACTGTTTTTATTTCTAGCGGTACTTATTGTGCTTTTCCGTCCACAGTTGACAGACTTCAAGAAGCTTTTGGAAGGTGAGATCGCAAAATCAAAGGCCGGCTCATCTCCAACTTCACAATATCATCAATTGTTGAGACAGTTTAGGGAAGCTGTTTGGGTATGGTGTTTCTGTTTTTTGGAGTGAAATTATCTTTTGGTGGCCGTTTCCTTACAGTAATGTTTGTTAGCTTCTTCGCTTTTTTAGTGGAATGTTGCTGATGTGCTTTTGTTGAAAGTTAAAATTCACAGACATAATCCTGATTCTTTGTAAAGTAAAATTTTTCCTTTTGTTTGGCAGAATGTCCACCATGCAGGTCAGCCCATGCCTGGTGATGAGCAAGAGGACATTGTGATGACCACTACACAGTCTAACATTCTGAACAATAAGTGCCCTTTGACTTTGAAGCCAGTTACAGAACTAGCAGAGCCTGTGCGCTGGTAAACTAGTGCAATATTCTCCTCTTTTCATTCTGAAAAAGTGTAGATACATATCTTACTTGCAGCGGCACTTTTGGTTTATTTTCTGCTCCTCTGAATCTGGTAATGATGTTAAGAGTTCCATAAACCATGTTGGAAAATTTGCATCTTTGTGTTTCTCTACAGGCTGTAGTGGCAATATTTAGCAACATGCATTGATCTTTCTTTTTTCCAAAAAATTTCTGAGAATAAGGGGGGATCTGGCATTGATGGTACTTTTTATTGGGATTTTTCTGGTGCAAATACAAGGAGTCATTGTTATTACTCCCTCTGTCCCAAAGAATTAGTCCACATTGAGTTTTATGATTTGTATTCAAAAAGAGTACAAATCATAAAACGCAATGTGGACTATTTTTCTGGGACAAAGGGAGTAATAGTTAAGGAGCTTACAATCTAGCTGTTGATGTATATATATATATATATATATGTAGAGCTAGTCATCGTGAGTGATTATATCTGCACAACTGATTGTAATTGTATAAACAAATTTTGACAGTTGGTTTGAGGACGAAACTCGAAGTAAAGGCCATGTATAATTGCTGGTTTCAATTGTATTGAAACTCTTCTCGGATTGCAAAACATGTCTTTAGGTTCATCAAAGAGCATCAGTTTACCGTAGCTAACATGATTCAGAAACTTATTCTAGTTCATTTCCTGTTTCAGCACTCACGGCTCCTTAATTTAGATTCTCCCACCCCCACCCCCCGTGTGTTTCTTGGTTGGCCTGAATTTATTTCGTCCTTTACTTGCTTGTGCAGTCAGGACTGCAAGCACATATATGAAAAGCATGCTGTCTTCCAGATTATGAAAAATAAGGTCAAATGTCCCGTGGCAGGTTTGTGGTTCCCTAAACTTTTTTTGCGATTTGATATATTTGTTACTTTACTATACAGCCTATACTGGAAATCTCATACAACAGCTTTGGGAGTTTTGCAGGGTGCCCAAAGACATTACAAAAAGAAAGAGTTATATGTGATTCTCTTCTGTTAGTGGATATTGGAGAACTGCGAGAGATGGAACGTGAAACTGCTCAACCTGAAAACATCGAAGATTTCACTGCAATGGGAGAAGATGATTGAAAGTCATTGCTCGTACATCTTTTTATGAATCAGGAAGGTGTAGACAGGTTTTCAATATGCAATGTTATCAACCATTTCTATCCACCAAAAAAGGGCCTTGTTAACTACTACTTTTGTGTAATGTATTGCTAACTTCTTCACTGAAAGCATTAGAAACTTAAATGTGCATACTGTATAGCATCAGACTTTGGGTTGCACAAAAAATGGGCTGAGCCCGTCATGGCCCAAATGTTGTGAATTAGGAAGCCATGTGGGCTGAGTATCGGTCTCGGGATTTACCATTAAGGAAAAGTGGAAAACAACGAAGTCGTAAAAATTTATACTCACGAACCGAAACCATTAAGGCTGAAACTTCTTCCCCTCTCTCTTTCGATTGAAAGATGATGATTTCAAGATTTTCTTCACGATGCCGTCGGAATCCTCTTCCAGTACCGCCACCGCTTTCAGCATCCCCATCCCTCGTCACCGGAAAACGTCATTGCATTAGCCTCTCCGCTTCTCTCCACGTTGGAGAAGAATCAACCTCTGCACCTATTCAAGCTACGCCTTCCCGTAACTACAACCGTTGGAAGCCCTTATGTCTTTACTACACTCAAGGTAGGTGCACTAAGGTACTGAAACCCATCTATGCTGTCATATTTTCTGTTCTTTACCCCAATTTAACTATTTTTCTCTTATTGTTGTTGTATGGCTTCTTATGACTTATGAGTATGAAAGTTTTAAATTTTTGAACTTTGGTTAGGTGGATGACCCTCTTCATATTGAGAAGTTTAATCACAATTTCGGTTCCGGGCTTGGGTTGGATGTTTCTGATTCCAAGAAGCTGCGGTCCCAGGAGCTTGACTTCTTTCTTGTGCTTGATTTGGAGGGCAAGGTCGAGATTCTGGAGTTTCCAGTTCTCTTACTTGAAGCCAAAACCATGAGCGTTATTGACATTTTCCACAGGTTAGTGTTATTGTAGTTGAAAATTGCTATCTATTGTTTCTTCATACGTTTCGGTCAAGTGTACTACAATACCTTGAGCTTTAATCTAAGATAATTTACTATGGCTTTAGATGGTTCAATGATGAAGTTGACTGGCAAAGAATGAATCGTTAATTTATGTGTTTTGGTTATGATAACTTCGATTTTTGGCTCTTTTTTTTAAGTCTACCTTTCTAGCTGTTGCAAGTTTTAATTCCTACTCTTCATGTTATCCGGGAATGAATGAAGGTTGGGATTTAGGTTCATTAGTGGCAATACTTAGCTTAATTCAATTTAATGGAGAGACTCTAGACCAAGTGATATGAGTGCTTAGAGTGATTCATTTGAGTTATAAAATGTTAGCTCACCACTGATACGAATGTTTGTAGATTGCATTTGGTGTTATATCTTTCATCTCTTTCTGTCTGAAGTTTTCATATCTTACTATCTGAAGTGCTACGTTGTATCTGTTGAGAGCTAGTTTTGTCACGATATTTATGCGATAGGAACCATCCTAAGCTACTTCTTGTTATTTCTTTCTGCTATTTTTTGCAGGTTTGTGAGGCCCTCGAAGATGAGCGAACAGAGGATAAATCAGTACATCGAAGGAAAATATGGGAAATTTGGAGTTGACCGGTGGGTAAATTTTTTTTTTTGTCCGATTTGGTGAACTCATATCCTATTTGCTGTCTATATGTTGAAATATTATGGCATCCACGATAATATTGTAATGATATGGACTAGAATATAATTTCTTATAAGTACTTGCCTACTAGAATATAGTTCCCTTCTCTGAGATAACTTATCTGATTTTTCATTTTCCAGTTATTCTGCATTTTTGTGCTTTTAAGCATTTTAGGATGTCATGTTTTTTAACCATGAATTCCATTTACTAATAAGATATAAAGGTTCAAGTGTTGATTTAAAGTTGTCTATTTGTTAACTTTGCTATTTCCTTCACAACATATTTTCCTTGTTGCCCTGAAACTTCAATCTCAGGCATCAATGCTGCATAGCATCTCATTCTACTGAAGTTGCTTTCTCCTAGCTTTCATGTGATGAGACCTTGTTACCAACTACTATATATTCACTCATTCAGTTTCTTTACAATGCAGAGTTTGGCATGATACCGCCATCCATTTTAATGAAGTGATTTTACAATTTGAGGAGTGGTTGGGTAAGCATCAATTGTGGATGAAAAATCCTGGTGGTCCTCTGAGAAGAGCTGCATTTGTAACTTGGTAAGTGGTATTGTCAATGTGACAACATAACAACATGTTTCACCATTTTGTTTAGTTTTGGCTTCACTTGATTTCAACCTTTTACTCATCTCAATTCTCTGTGCAACATGTACCTTTGAAAAGTCTGAAATGTGGACCTTTAAATTATACAGAACGGAGAAACTTGCCTTCATGCATCTTTCTTGTTACATCCACTTAAAAAATTTTAAGAGATCTGCAGTATGTATTAAAAGTTAAATGACTTTTCTTAGCTATGAACAATGCTTTTTTTTCTTCCTCTGTCCAGTGATATTGTTGTGATACTGCTTTTAAGGCTTTCTTTTAGAGTGGAAAAAGATTATCCATATTCATAGAAATGTCCAATTCATTTTCTCTCTACTGTTTATATTGGAATTATGTCAGTTAAGAAAAAGGACACGAAATATTGGATTAGGCCTTGTGGGTGGAAGTGGAACTGTGTTGCTGTACTTTTACTAATTCTGAAATAGCAACATTATCTATACCTATTCATATATTTTGATTTTCATGCGCCAGTGGGAATTGGGACTTGAAGACAAAAATCCCAGACCAATGCACTGTATCAAGGATGACACTTCCGCCCTATTTTATGGAATGGATCAACCTGAAGGATATTTTCTTGAACTTCTACAATCGACGGGTGAGTTTGCGTAACTTGTATGTTTCTGAATACAAAATGTTTGTTTACGGACCCGTCAAACTAGTTCCAACTACCGTACACTCTTGGGCGGACACTGCACTCAAACTAGTTCCAACTACCGTACACTCTTGGGCGGACACTGCACTTTAATGTTTCTGATGACTAAAACTGCTTAGCTAATTTTTGTTGCAGGCCCCAGGAATGGTTTCGATGATGAAGGAACTCAGGATTCCATTGCAAGGCAGTCACCATTTAGGAATTGATGACACCAAAAATATTGCAAGAGTGCTACAACATATGCTTCTAGATGGTGCATTGATGCAAATCAGTGCAAGGAGGTTGCCTGGTAGTCCTGGAAAGGTTAAATTCTTGTTTGAAAATCGTGTGTAGCAGGGCAACTCTGCAAAAGGCTTTGTATGTATAATTGTACGATTTGATCTTTCAGTGGATGCCATTTAGCTTGAGGTTCTTTTTGTTTTCAGATTAATTGCTTGCGGTTCCATTCTATCTCTCTTGATGGCTTTTCTATCTCCAACCTAGGCAGTTGGTATCCTCTCTTATAGCGGTGTTGTTAGCGGTGCAAAGTTATGATTTCCATTTCCAGAGTATATGATCATATAGTGTTATCTTTGCGAGGCTTATGCGCAGCACAAGCAATCAGCAATATTAGCAGTGAATTTGAATGGTCTATTGTTATCACTGAGACCTCAACATCTAATGGCGCGATGACTTACATTGTTTACATTAAATTTATTCTTTCATGATGAAGTTGTCATCTAACTGCTGAAAAATTCAGTTATAGTTTTTGATCCTCAATCTCTAGATGAAATGCACATCTGATTTAGAAACCTTTTACATCTTTGGTTTATGGTATTCCATCGGATTCAGAAAAATAAATCGGCTTCAAGTGGATTAATTTTCTGGAAGAGAGGGACCTAATGTACTGTAGTTAGCCGACGGAGACCTTCATATTGAAATGTGTCTTTTCTTTTTTAATCAAAAATTGATTGAAACATAATCTACTACACGATCCTTCTGAGCTATATATCTTGTATTCTTGTTTCCCAAGTAAAGACTCAAAACATCACATTTGACCAACTTTTCCAACAAAAGCTAACTTCAAAAAAGAAAAGCTTAATTTCCACTATATATTAATCCTTCTTGTCATATTCACCTAGTGGTAAATTCATTTTAACACATCACCGCGAAAGTTCCACCCGAATAATTAAAAGACCACTATCAATTACTAACTGATTTTAAGAAATGGCAAGTGGTTGTAAAGCGTAAACACCATCCCCAATATAAATAGCAATAAACTCGCCCACATTTTAGTATCAACAAATCAAAGAAAAGAGGAAACACAAATAAAATACGCGAATATGGTTCCGTTGCTCTTCTGTGGTGCTGCTGCTGCAGTGTTCGTTGTAGGAGAAGCGGTTCAGGCAACAAGGCTTTAGAGGGAATCCTTACAAGCTTTTCTATGGTGATATCCTAGAGATATATCATCCTGGTTTGAACAAGCTAACTCTAAGCCTCTCAACCTCGACGACGATGTGGTTCCCCGAGTTGTTCCTCATCTTCACCACACCGTAGAAAGATACGGTATGTTGTTTTTTCTTAACTGTATATGGCGAGCGATATAATTAATCAATATGGCACATCCAATTCAGTATCGTTGAATTGACTGAATGAGTAAATGTCACGTCCTGTCATTTTCGGGAAATTGTATGTAACCTGGTTACTCAAACCTCGTACTGTCTCTATGTTGTAAACAATTTGGTACCATAAGTTTTTTTTCCCTTAATTATTATCTAATGCATGCCAGTTTGTAATTGAGCTTTGTTGCAGGTAAAAATTCATACATATGGTTCGGGCCTAACTTGTCACTGTTGATCACCGACCCTAATCACATAAAGGAAGTCACAAACAAGCACTTAGTCTTCCAGAAACCTCAAATAAACCCACTCAATACATTGCTTGCAGAGGGGCTATTGACCTACGAAGGCGACAAATGGGCCAAACACAGAAAACTTCTCAACCCAGCTTTTCATGTAGAGAAATTGAAGGTCTTTTTTTTCTTTGCAGTTTCTTCTTTTTGATTTTTTTCATCTTGAAGAAGTGAAAAAATGCTGATGGAAACCTTGCTTCTGTTCTTTTTAGATTATGCTGCCAGCCTTTTATGAAAGTACACTTGAGATGTTGAGCATGTTGGGGATTTTGATCCCCACTACATACAAATTGTTGGCAGTTTACTCACTCAACAACACACGCAGCAAAATTAAAGTAAACAATCAAGCAAACACAACAAGAAGCACAACACCAAATTACGTAGTTCGATCTCTCATAGATCTACGTCTACGGGAATGGTAACACTTTCTACTGGTACAAGAATAGAAGAGTTTACAAAGTTGGAGTCTCTCTCAAAACACTATGTCTCTCTCCCTCAATTCTACCTTTACACTCTCTCACAAAGTGTTTCCCATCACTCACCTCCAATGTGCTCCGGGGAAGAAAGATGCACATCACTACACAAAAAAATAAGGAACTAGGAGAGAATCTCCACTCAACTCAATCCTAATTCTACCCCCTCACTCAAGAGTTCTCTCTCAATTGAGTGGCTACATCTTGCCTCTCTTCTCCCCAACTAAGTTTAGTACAAAAGCTTCCTATTTATACTAAAACCCTACACAAACTATTACAACCTTATTGGATTCTAGGCCCAATACTCATCATTATGGGCTTGGGAATTTGAGGAGAAACCCAACAAATCCTCCCTCGACTCAAAATCCCAAGTGCAACAACAACATCTTCGAGAACAAAACCTGTCCCTCTATCTTCAACTTGAGCTCTTCACTACGAATGTCAAGTGAACTACAAACCTGTATCTCGAATCATCAACTCCTCGGAAATAGGACAACCTCTTCATGTGTGGGAATGTCAAAAAAATACATACCGATCTCCGCTTCCATCATCAACACCACAACAAGTACACACTAGCACTGAGTCATTCTCTACTTGGAGATTCCTCCTTCTATCATCTCTTCCAAACTCGTCAAATTGGGAACCACTGGATGTGACCTCTTCAAACAATATTCTTCACATAATATTGCACCCACTCGGCCGAGCTTCCACACAAGTCACAATCCTCGCAAACGACTCATCACACACAACTAGTACGTCAACCTCCAACATCATCTCAAAGTTAAACTAAAGGACTCAATCATCTTGTACCGCTGCTCTTGACTAGCAGGACACGCCGCCTGACCAACATATCAGGTAGACTTTCGACACAAGGAAATCTCACACAAATCCAAATGGTTAAACTTCAAAACACCTCCACGGTCTGCACATTTCTCTCCCGCACCACATCCTCAACACGTCAAACCACACATCTCTTCATCAAGATTATCCTCCACGAGTAAATCTTGGAACACTACACTCCACCACATCACAAAATTTCAGCACCCACAAAGATTGGAGGCACACACATGCAACCATCTCCACATCTTTAACAACTTTTCTACAACCTAACACATTGAAAATTTTTGAGGACGTGGCGGTCAACTGATGACGTGGTGATCAAACTTTGACTTTGACCGATGACATGGCAGCACAGTCAGCAACACATGGCAGGCACCTCAGCGACATGTGGCATCCACATGGCATAATCTCAGCCATTCATATGCTGCCACATGGCGGCATCTCAGGAAAAATCTAAGTGAGCGATGCTGGATTCCGGAACAGCACCACTGTCCATGGAAAATTGCTAAAAAGCTTTAAAAAAACTAGGACCTTCGAGAATGGATCGCCAGGATTTGCACACGCTCTTGCACCGTATCAAATCTCTACCGCGAATTCTACCCAATATATCCACCACCAACTTGTTTGGTAGCTTCTTCATCACACACGGTTTTGACTCCGCCAGTTTCCGATACTTTCCTTCGTCGTCGACTTCGTGTCTCAAACTCGGCGCCCTTCTCCTTCCTCTTTACAGCGCTGCCAAGGTTTCATACACCAACTCTTGTGGCAGCCTCTTGGACGATTTGACTGTGTTCTTCATCATCATCTTTGATCTCTATTCACCAATTGGATAAACCCTTTTTCGTTTTTTTTAAAATCCAAATAATAACCTAGTCTTTGGAACAAATAACGTTATATATATAGATTATATATATGCCACTATTTGAGTGGTTTAAGGAAACTAATTAAAATCCTAGACCACAAGGTATTCACCAATTGGATTAACCTTGTTTTGAATCCAAGTAAAAACCTAGTAGCTAATAAATACGGTCAAATAAATAACGTGTATATATATATATATATGTATATATATAAGCCACTATGTATTTGTGTGGTTTGAGGAATGAAAATCCTAGTCCGCAGCGTAGAAGGCATGCGCTATCCTAGTCAGAAATATTAAAATCGACTATTAAATTAATTAAGTTTGGTGGATGACTTGTACAGAGCTAATTATTTTTGGTAATAAACCCACAAAACTACTTCCGTTTATTCAGCTTCTTTTTTTCGGGGGTTGTGGTGGGGGATGTCTTCTCATATAATATTAACAATCTTCTTATTGACTGATGAGCATACCTAAGTTTTGTATCAACGATGTTGATTGAGTTGATATCATCATGTATAGTTATATATGTATCATTTTTTTTGTGAGATTAGGTTAATTTCATTGTGCTGATCACACACATACACACATATAGTCACATTAGTTGAGTTCTTTCAGGTTCTTGCCAATCAGTTAGAGAAGCTTCAGAATGAAACTATTAAAGAAAAGATTACATTTAATGCATGCAAGCGGGGGGGGGGGGGGGGGGGAGGAGAACATGGTCATGAAGACTTGTTGGGATTTTTCTTGAAATCCAACTCTCAAGAAAACGGGATTGGAAACCACAAATTGACCATGCCTGTATTCAGGGAGTGATTGAAGAATGCACTGATTCCAATATTCCATCTGTTTGCGAAGAAAGTACTAAGAAGATACAATTCGAGGCTACAAGTAATTGATTTCATAAAAAATATGCATTGTGTGAATTATGTGTAAAATGATGTTTTTAATTATTTTACTGACTGTGACGACTCTGATATTCTCTCATGTTTCTCTTCTTCCTTATATTTTCTTGCTCATTAATAATGAGAGAACTCAATTTGATTTTGCAGAAATTGTATTGTTTATAACAATAATGATTCTCATAACATATTGGGGCGAAGAGGATAAATCATTGAATTCCTTCGTCAAAACTGAAATACTATTGGGAGCACTCATGTCTTTTGTTTTCCATTTACAAGTACACGGAGAATAAAAAATTAGTTAAAAATAAAAGAATGGGACGATTTGATCATCTCATTAAAAAGAGAGAGAGAGAAAATAATTTACAAAATAAACTATTAAAATGGGACATTTAAGTAATATCAACTACTATAAATTATTAATATAATTATTATTAAAATTAAAAGGCGGGAGGAATAATAAAAATCCAATGAAACATGTGGTTAATAAAACTTGCATTACTCGGACCATTCTTACTTCTTAGAATGCAATAAACTCTCTAGCAAGCAGATAACAAAAATAAAAATGTATTACAAACAAGAAGAACAAAAGAACACCTGAACTAACCAACCAAAATAAGTTAGGGTGTTACTAAACGCAGCTTAAATTTACTTTGCGCAGCTTATTAAATAGACTAAAAATACTCTTATGAAGTTGGGTTAAGTAAAATCAAGCTATACGAACAAAAATCAATGGTGATGGACAATTCAGTTCTTTTACTGAAACTGTCCAATTCATGAACATGCTAATGGACAAAAATCAAATCACACCAGAAAACAGAAACAAAGAAAAACAATGGCATCACCCATTACGCAAAAAAAAAAAAAAAGGAAAAAACGACCACCGTACCAAAGGTAGAAAAATTATCTCAGAATATTTTGCCCAAAAAAATTAAAAACCGAAAATTTTCTGCCATAATGCCAAAAACACCAAAGCTGTGGCCGCACGAACACACCAAAATGGGAAAAAAAAAATTGATCACACCAAAAAGTCAAAAATTCGTGCAAGATTACCTCGTTTTTTCCTCTATTATATGTTCTTTGATTCTTTATTATTGCAAACTATATATAAGAAAAAAGGAGAGTGTTTTCAACTACCTATTGAAACAATATGTGTGAAGTTGTAAAAGAAATGATCGCATAAAAAATTTTGTAAGATTTAAGGTTCAAGGGTATTTTACTTTATTCCACAAACTACGCAAAGTAAAATAAAAATGTATTTAGCAATCCACATAATTTATCGAGAATTATTATAAATTTGGCGGTAAGAAAAATGGTGGGAAAAATCGCAAAATGTTATTTCTTCCAAAATTACTTCAGGATTCAAATCCCCCAATCTCCTCTATTCATGCGCGTGTTGCGAACCCCAAAATATCCGCATCGTATCCATCCACGTCACCTTATTGAGCGGGACCGGTTTCTTTCAGTTTTCGCCAAATCAGATGCACAAAGTAAACGCTCCTTCTATTCGCGTGAAACTTAGACAAACAAAAATTTACCATTACCATCAGTGTATATAATCTGGGAGTGAAAAAGGTAAAAAACCAGTCTGAAGAACCCTTTCTCAAGCCCTCCGCCATTGCACTCTCTGAGTCTTCTTCCTCTTTTCACCTAATCCGTTAAATTCAGGAAATCCGAAAATGAAAAACTTTTTGCGATTAGATTTCAGTTTGAAATTTCTTCATTCTGAAGAATTGATGTAGAAATCAGTTGTACGAATTTTGTATTGATTTTTCCTTCTGGCTTTGCATGATCAGCCTGTCTTAGGTAAGTTACTGTTATTCCCATTTCTTCATGCTTCTTAATTTTGTTGTCAATGTTTTGAAGGGCGTTAAGAAATTTTAGAATCCTTTTCTTGTTATTTGCAGATTCTGGAATCCGTTTGGTTTAATTTGGGCATTTATTTTCGTCCCATTTTTTTTTTTATAGAAATTGATATCGTTTTTGTCATGCGATTTCCATCGAGCTTGGAATCTGCTGTGTCCGAAAGAGATAAAGATAAAGTTCTGAAAAATTCTAGGAGTAAGAAAAAACACAAGAGATTGGATGCCATATGTGAGAATGTTTATACTAGGAATCATAATAATGCGGTTGAGAAGGAAGAAATGAGTGTAGCTAATGTGGAAGAAAATGAGAATGACCGTCGCCGGAGCACTAGGGTTCGGAGAGCTCCGGAGGTACTGGATGCTTCCCCCCTTCCTCCGAAGAAGCGAAGGAAAATGGATAAGAGGAGAGGGCTGAGTGGTGTGGCTAAGGGAAAGAGAGTGACTGGGGTGAAAAGTGAGGACTTATGCTCTATTTCGGAGGGGAGGGAGGAGAGTTTGAGTCGGTGGAGGTCACGGTTGAGAACTAAGGTTAAGGGTAAACATGCGAGGTTTGGAGGGGGGGCGAAGGGAACATATTCACCAAGCAGTAAGAAGAAACTATTCGAGGGTACTCATGAATTGAAGGAAGAAACTGTGATGGAAATTCGGCAAAGTGATAATGAAGATGAGTGTGTTGGTGGAACATCATCTGATGGGAAGTCCAAAATGCTAGGGGAGGAAAAGGTGGCATTTAGAATCCAGAGAAGTGGTAACGAAGAGGAATCTGTAGGTCGGAGGTCATCTGCTGCAAAATCTAAAAAACTAGGTAGTGCTAAGGTTTTAAGTAGTTTAGAGAAAGAGAATAAAGAAACTGACCTGCCTGATGCCCCAAGGGAAGAAGAAGTGGATGAAGACTTTGATTTGGGGTCAAGTGAGGGGAATGCTTTGGTTCTGAAGGGTGGAACTGATTGTGTTAATGATGATGCAAAGGATGACTTTGGAACTTCCGAGGTTGTTGAGAAAGAGGAAACAGAAACCCAAGGTTGTTCACCTTCAGACGAATACCCTTGCAATGAAGACAGTGAGATGCTGCTCGATAAACAAACATCTGGTACTGTAGAACGCCCCATTGATACTGTGGAAGTTGATGGTGCCATAGAAGACTCAGCAAAAGTTGGTGAACATCCTGTTGGTGCTGCAGAAGGCAATGATGTTGCAGAAGATCAATCAAAAGTTGATGAACTTCCTAATGGAGCTCCTCAAGGGGTATCCATTGAGAAGTTGGATAGGAAACCAGATGCTACATATAGAACACATAGGCCAATTCGGATCAAAGAGGGGAGGCGCTGTGGTTTGTGTGGGGGAGGTACTGACGGAAAACCCCCGAAAAAGCTTGTTCATTATGGCTGCGGTAGTGATGATGAAGCATGTAGTGGTGATTCTGCTTCTGATGAACCTAACTATGATGTATGGGATGGATTTGGAGATGAACCTAACTGGCTTGGACGGCTATTGGGACCTGTTAATGATAGATTTGGTATAGCTGGCATATGGGTTCATCAACAATGTGCTGTATGGAGTCCCGAGGTACTCTTTATTAGTGAGATATGCATATTTGTTTAACTAGAAGAATGATGGCATGATGTGTGATTTGCATATTAATGTCTACCCAGTACTTGACTTTCTGTGGATATCCTGATTGGTGAAATTCTTGTTCTTAATTTCTGTCATTATTAGACTTACTCTTGATCTTCTGCGCTGAAATTTTGTATCATCCCGATTTGATGTATAAAACCTCAACTCTTTATTAAAAGATACTGTGCATTCAAAGTCAATCATACTAGTAGGTTCTTTTAGTCACATACGATTAAGTCTATTGAAGATAAGTCAGGATCTGTGGACATGTCTATTTTAATTATTAACTGGTGTAAGGTATCTGAACTCAGTAACCCTGTTATTCATGCACAACTATCAGACTTCCAAGGAATTTTGAAGTGTGCTTTTTAATCTATTTTTCCCCACCTCTTTTGGAAAATTTATTTGATACGATTCACAAACTAATGATCTGTGATGTTTCCTGCACACATCTGGACTCTGAAGCATGAATTTACTGCATATAATTTTAGTGTCTTTTTTTTTTTCTGGTGAATCTACTACTGTTATCTACGGTCCATTTATTTGCAATGTTGTGTAATAGATCAGTTATTACATCGTTGTAGATCCTCATCATTTTTGCTATTCTTAGGTTTATTTTGCTGGCTTGGGGTGCTTGAAAAATGTTAGAGCAGCACTTTACAGGGGAAGAGTTTTGAAATGCAGCCGCTGTGGAAGGCCAGGGGCGACAATTGGTTGCCGAGTTGATCGGTGCCCAAAAACTTATCACCTGGTTAGATTTCATCTTGTTCACTATGCAAAGCTGTCATGAATCTTGTTCCTGTGTCTTGTATCGATGATATTTGTTCTTCTGTATATTTCATAGCTTTTTGTCGTTCCCTCATTAGTGGTGTTTTCCTTGCGTAAAGAAATTGACATTTTATTCCCCCATTCACCCTCTGACGCAACAGTCATATTTTGCAGCCATGTGCACGTGACACTGGCAGCATCTTTGATCATCGTAAGTTTCTCATCGCCTGCGCAGATCACCGCCATATCTTCCAGCCCGAGGGGAGTCAATATTTACACCGCCTAAAGAAAATGAAGCTCAAAAAAATGAAGTTGGAAATCAGGAAAGTTTCTAATGATGCACTGCGTAAAGATGTTGAAGCAGAAGAAAAATGGCTAGAGCACTGTGGGGAGGATGAAGAGTTCCTGAAGCGTGAGAGCAAGAGACTTCATAGAGATTTGTTGCGGATTGCACCAACATACATTGGCGGTTCAGGCTCCGACTCCAGTACTGAAATGCAGTTTCAGGGTTGGGAGTCTGTTGCTGGTCTTCAGGATGTCATACAATGCATGAAGGAAGTTGTCATTCTACCACTTCTGTATCCTGAGTTTTTTAGTAACCTGGGGATTACGCCTCCCAGGGGAGTTCTGTTGCATGGATATCCGGGAACGGGGAAAACTTTGGTTGTGCGTGCATTAATTGGTTCATGTGCTCATGGGGACAGAAGAATAGCATATTTTGCTCGTAAAGGTGCAGATTGTTTGGGCAAATACGTTGGTGATGCCGAGCGCCAGTTGAGGCTTCTTTTTCAAGTTGCTGAGAAATCTCAGCCTTCAATAATTTTCTTTGACGAGATAGACGGCTTGGCCCCTTCTCGCTCCAGACAACAAGACCAGACACACAGTTCAGTGGTTTCTACTTTGCTTGCTCTAATGGATGGGTTGAAATCTCGAGGTTCGGTTGTTGTCATAGGTGCAACAAATCGGCCGGATGCCATTGATCCTGCTTTAAGGCGGCCCGGACGGTTTGATCGTGAGATTTATTTTCCACTACCATCAGTGAAGGACAGAGAAGCTATTCTATCTCTCCACACACGTAAGTGGCCGAAACAAATTAGCGGATCAGTACTGAAATGGGTAGCAAGGAGAACAGTGGGATTTGCTGGGGCTGATCTTCAGGCTCTTTGCACACAAGCAGCCATTATTGCTTTAAGGAGGAACTTCCCTTTACAGGAACTTCTAGCTGGTGCTGGAGGGGATGCCCTTCTATGTAAACGCCCACCTCTTCCGTCATTCACTGTTGAAGAGAAAGATTGGTTAGATGCTCTTTCATTGGCACCACCTCCATGCTCTCTTCGAGAAGCTGGAAATGCTGCAAATGATGTAATATCCTCGCCCCTTCCTGTGCATCTCGTTCCTTGTCTTCTACCTCCTCTGTCCAAGTTGATTGTCTCCCTTTATTTGGAGGAACGAATATGGTTGCCACCACCTCTTCATAAAGTGGCTACTTTAATAAAGAATGTAATTGTTTCTGCTCTAGTTGAAAGAGCGGTCGTGGATGATAAATGGTGGTCCCATCTTCCTGATTTGCTTCGAGAAGATGATATTCTTAAAAAGATTGAGGATAAACTCTCGCGAACTACCATTTTAACAGATGCTTTTGGCAGCTTTGATCCTATGGAAGATGTTGGTGATGACCGATGCTCAAGTTTTAAACCTTCAAGGTTGCAGCGCGTTGGTGTTCTCTCTGGTATCTCGAATTCCATTTCCTTAGAATCAGGTGTCAAGTCAGGATATCGGATATTGGTTTCCGGAGAAGCAAGATCTGGGCAGAGGCATCTTTCTTCGTGTCTGCTTCATTGTTTTTCTGGAAATATTGAGATACGTAAGCTTGATTTGGCTACTTTATTTCAAGAAGGCCGCGGAGATGTTCTTCAGGGTCTAACAGCAATCTTGAGTATGCTTATTTTCTCTTGTTTGAAGTAGTAACATTTTTTTAAAACTAATGCTTGCTTGTACTTCTCTCTGTATCATTTCTTTGATGGAAACTTCCTGGTGGTCTAATGTTCATCTTAAGTTCCCTCATCTCTATACTCATTCATTTCCTAGTTTTCTGAGTTGCAGTTGGAGGTGTTTTATTATGTTAATTAGTTGGACTATCGTGCACCTTCCCAAACCAATCTTATTTGGCTGGTTTAATCTCATATTTAATGTGTAAATTGTACCGATAGTTTTCAAAAACCGAGGTTTACATTGCATGCATACTTGATTTTATGTTGTTTTGTTATTTTACAATATTAGTTAAAATGCTGGAACTAGAAATCCAGGCATGGATGTTGTTTTCAGAGTTCTCTGAAGCATTTGTCTTTTAGGAAGTTGATCTGAGTTACCTTTTCTTTTGGCAGTGAGAAGTGTCAGTGTGGGTTCGTGCTTGATCTTTTTGCCTAGGATTGATTTATGGGCCCTGGAGACATGCAGTCAGCCGTGTGAGGAATCACAATGTTCTCCGAGCAACACTGCAACTGAAGAGTTTTCCCAGAGTTCAGAGTCTCAGGCGGCTGAGAAAATAGTTACATATCTGTGGAATTCATTTGTTGAGCAGGTTGAATCCATAAGCGTCCAGACACCTTTGATGATTATGGTATGTCTCTTTGTATTTTTTTAGTTTCTGATTTTTGAAACATTATTTTTTCCTGGGCTTAAGATGAAATAATTGAATTTGGTAGCTCTAAATCTTATTTTAGAGTCAAGATGATAGATACTGTGTGCTTCTCCCTGGACATCCGTGATTGAATTGTGAAGTGGTTGCTTGCAGAACTCTGCTCTTTCTAAACTTAAAATATGTCTATCTTATGTTAACTGTTATGTTAAATTTGTACGGTTTGTATGTCTGGCCTCGTGAATTAATGATGAATTTCCACTGTATGTGGTCCTTAATTATTCTGGTTTAGTAAATCACATTCCTTTTGCAAGCTGTTTGATGCCATGAACATCCTTCTCCATTAGTGTGAAGATGTTTGAATAGTAGTCCCATTGGCATCCATGATATAGACTTTCTATGTTTCATTTTCCATTAATTTAACTTTCCTTTTCAATTTGCCTTTTTCTTTTTCCAAAAGGTGATCTGTTTGTTGGTTTAATAGAATGAGACCACATTTCCCATCATTTTTTTTTTCAACATGGTTTTTCCAATCATCCCATTAATTCCCTTGAGTAATATAGTTGCTAACTTTGTACTTATTGTATGAACAGGCCACAACGGAAGTTCCATTGCTGGATCTTCCTCTTGGAATAAAGCAGTTTTTTGGCTGTGAGATTCTGAAATGTGGTCTCTTAAATCCCTCTAAGGATACTGTGCCCCGTTTCCCAGTGGAGATTGATGGGCATTTGAATCATGTTTCAGTAACTGATACTTCCGCTGAACGGTTATTGTTGGATCTAGTTCAGTACTACATTCATTTTCTTCGTCTTGAAATTCATTCAAACTCATTATGTGATAAGAAGTCGTCTGATTTTGTGGAACTTTCTGCTGATGCCATCATTAGTAGCTCAGATCCTGGATCTACCACTGAAGGTGGAACTGCTCCTGTTACATCTGTTCCAGTTCACAATCCTGTCAAAGGGAAATCCAGTTTGCTTGCTGCCATATCCACATTTGGATATCAGATTTTGAAGTATCCTCACTTCGCTGAGCTTTGTTGGGTCACGTCGAAGTTGAAGGAAGGTCCCTGCAGTCGTATAGATGGACCTTGGAAGGGCTGGCCTTTTAATTCATGTATTGTTCGTCCGCTAAATTCAAAAGAAGGGTTTGCTGTTACCTCCACTTCCAGTGCTACCAAGAATATGGATAAATCTAGTGTTGCGAGGGGCCTGATTGCTGTTGGTTTATCGGCATACAGAGGTGAATACACTTCACTGAGAGCATTTACATTGGATATTCGGAAAGTCCTGGAGATTCTTGTTGGGTGTATTGATGCTAAAATTCAGACTGGCAAAGACAAATATAAGTTCTTCCGCCTGTTGTCCCAGGTGGCATATTTTGAAGATATCGTTATTAGCTGGGCATATAGCTTACGGAGGTAACACTTGAATATGATTTTACTTTTACTTTTGGTATAATTCAGCACTTAACAAGATAGTTTTTTCCCCTTTCAGCTTAGAGGTGGATGCTCCTTGCTCAAGCCCTGGGCTAACTCGTACAGGATCTTTAACCAATCCTAATTCTTTTAAGCAAAGTCTTTGTGATGGTGGTAAGGGAAAATCCTCTGATGAGATTTTGCATGAACCGGAGAAGCAAGAGCAAATTTCTAGGGAAGTCAGTGTGAAAGACACTGTTGACCATCAAGTTGCTGGTTATGATACAAATCATCAGAACAAGAGCGAAGAGCTTGGATCTGTACACAAGCAAGCGCCTGTACTCAGGGTCTCAGATAATTCTGCTTCTACTTCAGAGATTCGCAATCCTCTGTCAAATGGGATGATTTCTGAGGCTTGCATGCCTGTGGACACTGGGAATGACACTGAAATTGGTAGTGGTTCTGAAGGCTGTGAACGTGCTAATGGGTTCTTACGCCAAGATTCTTCTGCTTTCGAGGATGGTGCCCTCGTGAGTGGCAATAAATTTGGTATGGAGCTTAACAAGGAGGACGCTGCTGTGGCCTTGGCCTCAAATGGTACGGCAATGGACAATGGTACCAGGAGTTCTCTAGAAAGTTGTTTAAAGAGTTCTTCTAGACTGCCCATGTCTTGTATGTACCTTTGTTGCTCGCGCTGCCTTGTCAACCTTTACAACTTATTGCTGAAACTCATCAATAATGAATGGAAGGTGAAAGGAAGCAGTGAGGCAGTTGAAGATTTTCATGATGTTGTTTCCTCTTTGTCTATTAGTCTTCAATCAGCAGTGAGGAAAATGTTTGCAAAAAATTGTGTCAGCTCTGAGTCTGATGAGAAGCTGATGCAAGAGAAATGCTGCAACAACCATCAATGTACTCAAATGTGCATATCCCAGTGTAAAATCTCAGAGAGAGGACCAGTCGTGCCAATGGAGTGTAGTAGTCATTCTACAGGTGAGGATGGAGCGGCAGAAGGTAAAGTCTTTCCCAACCCCCGGTTTGATTTCAATACGAAATTCTTTTTCAGAGATGGTGTACTTGTTTCCGGTTTAGACACCGGCGGCAAAGACAGTCTCCACTGTAAATTTGAGAAACTATGCCTTTGTTCTCTTGTTGAGTGCATAGAATCCAGCTAGGAATTATTAGACTGAAAGGCTAACTGTAAGTTGTATTACTAATTTGGATTGTTCTTGTAGCTAGAGAATTGTATAAAAAAATCAAATTTTGTTTACGATTAAGTTTGTTCTTGGTTCATCTCGCGTTGATATGTAGTTGCACGTGCATGTAATAACTTTTCTCGGAGTAAAGTCATTTTCTAAATCTATTGTCCCCAGGCTTTCTGCTAACCCAAATAACTGATTGAGTAGGGCATTGATACAGTCTAATTACCTCAAAATCTGGACTTTAAAAAGAATGATTTATTGTTGTGAAGTTTAGTTCTTTTCTCCTTCTGAGTATGGCAATTCATCAATCAAGACGAGATTCAAACCTCTGAACTTGTAATCACTGAGTGAACAACTGGTCTGAATTTAGTGATGACCAGCAACTCCTTTATCGGGTCAAACAAGAGTTATCACTGCAATAAGCGAATCAATAACGTCTATTACAACACGACACAAATTCTATTAGGGCTCTACACATCTATAATGAAATCATAATCTGCCATAATGTGTTTTTTTTTCAAAGCTGATGTAGTTCTTCTATGAACTTATCCACATAGTCACCCAAAAAGCTTGGCCCTGCTAGAATTTCCTTCCATTTTGCATGATTTTTCTTAATAACATTCCCCACCTCACTATCACTATCCATCACAGACTTTATTGCTCTGCACAAACTCTCTTTGGAAAACCATGCGTTGCTATTTGCTTCCCTTTCTATCTCAACTGCAACCTTCAGTTCTTCAGCTAACAGCCTGGTGTTCAGTATTTGATCAGCCAAATGTGGTACCAAAACTATCTGGCAATCACTCATCAATGATTCCCACATCGATCCAAACCCGCAGTGATTCACAAAACACCCAACTGATGGATGTTTCAATATGGCTAGTTGTTGCACCCAACCTCCGTGAACAATTCCTCTGCCCCGGACCCTATTTTCGAATCCTTCCGGGAGTGCTTCTTCTACAGTTTCGGATCCAAATGGCGGTTTCAGGGCTATAAGAAATGGCAGCCCTGTTAACTCAAGTCCCGAAACGAGTTCTTGAAATTGCTTCTTTTCCAGGACAATTTGGCTTCCAAAGGCACAGAACACAACTGTGCCTGGATTGAAGCCGTTGAGCCAGTTCTCCCATTTTTCTTCCAATTTCTCGCTTGTCGACTCAGGCAAAACAGGCCCTGTTAGCAACACTGGTTTCTCATAATCTTTTGCGATGTAATCACATAAAGGCCCTTCAATTTCTCTGCATGTTCTGATTGAAATCGCGTCGCTTTTCTTCATGGCAGTCGTGACGCGATCAAACAAAGTTATCCCCTTTCCAAATTCAAGGAAAAGGAAAGAAAATGAATGAGCTTCATGCTTCCTCAACAAAACTGTTGATGAAGGGTAACCAGGAGGCGGTTTTTCCAACTCGGACTCTGTAATTGTCCGGTCTTGATCAGGTTTTCGCGATGGGACTAATGCAATGGCGAGTGATGCAGCCGAAACAACGTTGTAATTCACCGTCTTAAACCCGATTTCTGAGGCCAATTGAGGTATCCAATGTGCCACATCAAAAAGAACAATGGAGGGCTTCAGTTTCTGTAGCAATTCTTTGACTTGACCCTGCATTTTGTCCATGGCTGTTACCAGGTGAGTTGTAAGAAAAATGGGGATTTCTGAAGCTGTTTCGGTTCCCGGAGGAATGCCATCGACTTGAGGAACCGCAAGGATGTAGAAAGTGATGAGATTGGGGTGAAGATTGATGTGTTCTAGTTGTAGTTTGGCTTTGTTTGGCAACAAGAAGGAGATTTTATGGCCTTTTTCTGCAAGTTTATTTGAAAGATGGAGGAACGGTGTCATGTGACCTATTGCAAACCATGGAAACATGACAATATGCAACTTTTTTGAACTGTTGTTTTCAGCCATTTTCTGGGGGGGGTTTCTTTTCTGGACTAAGATTGAAGTTCTTTCTTGTATGAATCAATTAAGCTAATTGGAATTTTGTGATCTTTTGTTGTGGATTTGTTCCTTGTTCACTGATCTTGATTACAAAACATGAGGTTCTTAATTGTTCGACTTGGTCGCCCAATCCAAGAAATGTGTGCATGATTTTACGCAAAACCTAAAGAAGGTGATTTTTTCTAAAACAAATTTCCCGCATGTTATTGCGGTTTTCGAAAGTAAGGTGTATTTATTATCTTTTGCATGTGTTAAAATAGATACTTCCTCCGTTTACAAAATATATTTCCGTCAATTTTATAAATACTAATATGTAACATTAAATAATGTATTTAAAGTATAAAATTATCCTTATTTATTATCCATATAACTCATCAGCAACCAATCCAATCTCATTTTAAATATATTTTATTTCCAATACAGGGATAAAATTAAAAAAATAAAATAAAAGTTGTCTCGATGTGAAATGAAATATATTTTAAAAAACTTTATAAACCTTAAAAGGACATATATTTAAGATTGGAGGGAATATTATGTACATTTTCATAACATTCGCAATGTAACTAATTTAAAATTAGTTCTCACTAAAATAGAAGTTCATATTTTATTATGAAATGACATTGTTGGATGTGGACTGGAGTGTATTATTCTAATTTATTATCATACTACTCATTACATGAATTAATTATCAATGAGAAAATATTTTAATATATTAATGAACATGTGGAAAGAATTGTGGTCCTGTTAATTTCTTATCCCCGCTCTCTAATTAATATAATCTATATGTTCATATATAGTGACAGATCGTGATTCCAGAGAGCATGCAATAACTGGATGCAAATTGTAAAATTTAAGAGAAAGGGAAAAACTGGATGAAAAAAAAATAAAAAACTAAAGGAAGTTTAATTAATTTGAGAGAACAATAGCAACTTACTTGGAGGAGAGAACAATAGCAATGACAGTAAATACATTATATATCTCTGATGTTGTCATATCCCTTCAATCCCATATGCAATATTCATCGTACCAGAAAAATGTATAATTCATTTTATTGAAATATTACAATACAATAAAAATAAATAATTTTCTAGATTACAACGATCGAGATACGAAATTAATATAAACTTGATCAAAGTTCGCGCCTTATATATACGATCGGCAAATCCATATAACATTGTTTTTTTTTTTTTTTTACCTCAGTCAGTACATTTGTAGCGATTTAATGCCATTTTTTCCTGCAGAACTTCAAGTAGCTAGTTAATACTCCTATTATCTGTAATATGCTGCTGGTACGGCCCCATAATTCGAGAAATCGTTGCGAGTTGTGAAAAGAAAATTGATTTGATAACGTTTTTATTGTGCTTAAAAAAAAAAGAAGAAAAGAGTCGTTCTCAATATTGTCAAACCCTCGAAGTTCTCCATCACTCGTCTCTTTCACTGCATATAATGATAAACTAATAGTATGAAAAGATTTGAAGGGCCTCTTCCCCTTATATGTATATTTTGCCAATGGCAATGCTGACATGATGTGTGTGCCCAATTATAATGACAGTATTTATTATGTGATAACATCGGTTCTCCAAAACAAAAATTATCAAAAATCGAAAAAATTTACCTTATTAAATTATTCGAACAAAATGAATTATTTTAGAAACGAAAAGAGTATATAGCAGCAACATTCAATGAATGCTACAAGTGCATGCAGCCAAGATTTCTTTCTTCTTTTCTTTTTTTTTTTCAAGTGATGACTTGCACGTAAGAATAATCACAAATAGGCTCAAAAAATTGTTATAAACTTAATAATTACTTAATTGTTTAACAACCTCATATCTTGTTCCCAAGTGGTTGTGAATGAAAGGAAAGTCTCACTTTATATTCAAAGATAATATGTGAAGATTTTGAAAAGACATTATGAAATGAAATCTATGAAACGCTTACTTAGCAAAGAAATAGTAAACTTATCATGAAAGTGACATGACTAAAAGCTCCAATTAAAAGAGAAATGAAGGGGAAAAAAATAATTGAAGAAAAATAGAGGAAATCTATCCAAAGCTATCTCGCCATGCTCCACGCAATGAGTGAAGCGAAGTAAAGTCGGCCATTGTTGACTACATAGTTTAATCCTAGTTGATACAGTTAAAAACAAAAAGTCATATTTAAAGAGAAGAAATTACTTTCCGAATAAGATACAGTAGCAACCCTCCTAATCAATATTCGGATTATGACATGAGCTTTTACTAGTGATAACCTCTCAAGAAAATGAACTCGATTGATAGCCAAATTAGATGTTACAATTGACGAGTCCATATCCTACACGGATTATCGGACCGGTCCATCCGCTAATAATAGGTCCAACCGATTTATCTAGGACAGTTTTAACAATATAAAACTTAGTAGGATTCGGACATGTACTAGGTAATTCTATGCTTATAAATAGAGATACGTTATCTCTAATACTAATTATCATATACACGTTTACTTATAACTCTTCTTTAACTTAAGTATCGGAGTGTTTACCATCTGGAGACGCTCGAGGCTCTGTTTTGCAAAAACTCTAACGGAGTTTTATTGCCGAACTGGCGATACAAATCCAGGTTCCGTCAACAATGATTTCAAACACAAAGTGTATGGTAAAAATAAAATTGAAAATGAAGGCATATTGAGATGGGTAATAAATGTAACAACCATGCTGTCATAAAATAAACTTTACTATTGAGTGAAAGTGACACAATGATATATTTGCAGGTGTAAATCGCACGAAATTCCATTGAGTGAGTAATGTAACTTTTCGTATTGAATTTGGAGTTTTTTAAAGTTTTTTAACCCGTTTCCAAGCCAGTTTTTGGGGTGAATATTCCATTGCTACACTTGTTGTTGGTGGGAGGTAAGAATGATTGGGTATTGATTACTGAAAGCCAAATAAAGACAAAATTCGTAGTAGTATTGTTTTTCTAAGTAAGCTCACCTAATAGGCAAACCCTATTTTAGCTCTCACTATTATAGTAAGATAAATATTACTTATCTTAAGTTTCATAATTATTTGTTTAACAACAAATTAAGATCAGAGACAATCCAATTGTATTTTGTGTTTGTGATAGTAAGGGGAATAATTTTACATTAGAGAAGCAAAATCATTTCAAATATAACACATTTGTGCCCATATTACTTGCAACACAAACATGTTGCATGATTGCATCTCTTAAATTTACATTGTGCCATAAGTTGTCGATTTCTTGTCATTTTTTCACCAATGGTAGAGTGGCATTTATCAATTAGTTTAAAGTATCTGGTCTTTTTTTCCCCCTTTTTAAAACGATTATTTTATTTATTATATTATCGGAACAATTTTCAGGATTGAATAGTTTCAATCAATTAACCTTAAGATGGATGAGACACCATGTGCCTGAAGTTCAGGAAATCACCTAACTCGTTACCTGTTAGCTGAACTTTTAATATAGAGTTTTAAATCAGCAAATAAAAGACATTTCCCCATACCCCCCAAAAAAAAAAAAAAATACTTAAACAAAAGCAAAGATTTGTTGGATGGATTAGGAAATTAATCAGCACAGCAGTCTAGAAATATGAGGATCCACCTGGACTTAATTATGCACAAAAAACAGGGTGACAAATCTCATGCATCAGACAAACAGCACTGTAGCTAGGCCTTTTATTGGTGGTTGTGAAATTGCATTCACATATCAAATCTAATACTAGTACTGTTAATGATATTAAACAACATTATTAGCTGTCACATTAACACATAATTTTGAAGAAAACTCAAGAAACCCCTCAAATTATCAAATAAAAAATTAGGGTTTTCTTGCTGTGTGTATATATTCTGTATGTATGTGTATCTCAGTGATCCCTAAACCAGGGGGCCTCACATGGGGGTTGGGTTGCTGTGCTGGCAGTATAACCATGTCTTCTCCTCCTTCAACTCCCTGAAAACTCAATTAATTCCTCTCCATATATTCTTTGGTTTCTCCAATTAAATGCACACACCTCTTTTTTTGTCTTCTCACAAGCCTATCACAAAATTTTAGAGTTAATTATCAACTACCCCTTCAAAAGTTACTATTTTGAGAAATTCCTACTCAAATACAAGTGATATTAGTTCTCTAGAGGTTTTTTTCCTTTCTGTTTTCATGACGGTAAAAAACTATGATGACATGTTACAGAAATTCAGTTTTGAATCGACAAATTCACTATTGAGGCGATTATTAATCCTAATTTCTAGTTGCAATGTACTTTACTTGCACCCGAAACAATGAAAAGAAAAATCTAATTTACATTTAACACAGCTTACTACATATTTACCGCAGACAAAATGTACTAGCTAGAGAAAACATGTTGAAATCTTTGTAATACAAACAGAACAATCATGTAGTTCTATTTGTTTTGATAACATAAGAGTGTCTTTGGGAAATGGTATCATTATGCAAAATGACGAATCTTGAGGGTAGGAGGTTGCAATAACTCTGAAATTTTAATATATTCTCTCCCTCAAACTTCAATAATCAAAGACTATCAGAGACTTGTCACTTGTGTCCATAAACAATTGATTGGATTGCAATTTCTTCCAAAATAAATGCCCCCAATCCCACATGGCTTTACCTAGTCAGCATATAGACACACACATCTTTTATTGTTTCCCATATGCAACCACTTGTATATATAAAGGCTTATCAGTCAATCCCATGTGAGCTTCTTCTTCTTCTTTGCAAGGAAAAAACACACACACACACCCACAAAACCATTATTATTCTAAAAGTTTTCTCTGCAGGTATGGAGGTTATTCATAATAGCTCTTTTGACTCCCCACCAAAAACTGTTGTAAACTTGGAACAAGAGCCTGGAGATCTTCTTGAGAAATCTTGGTTCTTTGGGAATCTGCTGGACAGAAGAACAAGGATGTCTAGATGTTATTCTGATCCTGGTTCTTCAAGTTCATCTTCCAAACCCAGTAATGAAGATCAAGATCAGATTTCATCCTCTGCTTCTTCATCATCGGCAGCTGGGAAATCCTACGAAGAAACTTATTCATCATTGAAGAAACTTCCGCCACAGGGGCCGAGTTTTGGTGGCGGCGGCCGTCCTGGCGGTGGTTTGATGAGGACACCGTCTTTGCCGGAAGAATCAACCCATCAGCGTGCAAAAGGGAGGAACTTTAGCAATAATGATAAGGGAGGAAAGCCGGCTGGATTACTCCGGCAGCAGTCAACGGCTAATTATAATCTTCTCCGGGCACCGTCTATGCCGACTTCTTTAGTAGTTAAGGATGAAATTCATGATGAAGAAAGCGAGTTTTCAATGAGCAAGTTGATTAGGCAAGCTTCCTTGAAAACTCCAGAAGTTTTACCCCACCAAGACGCCTTCCCAAGGTAACCAAAAAAAAAAAAAAAAAAAAAAACCACTCTGTTTCTCAATCATTAAACTATTGGAGCAATTAATGATCATTGATTGACATGATTTGGTTAGAAGATAATGTCAGTCTCATCAAAGGGACCATATTTCTATTGAGTGATTACACAACTTGATTTGATCTGTGTCGCAAATCATTTGCATTATTGAGTATTTCTATGTTTGATCTAAAACGCGTAACACTTTTTTTTCGAGTTGGGTTCGTGTCGTGTTACACATTGTTAACACAATCAAATAATTGAATCAGGAGGTATGATCTTTGATAACAATGGCTTAACTTATCCAATCTAAAATCTGTCTGTTTCTTTTTTTCCCAGGCTGTGGCACAAAGTTCAAACACACCGCCAAGGAATCGCCAGATGAGGAGAAAAACAGAGTTGGAAAGCAGTAAAACAGAGAGCCCTGTTGAAGCGAAAGTTGTGAGGTCAAATCCCTTAATTAGGACCAAACTGGAAAGGAGTACCAGTGATTTCAGTAATGAACTTAAAGGGTTGAAGAATTTGAGTTTGAAATGGGATAACAATAAAGATAGTCTTCGAGTTGGTTCAAGTCGCGATGATAATGAGGTGAAGAAATATTCTTCATATGAACATCAGCAGCAGCAGCAGCAGGGATGGCTTTCAAGAAACAATTCATTGTCTCCTTCTTCTTCTTCTTCTTCTTCTTCAATGGATAAAAGGTCAGCAGAAGACATGAAAGAACAGATTAAGTTCTGGGCTAGAGCTGTTGCATCCAATGTTCGACAGGAATGCTGAAAAAAAACACAAAAAGAACTAACAATACAAAGTTACAAAACTTCTTCTGATGATCAATCTCTATATTTACCCAGAGAGTTATTGTAGAAATATTAATTCATTTGGTAGAGGTAAAATCTGAACAAAAACTATCACATTAATTATTACTACCACAAATTCTTGTACTCCCCAATCAATAATTACTGAATGTATGTAAAATTTTATGCAGAGATTATGTTCATTTTTCTTGCAAATAACTTGAGAAGCATTTGCGGTTCTATCCAATCAATATTTGGCTGTTTCGGTTTGGCCTTTGTGTCTGAAAAATCATTGGATTGCTTCATTAATTGCTACAGTTTTTAGCATGTGAATATGAGAGTTGCTGTATTGACTGTTTATCAGTTTGTTTTTACACTTTTTAATCCTGTTACAATCTGGAAACTGAAGAAATGCCATCCATTTGTCTGGCTTCTTTTGTCCCCTTTTCATCTGACAAAACCTTTTTTTTAAAAAAAAAATTAATGTATAACTTGAAGAAAGAAAAGCTGGCAATGAGTAATAATGACAAAGCCAAACCGAAATCCCCCCAAATGGGCATCTATTAAACAAATCCAAGTAAAGAATCTAGTAGCCAACCATCTGAACAAAAGCAGTTCCAACTTTTTCGGTTAAATTCACATTTTGTGTGTGTGTTTTTTTACCACTTTTGGTTGGGGTTTTTTAAAAAAGTAGTTTTAGTTTGGATAGGTAGTCATAAATGTCATACATATAAAGTTGGAAAAAGAACAATCATTATTATGAAGCAGGATTATTATAACTTCTGGAAAGATCAGTAGCAATATTACTACTGTTGTCTGGACACATAATCTATATGGTAGTTGAAGAAAAGTGAGGAGGATGATGACCCCATCTTATAAAGTTTTGAGGTTTTTTTTTTTTTTTCTTTCTTTCTTTTAGCGTAAAGCTTTTGTCGATTGTTGTGTTACTATCGACGAAAATGGCTGCTCGTGAAGGTTGATGATGAGAAACAAATGACCTACACCACACTTTTTTTTTTTTAGTGTATACACTTCCCTTCATGATGCAACTGAATCAATTTATGTTTTTCTTTTTCCTTTCAGTTGTCCCCCCTCTCGGTTCTATCTGTTTCCAAGCCAAAAATGTTTGAGATTGCAAACACAAACATAAAATTTTCGACGTAGCTAGTTTGAGGAGAACATGAGTACTCCCTCCGTCCCAAAATTATTGTCTAGTTTGAGATTTCACTTTTAGTACGATTTGAACTAAAAATGAAAACTCAAACTGAACAATAATTATGAGACGGAGGGAGTAGTATTTTAGTGAAATCAAGGTTCGATAAAATAAGAGTCCTCAAATAGTACAACAAAAAATAAGGAGGACAACGCATTGGTGAAACTGTCGGAACTCGACGGCTCTGTTATAGTAATGGAGGTTCAAATACTTGAGTCTTGAATTAGTTGAGAATGATAACTTTGTAGTATCATCTGATTGTCAATTATCGTCTCCGTGACTCCACCCTCTCTATAAAACCTCACTCACACCAGCTAGTATAACTAATCATGTGCATTTGGAAACAAAATCAAATGGGAACGAAATTCAGCTAATTACAACTTTTCACTTACATAATTTGTTTTCATATAGCTTTCTCTACACTATTAATGAAGAAGATCAAAACCAATATTGTACAATGTTCACAAATCCTTTCATTCCTTGGAGTTTTTGGGAGTGCAGAAATTACATTGTAATTTAGGCGAACATGTATCACATTCAAACTAATTCTCATTCAAATCAGACAAATATCTTTTAGAAGATAAATCTCCCCGAACAAGCATGTATAAAGTATAAACTGCCGTAACATTTCTATCCATGCCAAGAAGTTGATTTGAGCATAGTTAATCCGATTCAATACATTTATCACTATAACTAACTACTTATTGGTAGTAGTTTTTTTTTTTTTTTTTTTTTTGGTAGTTTCCTTGATACCTCTTTCTATAATTTTTCTTTGATTCCTTGAAAAATCAAAATATTGTGATTTCCATAATCCCATTTGGCAGGATGAATCATGCTACAAAACAGAAACGGAACAAATAGATTTTTCGAAAAGCCAAAAAAAAAAAAAAAATCAGATAATTCATCAAACAAAAGAATCCCTTCGCACTCTTATCCCCTTCTTCCACCCTTCAACTCTAAAACCCTCAATCATCAAATGTTGCAAAATGCAAACCCACCATTTTCTCCCTTCCAATCCTCTTGTACCCATTTGTAACTCCACCAAATTCACGCCTTCTGCATACCCATTTCCCACTTCTGTTACTTTCCTCTCCGGTAGACCTTCCGCCATCACCGTCGCAGCCCACAACCACCGCACAACTACAGAACCATGGCTAGCTCAAGTTGCCGAAGAACCCTCTACCGCCACCAATGCGGAAGTCCCACCGCCGGAAGAGGGCCCCATAGAACTCCCATCTTCTTTCCCGGCAATTTTTGCCACCTCCGATGAACCTAGCCCCATCCAGGCGGCCACCAGTCTTCTCCTCACTGGCGCCATCTCTGTTTTCCTCTTCCGCTCTATCCGTCGCCGTGCCAAACGAGCTAAAGAATTTGTAAGATGTGATGCTCATTTTATTAATCGTCGTGACTTAATTTATCTGTGCAAGCTGTTTAGTTTCAATTGATCAAAAGATATTTATGGGGCAAAAAGTTTGTATAGATTTAATGGAATTATGGTGTGGTTCATTGGTCTAATTGATTTGTATCGTTAGTATTGATGTTTGCCTAATGTTGAATTAGTTTTAATAGAGGGGAAAAAAAAAGCTCCTTATCTACTCTTACTTTTAGGCTTTTAGCTAAAGAGGAAGATTTGAGTAAAGGAACTGTGACATTTGGTTCTTGCATTTTGCTTTTGTTTTCATGGGAGTTTCAAGTGGATAATGTCTCTAGTTTATCTGGAATTAGAAATTTAGGTCATCTGGAGCTAAGAAATCCTTGAAAGAGGAGGCATTGGAAAATTTAAAAGTCATGGCACCCACTCCTATTAATCCCAAGTCTCCACCTTCACCTGCTCAAGCATTTTTGGGAGCTTTGACAGCTGGTGCAATTGCTGTGATTCTTTACAAATTCACTGTTACTGTTGGGGATTCTCTGAATCGCCAAGCACTGTCCGACAACTTTTCGGTTAGTCCTCTGATCATAATTCTCGACCGATACATCGTGTGCTTCAATTCTTGTTGTTGCATCTGAAATGACATGATGAATGCTGAAGTCTGAAATGCAACTTATAAGTCATCGCTGTTTTCACTTTTCATTTGATGATTTTGGTAGCTAAGTTGCTTGACACTTGCTGGACCCTCTGGTCATCTTGAAAACTCTGTCTTGATTGGACCAAGGTTGGACATAATTGTTCATAAATCGTTGCCTCGATTGCATTTATCTTGAAAATCTCTGAATTGAACTTTTATTCAATCCTTTGTTGACCTGAGATTTAACATTTCTTTTTGTTCCAGGTTCGCCAGATCACGATAACTATCAGGTACAGTATACCATCTACTTTGAATCATATATCTTTATTAGATGGAATGGAGGATCTGAAATGCCCTGTCTGTTTTGGTTCTGCAGGACAATCATTAACGGAGTATGTTACCTTGCTACATGTGTATTTGGCATCAATGCACTGGGATTGCTCTTATACTCTGGCCAGCTTGCCTTCAATTCATTCACTGGAGATTCGACTACAAATACTTCAAAAGATGAAGTTAAATCACAGTTAAGCTCATCAAATGCTTCAGTACAAAGTCCCATTGATAGCTCTGAGCCAAAAATAGTAGATGAGGATCAAACTTCTGATAGCACACAATGATCATAGATGTACAAACACCTTTTGCCAAACCGTCCCACTGCAGTTCATGTATAAACGAGCGCTCTGTATCTACCTGTGTTGTAATAGTGCTTTACCTCTGTTCATCAGTATGGTACATACTATTGATGTGGTTAGTGCTAGCATATTCTCCGACGATGAGTTTGAAATGGCATCTTCTGCTCATTGACCTGATTTTCGTACATTTATGAGGTGAATAAACTGTATGTGATTTCTCTTCGCAAAATACTGTGTCCCTGGCATGCTGCTGCTGTGCTGCATTTGCCGTTCTTCCATATTGATTTACACAGATAATTTTGAAGTCAATGAACACATGATTTTCAGATCAATATATCTTGTTTGATAATGGGTATTCAAGAAGTAGAATTTGTTCTCCTATATGGAAGGTAACAAGTTTTCATAGTTTTACAGCAAACTGAGGCAACTTTTTTATTTAGTTTTCTTGTAAAGCCCATTAGGAATAATGGTGGTTTTAGGTGGCTCTTAGTATTTCAGTTTAGGATGCGATCCTGTTGAACTAATTTCAAACATTGATGGTCTAACCCAGGCTGATTAAGAGGTTCTCAGCTCGGTGAAAATCTAGAAAGCATGTCTGCACTGTTGATTTTCAGGACTTGTTTGTAGCAGGGGAAAAGTACAGTGAATTGCTCCATTCTTAAAATCAAGATACGTCCGTTCGGTACTCTCTCAGCAATCAAGCATAAGGAAAGAATCTTTTATATTTGTGTTGAAAGTACATTCTGTTTTACAACCCAGATGTGTTTCTTATAAGCAGTTTGTTTTAGCTGTTTTATTGCAGAACCATCGATGAATATGTTATGTTCAATTCACAATGCTGTTTTGCTGGCAGAACATGCAAGGCTTCTATTTCTTCCCAAGTGGTACTCATTCAATGAAGCACAGCAGCCACAGTAATTGCAGCTGCATCAGGGCTATACTTCTTGATCACACCGTTGTGGACTGTGTTACACTGAAGCAGCGGTGTCTTATTCGTGTCCAAGGTAATGCAGCAAGATCACCATAATCACCGAAGAAACTAGCATGGGAATAGGACCAAAAGCCCACATGAGAAATGGCATAGCGAAATAGAGAGCCCTCATTCCAAGTTCATAGAAGTTACTTCCTCTGATCACTTCCCTTTCCTCGTATCCCATAGGATATTCAACATTTGGTATGGTGATGAGGTAACTCGCGTGAACAAAGCACCTTGTAGTTTGCACAAATGAACCAAAGGCCACAAGAAAGCAGATCAGTAGAGATACATACTTCACTGGTCATTACCGTAGGGCTGGTGTCTCCATAAATGAAACTGCTTGTGAAGAGATTTTTCTCGGAACGTCCTAGCCATGCTCCAATTGGAGAACTCATGACTAGAGAAATCGAAGAAAGGTTAGATGCTGCTGAGATGTTGTTGCCAAGAACTGCTGTCGCCGGCCTGTCTTTGCAATCAATCTGCAAACACATTGTTATCATGACTATCGGTAAGAGTAGGTATACCATTATTCATTACTGTCCCAGGATTCTATTCCAGTCAATAACGGAAAAATCGAATTGACATGATGAGTAAGGGCAAGAGAATGGATTCAAATGTACTGACCTCAAACATCCTTTCAACCCAAGTTCTTTTGCTGTGATCCTCACTCATAGCCCATAACTGTGGTGTCGGGATTTCTCAAGAACCTACAGAGAAGGAGGACGTGATATTCAAACATAATGAACAAGCTGATTGGTACCAAGCTCAAACCCAAGTTTTCCTTCCTCCATTCTAATCCCATTTCGCCTTTAACTTTTGTTCTCCAAGAAATGAGTGTGCTTGAAGAACTAACTGCTATGCTCTATTTCAGTGCACAACACTGAAGTTGAGTTGTGTATTTATATCAAATGCCAGGACCGATTAGCTCAGCATTAGAGAGATGCAATCAACTCTCAACTTGTATCACCACGCCACATTTCTTGCCCAATTTTTTTAAAGCTTCATTAACATGCTTGTTTATATATTTAGTTTTCAAATGTATGATTGAAGATGCTTATGGTTCGATTTTCTTAAAAACAATTTGGGGCCATTTTGGATGGGATTCTTTTTCTGGAAAAAAAAATTATTTCTGTAATGTAAGGAGTAGCCTGAGACCATGAACTGATCATTAGTTGTCTTGCATTGATTTAGTTTGACGGCGCGCACATGTCAAGATCATAAATTCCCAGTTCATTCCCAGTTGTGCTGCTGGTTTCATACATTTTTTTTTTAAATTAATAATTTTATCTATGGGCGATCATTTGACTGTGTTCATTCATATTTGGCCGAAGCAGCAAATCTTTTCACAATCAAGTCAGGAGAAACCGGAGAAACATAAATAAAATAAATACTCCCTCCATTTCACAACGTAAGTCTTTTTAGTCTCTACACGTAAATTAAGAAGGCAATCATTTAATGAATAATTTATGTGTTAAATATTTATTACCCTTCATTAATTGTTTTGGAACTATCACCAAAACTACATGAAAAGTGGTTAGCAATTAGCATCATTTATTATGGACAAAATTGGAAAATTAATTTTTAATTTGCCTTGAAATTCTAAAACGACTTACATTTTGAAATATTTTTCCAAACCTAAAATGACTTACATTTTGAAATGGAGGGAGTAATCAATATGAATTATGGAGGAGAAGAAAATTTAATTTTCGTTGCGAGTTGGGAAAACCGGTGAATTAATTTCTGCAGAGTTACCATGGCACTATATTATTAGTAGTACTCCTACATATTAATTGTCCGCACAACGACCGATTGGGTTGCTTGTTCGTTCGAACAGGGTGAATTAATTCCAATAATTAGAGATACCACGGTCCTATATATATGGTCACAACACAGTTGGTTTTCTTTGCCCTACCTAATATGTTTTTCCAACTGAAAAAAAAAGAAAAAATCTTAAAAGAGTCGTCAGATCGATCAAATGAATTACGACATTTTTTTTTCTTGTATATTACCATATAAATTTTGGAGAAGGAAAAAAAATTTATGAAAGTCTTTTTGATTTGGGAAAAAAAAATTAAGCAAATTTTTTTTTTAAGAATAGGAGATTGGCTATCACCTAATCTACAAAAGAAGACATAAAATAAAGGAAATTAATTACAATAGGAGTGTTAAAATTTTAGATAAGAATATTATTTATAATTAGAAAGACATTGTTCTCTATATAACAAAACAGTTCTGTATTTATCAATTACCAAATAAGCGTGAATTAGTTTCTATATAAATATAGAGATACCAAAGCCCCGAGAGGGTTCCTTTTTTTCTTTTGTTCCTCAGTCGTAAAGATCAAAGATGATGATGAATAATAAGAAGAAGAAGATAGGCCGAGTTTCGGCGCGAAAACCCGGCATGACACTACCAGATGAGTTGGTCTTTGAATTGTTGACTAGGCTTCAAGCAGAAAGAAAAAAACCTGGAGCAAAACGGCAGAATCTGGGCCAAAAAAAACGAAAGAAGAAGTCATATTCAGAATCTCAATCCTCCGCAGGGGGCAAAACGCCAAGAAGGAAGAAGAAGAAGAAGACATCAGAATCTCAACCCGAAATCAGAGTCGCCAATCATGATGCTACCACACGAGTTGGTTAATTGTTGATATAATATTCGGTAGAGTTTCAGGTGAAGAACTGGTACAATGCGGTGGTGTATGCAAGTCTTGGCGATCCATTATCCGAAGCCCAATATTTGTGAAGCGTTTCTGCAATCATCAACCCAGAATCACATTATTGTTCCGGGCCAACAACAACTACAATATTAGCTCCAAAAGAGACCACAATTTTTTATCCTCAACTATTGTGGGGTTACAAAAGAAGAAGTTGTGCACAGAAAAGGAGTTCAGAAGTTACCTATGCGAGCTAAGGACTGATTCTCATGGCACCAGTGATGGAAGGTCAACGGTTTGGCATGTTTTTTAGATGAAACGAATTCCCGCCTAAATCTTTATAACGTTTTTACTGGACAAGGTATGAGACTTGTTGACGCTGGAGGTTTGCCCCCAATGCTTCGTTACAAAAATTGCCTCTTGGTTAATGTCCCTTCAACTGGAACGTATAAGTTGTTAAGGTTCATACAACCCGACCGTTGGCGTTTTCGGGTTCAAGTCGAAATTATGACCTTGATGAGTACTCCTTCCACATGGAGGAAGCTGGATGCGATGGAGGATATCCCCACCAAGTGTTTTGGCCTATCGCCTAGCGTACTAACGGGTGATGGATTCCTGTGGACTTATTTAGACCTAAGTCGTTCGCTACTCCCTTTTGATTTCAACAAGGAGAACTTTAAGGTGGTCAAGCTTCCGGAGAATGTTGCAAAAGAGTCAGCAATCGAGGATCATGTCATTTTGAGTCAATCAATGGGACTCCTGGCCGTATTGGTTAGGCATTGGGATGAGTTTAGTTATTTTACGCTCTTTGTACTTCGGAACGAGGAGAGTAACACGTGTGACGAAACGTTATGTACGAGTTCTGTCAAAGTCACCTTGGGCTCCCATTTTTAAACTAATTGGCAATGAGTGGGGTGGCCTTTGGCACTTATAAACAGGTGACAGATCCTTCACGATACCGATGTGAGATTCTTTTTGTCCCAACACCCTCCCTCAAGCCCAATGGGATACTTGATCCATTGGGGTTGCACAACACAACATAATTCACTAGATATACTGCTGGGTCAGTCAACAAGCCCGTACACACGGGTACATACTCCGAATATACTGTCAGATCAGTAACAAGCCCACCCATGTGTACGGAAGCGATTGACGCAAGTCCAAGGCACACGGATCCAAGCCTGCACACGGCGGAAGCGATTGACGCAAGTCCAAGGCACACGGATCCAAGCCCGCACACGGCGGAAGAGATTGACGCAAGTCCAAGGCACACGGATCCAAGCCCGTACACGGGGGTCCATAGTCATCATGTCAAAGTCACCTTATACTCCCATCTCAAAACCAATTGACAACGAGTGGGGTGACTTTTGGCACTTATAAACAGGTGACAGATCCTTCACGACACTGATGTGAGATTCTTTTTATCCCAACAAGTTCCGAAGAACTAGCGAAACATCTTATCGTTCATGCGGGAAACCTTCCTGCTAGTGAGTTTTTGTTGAGCAAAAATGTGGAGAAGAATCAAGAGTTCCGCCAGACTGTATTCTCTTGTAACCATCGCACGAGTAAATTTCACCATTTTCTAGTGGGTGAGTTCCAAGATAATCCTCAGCCGGTTGTGCCGCGCGATGCTACCGATGTACACTCTCAAAGCATTGGTGCTGGTATATCATGTTTACACGATAATAATACTAGTTTGTATCTACCATTAGATGATGTTCTTAATAGTAATCAATAGTAATGTGGATGAGAGATTACGTTTTTGACATTCTCCTATTCCTTCTAATCTTCACACTTTGTTTAGTTATAAGGAGACGACAAAATTAGCTACAATAAGGAAGACTTACAAAGAGGTGTAAACAATGACATTTCAATCCGTCGTCAATCCTTACATTTTGAGGTTCTAGCCTATGCGATTTATATTTCTTTTCTTCGGCGATATTTTGGTCTTACAATATATAGCTTTGTCATTGTTCCCTTGTAGAAAACAAACGGAAAGACAAATCATAAAAGTAATTCCTATTTAATTAATTTCGGAATGGGCTGCTTCGAAACTGTTCGAAGCTCGCTATTCTTGGCTGGAGAGGTTGGTGATTTTGTTGGTCCTCATAAACTCTTGATGCCCCAATGGACCGAACTGAAGCATAGGCATGCTATTGGTATCCAAATTATGCAACAAAATCACCATAACTAACGAAGAAACAAACATGGGAATAGGACCAAAAACCCAAACAAGAAACGTGGTGGAAAAATACAGAGCCCTCATCCCAAATTCATAGAAATGGTTCCCTCTGATCACTTCTTTCTCAATGTACCCAACTGGAATTCCGGCATTAATAGGCATGGTCATGAGGTAACTAGCGTGGACGAAACACCTCGTACCGTGAACAAAAGCGCCGAAAGCGACAAGAAAACAGATTAACAAGGAGATGTATTTGATGGAAATGATTGATGGGCTGGTGTCTCCGTAGATGAGATTGCTTGTGAATACTGTTTGGTTGGAACTCCCAAGCCATGCTCCAATTAAGGAGCTTAAAACTAGTGAAATTGATGATAAAGTAGCAGCTGCTGATATGCTGTTTCCCAAAACTGATATCGCAGGCCTCTCTTTAGCATCAATCTGCATAATTAGTACAATTTTTAATTAATTTCATGGCCCGATTATCCTTGTTTCTAGAACGATAAATTAATGATATTCATCGTCGATAACAGAAAATTGGTATAATATTTTCTCCGTCCCAAAAAATAAAAATCCAAACTGGACAATTATTCTGGGACGGAGAGACTATACTATTATGGAAAAGGGTAGGGGCGACTGACCTCCATCATTTTATCAACCCAAGCTCGTTTGTTGTGATTCTCGTAACCAATGACTGTGCTTTTTGGATGTTTGAGGTACCTGTAGAGAAGGAAGAGATGATAACCAAACATTATGAATAAACTCAGAGGTGCCAATACTAAATCCAGATATTCTTTCCTCCATCCCATTATCCACATTTCTACAACAATTTTGTCTCTCCATAAAGAAAAAGTGAACATATCTCTCTTTAAATATATGCTGATTTTCGTAACATGCAGTCCTGTTTTCTTGGTAACGTATAGTAGCTAGTAATGCAAGATAAAGGCGCAAGTTTCTTACATCACTGCATATCCCGTATTCCATACATATAGCAAACAATTTCTTAACGCATATGTTTAAGTTTGACCCTATTTAGAAGCAAACATATATGTTAGTAAATCATTATGAGCACGGCCTGTTTTTTGTGCCCACATTAAAATCATTAATAACTAGAGAATATTGTCAGGACTATTCTTATAAAGGCCTTGCCAAGAATCCCGATAATATCATACCACATAGAATTTTTTAAAATTGTTCTTCCTATTATCTAAACCTTATCCTACGTAAACTAAATGTGATTTACTTAAATTATTTACATCATTTTTTTCATTAATTCTAAAATCCAAACAAGGAAACAAATAAACCCGTTTATAAATACTGATTAGACACGTGACATTATGATATTATTATAGGCGTCCGACATTCTTGACAAATAATTTTCTCTAATAATAATAGCAAAAAGAGGGTATAAGTAGTACAAGCAAACTTTCCTACACGGCCGTGTGAAAACAAGTTACTTTTAAGCAATGAATACGAGAGCCCAACACTCAACATCTTTATGCGATCTCTGCAAGACGTCACGTTGTCTAAATTTATGTAAAATTCGTCATAGAAAATATGCCTCATGACCTAGAAAACTAATTTACTTATTTTACAATTTTAATTCAACTAAATATTTTTTTTACAGAAAAAAAAGTATAAATTAAGCATGTTTCATTTACTTACGTTGGAAATAATTAAGTAAAATTACAAACATAGATTCAGTAAATCAATATTATTAAGGAATGCAAACAGTGAAATCGAAGAGATCTTACAAATTACTTTGGAATCATTGATTTGTGAGGCCTACTATATTCATACTGCCTATGAGGATAGTGAACTTCTAATTTAGAAACCAAAAGAAATAAATAAAATAAAATAAAAATAAAGGAAAAAGAGAAAGATTGCAATTTCATTCACAAAAATGGGATATTGTGCAGATCATTTGCTAATTATGTGCTTACGTAGAACACAACTATAGAATTTAAAATGATGAAAAAATTTTGAAAATGTCATAATTATATGGGCTCGATCGTTAGTTTTAGATTTGAATGTGGTTTAAACGTACTTTAATCGTAAGTTTAATTAGAAGTTGTAAATTATCTACCTCTAACGGATCACTTACCACCGTCAGAGGACCACCACCTACAGGTCGAATTACTGCCAACTCGGTTGGAAGTTGGCCAGAATTCGGCCGTCTAATTGCCGATCGACAGTGGTCAGGCAGTGAAGGTGGGTAGTTCAGTGGGTGGAGGGGTGAAAATAATATTTAAAATGTGAATTAAAATATTGTATGAAGAAATTTATTTTGTATTGAATTTTTGTGTTTAAGTGATGTTTTAAATTTATTTATTTATTTATGTTTTGGGATCTAGATGGCCATAGGGCCATTTGGAAAATGTGAGAACCTAAAGAATAGGATCAAAATATACAGCCAATAGCATATATTATTCAAAACAAATAATTTACTCTAGATGGATCGTACGTAGGATATTGCTCTTGGACGTAAGGTAATTGACCCTTTTTTTCTTTATTCACTTTGTATACTCAAAGTCTTTCGTTAACCCCCCAATACTCAAAGTCTGTGGTCTCAAATAACTGTAATAGATAATCTATTCGCGCGTGCACATTTGTTAACAGTGATGTATTTTTTCAGATGTTGCTTTTGGTTAATGCTTGGCTAGCAGCTTAAGGCTATCCAAATTCCAAACAGCTTACTAGTTTTACGAAATTGTTCACCCAGCTTTCACGCCCATCTGAATTTTACGTAAAGTTTAGTCACACCTCAGGAGTTGGGAGTAGTGGTGGCTATAATCTCATTACGTAGGAGTTAGGAGTTAGTTCTGTTAGTGCATTTAACTTCTTTTTTTTTTTTTTTTAATTCAGTGAGCGCATCTATAAGACTTTGTGTAATCACAAGTCATGCGTAAATCATGTGCATATTAAGCGTTATATTGCACAGAATTTTAGCGAAGGCATTTTAAAAGGAAAGATTTAAAAAGAATGAAATTGGGTGGTAAACACACTGCCGGCCATATCCTCTTTCTTACAACATTTAATTAATGAGTGATTGGCACACCAATCACTGTGACTATTTAAAGTCGTTATAATTTGTCACTGTTTTTATTTAAAAATTAATCTCACTGCATGTTTTTTTTTTCTTTTTTTCAGTAAGTTATATACTAGAGTTGTTAATACAAAGGCAGAATAGGAATTATCTTTTTTCCCCATCAAGCCTGTTTAAGTAAAATTGTGACGGATTAATTTGTGCGTCTCTGATGATATTATAGTTTATCTAGGGATGTTTAAAGGGCTGAATCAAAACCCAAGCAGCTCACTTTGAGAGGTAAATTAAGCTTGATTTAGTTTTGATATACAATGAGCAAAACAACATTAAGAAGGAAAGGTAAGAAAAAAAAATATTGTTGCATACAAGAATGAAACAAGACTTTGCTGTTTATAAAACAACAAGTCAACTCAATATATGAACTCGGTTCAATGGAATTGACTATTAGGGTTAGGGCTGTTTTATTGCAGAAAAACCATCAACGGAATCTGTTTGCAAGAACCAATGAATGATCCTCCTCTTTACTACTGATGCCCATCACCAACCGCAGCAGCAGGATCAGACTTAATCTTGATGATTGCGCCGTCGTGGTGGTGATGGACCTCCGAGTCAACGTGAAGCAGCGGCTTTGTGTTGGTATCCAGGAAATTCAACAAAATCACCAAAACTATGGAAGTAACCAGCATTGGAATCGGACCAAAAGCCCACACCAGAAACGTCATTGCAAAATAAAGTGCCCTCATTCCAAATTCATAGAAATGACTCCCTCTGATCACTTCCCTTTCCACATATCCCGTAGGGATTTCATCTGGTATGGTTAAAAGGTAACTCGCGTGAACGAAACACCTTGTGGTCTGAACAAAAGCACCAAATGCCACAAGAAAGCAGACGAGTAAAGATACGTACTTTATCGTCATAACTGTACGGCTTGTGTCTCCGTATACGAAACTGCTTGAGAATATATTGTCCGAACTCCCTAACCATGCTCCGATTAAAGAACTCATGACTAAGGTTATTGATGACAGGTTTGATGCTGCGGAGATGTTGTTTCCTAGTACCGATGTCGCCGGCCTATCTTTTGGAGCTAGCTGCAATAATAATTAATAACACCACACAATATTTTCAGGATATATTCACTAAGGATGTAAACAAAAAAAAAAAAAAAAATTCTTGATGTAACTGACCGTAAACATTTTTTCAACCCAAGTTCTTTTGCTGTAATTCTCGTAGCCGATGACGGTGGTGTCTGGATTTCTGAGGTACCTGCAGATAAGAAAAATATGGTACCCAATCATAATGCACAAGCTCATAGGTACTAAGCTCAAATCCAAGTTTTCCTTCTTCCATTCTAACCCCATTTTCTTTTTCTTTTTTCCTTAACTTTACTTTCTCTAAGAAACGAGTATAATTGTTGAAGAACTCAACTAATTATCACTAATGTGTTTCTATTTTAGTGCACAACATTGAAGTTTGAGTGGTGTATTTATATCGCATGAATATGAATTTGATGCCAGAGCCATAATTAGTGTGAAGGTCAACAACTCTGAACTCCTAATAGCACACAAACATTTCTTGCACATTTTTTTTTTTTTTGTAAAAAGCTAAATTAATTAGCATGCATGATTTTTGTTGTTTTTCCCTCCTAACTCAAAGTCGATGTTTGATTGAGGTGATTTTTTTTATTCCATGTTGACACTTTCGGACGATTTCGGAGGTTAAAAAAAATGTACAACTTGTTATATGAGGCCTAAACCTGATTAGTTGTCTTGAATTAATTAATTAAGCTCTAGTGTTCCATTTCATTCCAAGTTGTAATGTTCGTCCCCCTCATAATAATAATAATAATAATAATAATAATAATAATAATAATAATAATAATAATATTGTCTCTGATAATTCATATTTTAAAATTTAATACCCCTTCCGTCTCGAAATTATTGTCCAGTTTGGATTTTCACTTTTAGTACAAATTGAACAAAAAATAAAAATCTACATTAAACAATAATTTTGGGACAGAGGAAAGTATAAATTAGTTTTCTAGAACATAGGCTAAGGGAAGTAATAGATTTTATTGTATGGACGCATTTGATTTGCATGTTCATGTTTATACGACGAAAATCATATGGCCTTCTACGTCAAATAAGGCTAGCTAATGTATGGGATTTCTATATGATTACAGTTCATCATGTTTTGCGCTCTGACAAAAGTTTTTTTATTGAATACTCCTTCCGTTCAACCATCATGCTTATATTTTATTTTCCTTAAAAAAATCATGTTTATATTTTATCCTTGTTTACTTCCAACTCTCACCTAACATTGATTTCGCATTTACTCTTTTTTTTTTTTTTACCATCAAAGTTCTTTATCACTTGAAGAATCTTTTGAAATAATTAAAAAGAAGCAATATGGCCACTAGCTCACTACAACTATTCAGTATAACGACATTCACTATACTAAGGTTGTAAGTGTTTTGGCATTGGTAGGTCACTAGGTCGTGTGATATTGCCATTGGCATCCAAATGGTGCAACAAAATGACCATAACTAGAGAACGAAACAAACATGACATAATAGGACCCAAAAAAAAAAATGCTAAAACCAACTAATTAAACGTGGTGAAAAAAAAGTACACTGCCCCCAATCCCAAATTCCTTGAAATGGCTCCCACGGTGAACAAGTCAAAGTTGAGACTAGCGGCACATTACACCTACTTTGAACCTTCTGATCTGATTATCCTTTAATTAGAATGTCAGTAAAGATTCATTAACTAATTTGGGAATTCTTTAGACAATGAGTGATTGCTAAAGGGAATGAAAAATGGCATAAATTAGTCATCCTAAGCTCGTTTGTTGAGATATACCTGTAGAGAAGGAAGATATCATTCCCAAAAAACAGCAAAACTATGGTTTTGATTTTGTTGCTGGGCAGAACCCAAAAAAAAAAAGAAAGAAAGAAAAGACTTTAGATAGTACTAGTAACTTAATGGGGCAGAACATTGGGGCTGAGTCTGATTTTATTGCTGGGCTAAAAAGAAGAGAATAGCAGTTATAGACATATTGGGCAGAAAAATCAATAAGGAAGAGAAGTAGCATGGTGAACTAAAATTATCCAATATTTGCACCTCTTCTGGATAAAATTGCAGCATTGTAGACTGATTCACTGCCATCACAACGGGCCGGGGTAAACTACAAGTAGCGTCAAAAAACTCGGTAGGATTTCACTCTACAATCCCATTACAAATGCGATTCAGCACAAATTTACATACAGTTGGGTCTAGCTTAGGCGCGATTACACCCAATTCAAGACCCATTTTACGCCACCTTTACAATCTCGGATGCTTATTATGTTGTGATGAAACTACATTAAGTCTGTCAAACAAGTCAACAGCCACATTTTGAATGCTCTATGATCAGCGAAAATGTGGAAGGATAAAAGTACTAGTACCCATCAAAATTTAGTACCACTAAATACTAACGACCACGTAAAGAAAGAAAGGGATGACATTCCATGTACAAGGATGCTTGATCAACTAGCTAAATACTACCCACCACTAACAATACTAATGCCTGTGCAACCCTATCTATCAACAAACAACACCCCCTTCCCCCAAAAGGAAAAAGACAAAGAAAAATGCCAAAGGAGAAACAACACTCTTACAGCCACACAAAGTATTTGATAAAAGTCCCCCTATTTAATCCCTGACAACTCAGCTTGGCTCAGAATCCAACTCCAGCCGCGCCGACACCAAACGTAGCATTCCTATGCGGCTCCAGCTTCCTATTATTCCAACAGCAAGCCTCCGGCAAGAGCTTAGCCGCTGCTGTCCTCATCGGCTCCGACTTACACCTTGTCAGCACGAACGGCTCATACCCTACCGCATTCACCAACTTCTGCTCAATCATTGCCGCCATCGACACCGCCGCCGCCGCCGGCAACGAACACGACGACCTCGGCGGCTGCAACATCTGCTGCTGTCGCCGGCGCTCTTGCTGCGGCTGGCTCGTCATCTCCCGCTGCTGCTGCTGATTCTGCTGCGGTCCAGGCGGCGGAAGTGGAGGGTTGTTCGGTTTCTTCTTATTCTCCTCCGACGAAAGAACGTTATTGGCTTTCTTCTTCGCCGGCCTTTCCGGCAACCACCGTATGAAATCGGTACTGCAAACCCAGGTTTCCTTGGAAACCTCCATAGATAACTTGGGCTCACACATCATCAATAACAAACACTCCGGCAAAACATTTGACGGGTGGTCCTCCTCCTTTTCTTCCATCATTACGCCATTTTCTTCCAATTCCTTGTTAATTTCATCCTCCATTTCCCTCAATGCTGATTCTTGAAGCGCGTAATCTTCTTCTTTATGGTCATTTTCCCTTTCTTTCAGTTCAGATGCGAAAAGGGCTGTTGTCGGATTATCTTTATTATCCTCAAAAGACGATGTTTCCGGGATCTCCTCATCCTGCTCCATTGTTAACTCCTCTGTTTTCTCTTCACTTTCTGTTCCTTCTTTGACTGGCTCTTCCGTTTCCCTTTCTGTCAACTGTTCATACGAAAACGAAGTGTCGATTTCTGGGGACCTTTCTGCTTCATCCTCCTCGTGGTAAACCTGCCATTGAATCGGACTTTCTGCCGTTGATTCGCCCAATAAATCTTCAAATGCATCTAAATTAGACTCTGCCTCTTCACTTTCCACTGAACCATCGCTTAATCCTGATTCCTCAACGCTACTACTTGGCTTCTCTTCCATTTCTTCAACGCCAATTTCTTGCAATTCCTGCATCAAGTTCGTACCTTTCCGTACTTCCTGGTCAACAGACTCCTGCATTTCTGCTGCCAAGTTCTCATCTTTCTGTACTTCCTTGTCAACCATATCTTCTAACTCCTGCACTTCTGCTGCATCCAAGCTTGAATCTTTCTCCAACATCTCAGTCTCTCCGCCATTGCTTTCAGCTGAAAGCAACTCTTCATCCCCTTCTTCCGCATTTACTTTGTCTTCGTTTGTTGAATCTGAAACCTGTACAAATAACCCTTTCAAATCTTTATTCACTTCATCACAATCATCCTCTTCTTCTGGTTCATCTTCATCTTTCGCAGAAGCAGGGGATTCCCAGAAACGATTAGTAAGATCAGCCATCTTATTGGGATCGGATCTGCATCTCATTAACAAAAGAGCATTCTTTGGAGGAATGCAAATGCTCACTCTAGCTTTCTCTTCCTCCTCACCTTCAGCTTTCACTTCTATACTCTCTTCCTTAAACTTCATATCCTCAAAAACATGCCGTCTTGAACTCCTCATTGAAATCCTCTGCCTCACCTCTGTTTTCTCCTCTTCTCCACCCACAACCAACTCAATTTCCCTGCCTTTACCTCCTTCACAATCCTGCAATGAAACAAACCATCTTGCAAAAACAGCCCCACAAGAACTTCCTCCATCGCTTTCACCCCCATCCGAATCTCCCCTACCCAGAACATTGTTGGTATTATTACCTTTCTCCCCTTTTCCTCTCTCATCGTTTGACGAACAAGAGGACCGGCAAGGAAACAAACATTCAGCTCCAAAAGTTCTTAAAGCCTCACAAATCGTCACTGGCAAGTGAACCCACCTCTGATTCCTGTGAGGCATACATTCTTGCTGCTGAAAATGCGAACTTGACGAATGAAGCTGATGTTCAATACTGTTATTTCTCAACAAATCTTGAGGCTGATGTTCTAATTTCCTGAAACTTACATCCCCACTTCGCCTTCTGGACAAACTCCTGGTTTGCTTGACCTTTTTCTTGGTTTTCACCCGGACTTGTCCGATACAAGTGACCTTAGGAGAAGATGGCTCCGGATTCTCCAACCCGGCTCCTCTTTTCTTACCAACGGATGGAAACATCGGAGAAGCTAACCCGCCTTTGATGCTCCCATTAGTCCTGAGTCTTCTGCTGAGGGAGGTGGAAAGTGAGATGTGGGAGTCTCGGGCGGCCCGACCCGGGCTGAGGATAGATTTGGCTATCTTCATTGAAGACGAGGAAGGAAGTCGAGAAGTGAAGCAAATGAAGAGCTCATTATTGTTTGCTGTAGTGTTACTACTACTACTACTATTACTTGTGCTTGGAGTTGTTCTATGATGGGGTCTATCTAACTCCATCTCGGTCTAATCATAAAAACCTATTTTGATATTTTCACCACAGAACTAAATTTTTTTTTTTTTCTTCTTTTACTGATTTACATGGAGGAAATGTTGGATTGGAGAAGTAGGAGGGGGGCCTTTACTGAAGCAAAATGCAGGACTGTTTTCTTGGAGGGGTCGGTCTCATAGGAAGTGTGAATGAATGAATGAAAATTATTATAAAAAAGCTGTGTGGGAGAGTGTGTTTTTTAATGGTGGGATGGCAGAAATGCACAGTTTATCAGGCACAGCAAGCAGCAGGACAGAGAGAGAGAGATGATGATGATGATGAGTTTTGTGTGGACTGTGGAAAATGCGTAGTCAATAGTGGAGTGAAAAATGAGGGGGAAAAAATCAGTGAGAGATGGAATGAGTGTGTGACTGTGTGTGTGATGAGACTGTGAAAGAAAAGATGAGGGGAAATTATTATTATTTGATATCCTGTGTTTGTCATGTAGCTAAAAGTGAAATTTACGTTATAGATTGATAGATTCCTTGTATAGCCTGGTTATAGTGTTTTGACCATTCACCCTAATGAATGTTGACACTTTCAACTACCTTGAATGATTAAAAGACCATTTTTGGGTAAACAAAAGACCATTATTTCATTCGTCTGGTGTTTATACAATTTCACAAAACCTTTGTTGTACTTAGATTTCAAGTGAATTGATAGAGGTTTCTAGTGAGTTCATGTTGTCAATAGTAGAATGCTGAAAACTTGAAATGTAAAAGTAATGTATTAAGAAAACCAACCATTTAATCAAGTGTAAAATAAATCGAAAATGCTCACTTGTAATTACAAGTCATAGGATAGGAATAGTTTAATGTGTCATTGTCCCTTGGTTTCAACATTCTTCACTTGTAATTAAGCTGAATCGAAGGGAAAATGATAAGCAAAATGAGGTGTACAGAAGAGGCGAGTGAGATGATAGTACACCACACAATAACAAGCCATGTGATGCAAGGATTGGAAATCAATACTTAACCTTTTGTTGTATATCGTCACATTTGTTTGGTTGCATTATGTGATTTGAGAATCTTCTCCAATAATCTCCCATGCAAAATGTCATTCAAGCCTAACCCATAAAGCTTCATTGTTAAAAAAATCCATTTGCCAAATTACAAAAGATGGTTTTGGCTTGCTTGATGATTTTGGGACATATCCAAAACCCACCATTATTCTTCAATAATTGTGTTTCTATAGTCTTTTTCATGAAGCATTGTAGGCTAATTGAACTATTTTTATCACTCGTCTTAGAATAATTATGATGAACATTGAACTTAGAAGTTAGTATAACATTGCAAATTGATTGACGTGACTATATATTGGAAACTTGTGTCTTAAACTTCTGGACTTGTGCATTTGTACTGAATGCAGCTCTCAGTAGCATTTATTAAACCCTTTTAATTTGCAAAGAACAATCAATCATTAAAGTCTAATGGGTTGAGTTGATGAACCAATTACAAAACAGAAATTCTTTACGAATTAAAATTAAATGTATGCTCTGAGAGGAGTTGAAGTGTGTCAAGATCATGGAGACAAATAAGCATAGGAGAGAAGACTCCCCATTACCATTATTATTGAGATTATATCGCAAATGGGGTACAAGGAAAATGATATGGAAATAGACTACTAGTACAACATACGTGAACGTGGCCAGATAATGTTTTGAAAAATGGACCAAATTAAGGAATTGGACGAAAGAAAATGACACAGAAAAAAAAAAAAAAAGGATCATATGGCCGGCCTCTCATGGTTTGCAGTGGTGACCAGAAAAGAAATTCCAGAACTGATTTTCTTTTTTGGCTTTGCAATTCTCTTTTCTTCTTGGGAATAACAAGCATTTTCCCAACAACACCATCATCATTTTCATTTCCCTGTGTACTGGGTGTTTTTTTTTTAAAAAAAAAAAAAACTTTTAGCTAGGTTAGCAAATTTTTGAGGGTTTTTTTTTCACTTTTTGAAACCCCCAGGAAAAAGAGTGGCAGTTTAGGTAGTAAAGGAAGGGGGATAGGGGCAATTAGGTAGGAGGATCACATGGGTGGGTGGTCGATAGGCACGAGGTAAGTAGTAGTAAAACTGAAAAAGAAAGTAAAGAAGAATCCAAAGGAGTTGCACGTGACTTGGCTTTTTTTTTTGGGTTCGCAGAGGCTCGCTCGCTCTATCGATGGGGAAATTCATAATAGAGATGTAATATAGTAGTAGAATATGTAGACTAAAATAATGCTTTCTTTTGGTTTTGTCTTCACGCTTCTGAAAACCCATCGAGCCAACGGCTCCTTTTTTGTACTTGGGTACTGTTATTACGTATTTTTCTATACGTCCATGATTTCTAATTTTGGAAACCGGAATGAGATTTTTTTTTTTTTTTTTTCGCGCGTCTGGGACTGAGCAAGGGACCTTTGGCGGTCAGTGAAGGGAGAATGATGCAAGGATATGGGTCATTTTTGGGCATCCTTCAACACATGAAACTAAAAACATAACTTTAGGGAGTACCTCATTGGCCCTTTTCATTTTTTTTAGTACAATTATCTGGCGGACTATAAACTTCCAGCCATTATTTGTTATCCTCCTACTAGTTAGAGGGAGAAATATTGGAGTGAGTTTATATAATGGATAATTTTAGATAGTTACAAAAGAATAAAAACCAAGAAAACATGAAAAGAAAACAAAAAAGATGTATATATAAACGTTTGATTTTGCAGAGATTTCTGATTCATTCACGAAATGAATGAGAAAACTTTATAATTGAAAAAATAAATAAATAAAAAGAGATGGAGGGTCTCCCCAGAAAGCACAAAGACCAAATGCCTCGGTGGCGGAGATGTGCTGCTGACTTCGATAACCCCCAAAAGCCCACTCACGCACCAACACAACACCACCTAGATTATAGCAGCTGCGCACCTCTGCGCCATACTTGAAACGAAAAAATGTGTAGCTCTAGCATCTTCTCTGCATCCGTGCCATTAATAATAGTAGTAGTATTTTCAGTCAAGCGGCCGGAGTCAACATTGCTCCTCCACCCTGATCCAACTCCCGCTGTCCTATCTCCTGTTAACGTGGCATCTCTCTACAGGATGTCCTGTAACTTTAACACACCAACAAACAATAATATACTTAATAATTTAGCAAATACTTACTCCTATATAAGAGACCACAATTTGCCTCATTTTCTTTTTTATCAAATTCAGTTCATTAGGAATGAATTGGACTGTGTTTAATAGATATTTGACCCACTGTATTCATTAGTAGTGTTGCATGTCTCATTTCACACACTTTGATTATAAATAGTGAAAATTACTCGCGTAAGAGTGATATTTGTTTAAAAATAAAAAAAATAAAAAAAAATCCTTGCTGCAACTTGAAAGGTGGGTTGCAAACTCCTAAGAAGATAATGACGACTGATAATAATGTGAGTCCTGGGTTTTCTTTGGTGGGTTTTGCATGAATGGAAAAAGAACAACTTTTGGAGTTTAGAGTTTTTGACCATGAAAAGCAGATGAAGACAAGACCACCCCCAACACAATACTATATGGACTACATTATTTAAGGCCTTCCATGAAGTTATTAATTTTGACCAGTTTTGTAAGCTACTACAGTATTTCTGGTTAGGGAGTTGAAACCTATAAAGTATAATAGAGTTGTAGTAAACAATTAGAACATTACCTTTTTTTCTATCATCGGCTTTCTATGGAAAACCCCCCACAACTTAGTCTGAAAAAAGTGCATTTCATAAAAATGATGAACTGTGTATAATAATATAATGGAGGTGCGATACGTCGACTTCAAGTTGCACAGCTCATAGGTAATGTGGAGATTTGGGAAGGAGTTGTATCATTTATGTTAGTTGGAGAAGCTTGGACTGGGCTTCTACCCCCACATGTGGTCTTCGGCCTTCCCATGTGATTTCTCATGGTGGCATATAGGACTGGTCATTTTGACCCACGGTTTGGGCCGAACTGATGATCCGAATATCCGAAAATTTAGTTATAATTCGGTTCGGTTCGGTTCGGTTCAGTTCGGATCAATTATTTAAAAGATTGGAATGGTTCGGATCGGTTCGGATTACGTAAATATCCAAATTGAACCGAATTAATTTAAACAAAAAATAATAACAATAAATTTCAATAGTTTTCGACGTTGACCGCCATCGACCGCCGCCGGCAACAACTTCCGACCAAAAAATTCCGGCGACGTCACTGGCAAATTGATTTTTTCGGCCAAAAATTTTGGCAATGTTGCCGGAAAATCAATTTTTCCGACGACCGGTGACCGGTGCCGGCAAGATGACGTCATCGTAATATTCCGATGATATTATTGAATACAAAATGGTTCTTTTCAGGTCACTTCGATTCAGACCCGAAATTTAACCTAAACAGATCCGAACCGAACCATAGTGATCCAAAAAAAAGTTGTCCTAATTCCGAATCGATCCAAACTAACGGTTCGGTTCGAGTTCGGTTCGGGTCGATTTTATGTAAAAGAACAGCCCTAGTCGCATACCCGCATTTGTTGCAAACAAATCTTTTTTCCCTATCATAATAATTACAACAAATTTGCATAAAATATTGCGTTAGTCTTGCGTTACTATGGTTTCTACATATTTAGTGTCTGATCTTAATGTGATTGTTATTGACGTTTCATCTAATCACTTGTTTTTGTGAGTATTGGGGATGAAGAGAAAAAAATAAGGTGCAAACTTTGAAAGCAAGAATGCATTATGAAAGAGTTATTGCTAGCAATGAAGATTAAATAGAAAGTGGAGACCAAGAAATTAAAAAAATTGTGTACTTTCTTTAGTTATGCCTCACATACTAATGAATCGGTGTTTGACCAGACCCATCAGTGATTTTTTTTTTTTTTTGGTTTCGACATTGCACGACCAAAATTTTGTATATATATGAGTTAGCGACTTAGGGCAAGCATAGAAAAATGGAATGTACAAACTGAGTCACATATGTTTGTGATCGTCAATCAATTGAACTAAGACAAATTTCAGCATACCTGGTGACTTTTATTTTTTAAAAACAATATTAAGTCTTTACTTTATTGAATTAAAACAATATTAATATTAAAAATATGATAAGTAATAGTAATTGGGTTTTGCTGTTGTTGGGCCCAAGTTAGAATCCAAAAGATCGAGAAAAAAATTGGCCGAACTACATCATCATCATCATCATCCAAAGTAGTTTTATTCTTCTTGATCAAGAAACGTCCTTATTTCAATCTCAGTGCATAGAAATTGGAGGAGCAGCAGCAGAAGAGAATCAATTGGATGTGTGCATATTATGCTAATCAGCAGGGACAAAAGAGTGGATATGGCGGTCCTCCCCGTTTTCAAATTAGCAACGCTTCTGCTCAGGACTATGTCTAAGCCCATCGCCAGTAGGCTCAAGAAAGATGCTGGTCTCCACCCTAAATTCCGTGATTTCATCATCAACGCCGCTCAGGTTTCACTCAATTCCCCTTCTCCACCAAACCCTTTTAACATATATTTTTTTGCTTTTGTTTAAAAAAAATCATTCGATATATTACTGTATATTTATTTAGTTAGTATCATCATCTTCTTAGACCAGTGTGGTGTTAATTTGGATGTTGCTGTCAACATATAGGAGATTCATGGTCTTTTGTATGTATGCACTATGCAGAAAGAAACTGTCGTTTAATCGAATGCTGTCGCGATTGATTTGCATTTACAGTACGAATACCGCTGTGCGAACTGGTTTTTGAATTATGTCCTGCTTTCAAATTCAGGCGAATCATCGCTTCTCAACTACTTTGCAAAGACGACTATATGGAGTAACACGTTTTGATCTACCAATCCCTAAATTGAATGAAGAAAAGGCTGTACAGGCAGCTGCTGATATGCTTGGAGAGCTTTTTGTGTTCACTGTAAGCTCCTTGAACGATCTGTAACATGCATCCTTGCTCCATACTTCCCCATTAGGGTTGTTTTGTTTTGGACGCGAAATCATCTTGAAGACGAAATTCTGCCCCGCTTTCATGTCAGCTATTTGATCATTTCTTTGCCCATCACTCGAGTCCTAGTTTTAACTTTCTTCAGACATTGTTTTTCACTGGTTTAAAGCAAGATATTCAAATTTTTCCTTGCTTCCGATTAGGTGGCTGGATTGGCCATAATCTTTGAGGTGCAAAGGAACTCGAGATCAGAGGCTAGGAAGGAGGAAAAGCGCAGGCAAGAACTAGAGGTAATTTCTTTTCACTACAATGCATTTCATAGTTAGTTTTAATAACTATTCCTGAAAGTTAAGAGCTATTTCTGGATGATTTTGTCCAGGTCCTGAACCAAAAGAACCAAGCTCTATCAGCAGAAGTTGATGTTTTAAGGAAGCAGTTGGATGAAGTTGCACTTCTGAAAAGCAAATTGGCAGAAGTGGAGGTTATTGCCAAAGGATGCAGTCATAAGAACATGTTCCAGTTCTGGCAGAAAACTGCTGAGAAGACCACTGTAAACTGAGTCGTACTGTTTCCAACAGCAATAATCATGCCGAGCTCATGCATTAATGCAGAGTTTTGGTATTGATCGGCTTTGCCAAGAAAAGGTTGCACTCAGATCAACTTGAGTTTTATTATTTGGATTAAAACATCTACAAAATTAGGAGCATTCAATCATTTACATCTTTCTAAATTCACCACTGCTTTGTGGACTGGGACCATATATGTCATGTACCAAGCAAAGGCATTTGTTTTCTGTTTCTTACCAACAAACCTTCGAACTTGTATCTGTGTCGCTTCACAGAGGCAGAGAAATGCTCCACTCAAGTGTGTTGATTTTAGCTTGCACGCATCCTCATTTAGTTGAACTCCAGCACAATTTTACCGGGTAAATACCCTTTTTTCTCCTTTGTTTGATGGGCCTCTCTAACTTCTGAAATGGGAAATGTTTTCTCCACTGGTATTTTGAACTTTCCAGCTTCTGAGAGCCTGCGAATTTCATCTAATCCTTCAGCATCAGCCCTCATGTAATTCCACCAATATTCTGAAAAGCATAGCAGAAACAAAGAGAATGAATAATGCTTCTTCTAACATAGAAAGAATGCTATATATCAAATTAACATTGGTAAGGATTCTTAGCTGTCAAATTCAACAGTAATAATGGCTTAATGTATTTGCTTAACATGTATTGCAGGTAATGTATGGTAAAATTTTTTATGCTGACGACTGCTGAAATATGTGCTTATTGTGCCGGGAATCATCTTGAATCAGTCAAGTTTCAAATAGTTTCAGAAAATATGGTACAACTTAATTTGAATCTTAACAGCAGCAGAGCACTACCTATTCCATGAGAATATCGATATTTTAATTGTTTCTTAAGCAAAATCCCTGTCGCCATCGGAAGGCCCACAGCTAGTCCATACCTGTCAGTTAGTGATGCAGCTTCCCCCTATGCAAAATACAATGATAATGCCACTATCAAATATCAACAGAAGAAATCAACAGACATTACAAAAACAAAGAACAACACGATTTCTCCTAGCCCAGAAGATGCAGATAAGTATCCTAAAAATATCATCAAAACCAATACCTGCAAAGTCATGTAGTGTCCTCCCCTTTTGAGGAGATTAATGCCAATTTTTTCCGTCTGTGGTAGACCGATAGTGTCCAGAACAGCATCAAAATAGCCTTTAATTGCTGCTTCAAGATCCTGAAATCATAAATTAAATGTCAATCACACAAAAAAGGGAAAACGACAATCAATGCCCAGCAGTGAAAAAATCAGCAACAGAGCTGCATAGAACACAGCATAAACTTAAGGCAACTGATTTCATTACCTCAGTATTATAATCAACAGCATGCTCAGCACCAACTTCCAGAACACGATCAATACTTTCACTTCCACAGGTGGTGGAAACATGGCAGCCAGCAGCTACAGCAAGCTGAATAGCAGAAAGACCAACTGCCCCTCCCCCACCAATCACCAACACTCTTTGCCTATAAAAATTTTGTTTGAAAAAGTTGAAACCATGGAACAAGACGTGCACAAAAGTATACAATTCACATACTGATTCAATCACTAAACAAAGATTACCATTCAACACCTTGAAAGTTGTCTTAGCTTATAAGCTTCTAACACTTTTCTCACGATGGATTAAGCTTTTAGCTTTTGTGACTATAAGCATAATCACACTGTCAATAACCGGTTAAGATTTTCAGCACACTTAGCACTTTGCAGAAAGTATAATGACCTAGAGGTTGAGGTCCTTACTATTGACATGATTTTTCACAGATTCACACAAGCTTCACTTGTTTTGTCTTAGCTTAATGGGCGATCGTCTGTTACAATTTCAATTACAAGCGAAATGTTCTAGCAGAATTCTCTGTTCTCAAAATAAGTAAACCAGGGGAAACAGGAAAGGAAAATGTTCCCAGATTTCATTCCAGCAAATAAAAATTCTCTCTCTGATGTACATTTGCAACTTGGGCAAACATTTAACAACATCGGACAGTAATCAACCAAAAAAAAAACCCAGATGTAAATCTTGAAAATCAAAAAGTGAGTACCCTGGTGTGATTCTGGCAGTACTCTTCAATGCACGCCAAGCAGTCAGAGCAGCAAAAGGAATTGCGCTAGCTTCCTATAGGACGACACGAGTATGAGAAATTACAATTATCAAAAAGCAACTTGAATGAAAATGGGAACAAAGCAAGTGGAAAGCCGGATGAACCAAAGGTTAAGAATAAAAAGTGATCCATCAATAACCATCAAGAGCTTTCAGCATATCCAGAGCCAACACAAGCGCACCAGGGGAACAAACGAAAGGGTAAAAGAGCTACCAATAAACTGTCTAAGTAGTAAAATAAATTAGCAGAACAAAGAGCCATACCACGTGAGAAAGGGAAGCTGGTTTTGCCGTAAGCTCGTCTTCTGAGAGAATAGCATATTCGGTATAGGTACCCCTAACAGCAGTAGGATGCAATGCACCAAATACTTCATGCCCAACCCGAAGTGACCGCACAGAGGTCCCAACGGCACCAACTTCACCACTAATATCACGGCCCAGGATTAAAGGCAAAAGTGGCTCAAAAATAGAACGGCCATAACCTGCCCGCATCTGAAACACAAGATATATTGGTCAATGATGCAAAACTAGTCTAATTTATAAATGACTACAATTGAGGGGCACCAAGAAAAAATCAGAGTATAAAAGATCACAGATGTGTTTCCACATCACTCTTCCATCATTTTTCAAAGATTACAAAATTTCTCACAAATGGATATTAGAATAACATTGTAAATTCCAGTCTACCCATACAATGATCAACGCCACATAACAGACTCTGGGTACCAACCACGCAAAATCCATTATTTAATCAGAAGATGAATAATATGCAAACGAACTGCTCAGAGAATTGCCACAACAACGAATGTGAGAATTAACACGGCCAGTCACTGAGAATTCGGTGTAAATAGGCATTGCTACTAATACTGCCTATACTCATTTTGAACATCATCCATCTCAATTCCAAATCCAATACTCGAATTTCACATCATTCGCGGCAATTCAAATTCAATAGTATCCCCTAAGAATTTAAAAATATCCTATATTTCACAAAAAAATGAAAATAAAAAAAAATTAATAACACGAACCAAATAGAAGAGTTCTGATAGTACTCACTCTAATGTCGAGGGGATTAATGGAGACGGCGCGAGCGCGAACGAGAACCTCATTAGGCTTCAAGTCCGGGACAGGGACATTGTCGCGGAGCTCCAGAACATCAGGACCGCCGAATCGGGGCAACAACACCGCCCTACAGCTGGTGACTAAGGTTCTGCAATCCTTTAACCCTTGCCCGATTCTACTACTGCTGCCGCTGCAACCACCGCGCCACAGTGACATTGATCCACGTACATCAGAAGCTCTACGAAATAACAACCGCATCCTCTGCCGCCTCCTCCAGTTCTCTTCCTCACCGAAATCCGCGAAATCTCTAACGGAGCTAAGAAATTAGGGGGAAATGCATGGAATCGATATTAGGTTTTGCGCTTATGTTGTAGTTTCACTGAGGAGAAAAGCAGCCGAAGAGGACGTGTTGGCGTTGTAAACCGCAGAATTGGTTTAATTCAATGGAAAATGGTTCGGCAATGATGCGTGGACGCTTCTCTACTATGTGACTCCGCAAAGTGGTACTAATAAAAAGGTTAAAGCCTGGCTTTCCCTTATTAGTTATTACTCTTAGTCCCAAAATAATTGTATTACTCCCTCTGTCCCAAAATTATTATCCAGTTTGAGATTTCATTTTTAGTACAATTTGAATTAGAAATGAAAACTCAAACTGAACAATAATTATAGGACGGAGGAAGTATAAATTTTTAATTTTACAATTATATACGGAACAATAATTTGAAATGAAAATAATACATTTGAACTTCCTAATTCCTAATTTAATCGTTTTATATTATTTTTACTTTATTAATTAGCAATAATAGCAAAGAGATTATAATGTTCAGAGAACTTATTGTACTAAAAACCTTAATTAGAATATGATATAGTTGGTATTTTTTTTATGAATCTGCTCTAATAAACTAGAAACTTAAGGTGATTGACTTCTTCGTTGTACCAAAAAAGAAAACTTATATTTCATTTAGATCGTGAAAATAATATTGCCATATCAAATCTATCACTTTATAATATTCACAAACTAGATAATTCAGATGTCACATTGGCCGGCTTGGACTTAAACATTGTTGATAGTATTATATAATTTGGAAAAAAAGTTTAGCAAAATATGCTAAGTAAAAATCAGGTTGTTATTGTAATTTAGGCTGTTTAGCCTCCTCAGTGTATAAAAGCAATAATAATAATAATTTGGAAAAAAGTAGTTTTAATGGTGGCGCAACACAAGTTGTCAATACTTGGAGGGTATAAAATGCAATTAATCTTTCCTTTTCTTCCAAATTGTTTGGCTGGTTTAGCTTTACTTCCCACTAAAAAAATAAGGAGGTTGGCACCTGACTGGAACAAAAGACGATCAAAGTGACAAAGGGAAGAAAGAAAGTCCCTCAATAAGGAAATTGGGAGGTGTGGAAAGAACAATGATGGAAAAAATGCACCAGCTTCTGCCGTGGTGGAGATTAAGATGGTTAAACTACAAGAATGCAACCATTATTGTCTGCTTATTGAACTTGGCCACTGGCCTTTTCTTGCTTCAGTGGTTCTTCTTTGGTTCTACTCACCAACCCAATTCAGGTTTCTGATTTCTTTTCCCTTCTATGGCACCAAGTTCCATTTTTGTCCAATTGAATTTCCTTCTGTATATTTCGTCAAAATTTTAGCTTTCTATTGGGGTTCGGGTATAAGCTTGATCTAGAAAGGGTCATGTTTGAATTAAAGCCCTTGTCATACTGTGTGGGTGTTTGAGTATGTGTGAACTATTTTAGATTACTGAATGAATCTCTGCTGCAATGCAAGAAAGAAGATAGGAGCTTCTTTGGGTGGTTAATTATGTGATTTAGCTTGCCAAACCTATTAATGATGAGTTGTATTTTGTAACCAGTGATTTTAAATTCCTGTCATGAAATGACTACTCTCTTATATTTTTGAATTAAAAACTGATTTCTCATTTGTTCTTACGAAGATTGCTCTTTGATACTACTATTGGGATTAAAATTCTGTATATCTGCTCTAATAGAAGTCATTTGCTTGTTCTGGATCTATCTTAGAATATGGTATGGGATCATTGGTAGCTCACTGTTGATATGGAATGGGAAGGATGATGGGTGGATCATTGACCAAATTAATGCCATTGCCATGTTTAGGAACCCTATATGAGATGTCACAAATAACCTGGGCTATCACTATTAAGTCATGAAGTTTTGTTTCTGTTTTTGTTTTTTTGGGAAATAGGAAAATGTCAAGCAGCTTAATTCTGAGTTGATTTTAGGTAATTGCAGAAGATTGCATCATTTCACAGGCAGTTAAATTAACCACTGAGACTGAAGGTTTCTGTTATGTTTTAAGCCCTTAATCTTCATTGGCCGTGTATCTTCTATTTGATGGATAAATATGTTTCAATGGAATTCGTCAAGCATATAGTATAGCTGATGAATGGACCAGTGGTTCCATTTCTTTGATATTATTTAAATATCTTCCAATATTTCCTATGAGAAGGGTTTGGTTGGGTGGTTGGGGTAGGAGGGTGCTGGTCACTGGTGAGGGATTGTAAAGGTCTCGTTCGAGGCTTCTTCGGAGCAAAATTAATCGAAATGATAAATTTTTTAAAAACATGTACTCCCTTGTGTTTGACCATCATACTAATGAATTTATGTTTTCCTTCTGACACAGTTTCTCTTAGGTACATTAAGGAATGCGAGGAGATACGTAGAAGCCTGATGCCCGTGGATCTTATTAAAAGAGTGAGTGCACCGCTGCATTATTTCCTGTTAAAAGAACAATGGTCTCTTAGAAGATGTGGCACCATGAACTCGTGCTGTTACTAGTTCTGTCTGGGTTGTACAGCTTTTGATGGCTGTCCTCGTTACTGCAGCTTCTAGTGCTTAGCTAAGATAGCTCATGGTTTCATCATTTGCCCTTGTAGGTCAGGGAGATTGAAAGTGAAGCATATGTAGAAGCAAAGACAGTCCAACAGAAAGACACTAAGCCGGGTGCTGCTGTTGATCTGGTTTCTAGGCTCAACAATATTCGTTCCTATTCTGATACTGGCAGCATCAAAGGTTAACATCCCTCTCTTTCCCTCTCTCAGGGGAAACTTCTGTGAGCTCGGATAAACAAATTGCATATATTTACCGGGAAAAAAAAATTGCATATCACAGAGCATAATTGATCTTGACTCTGAATCCAAAATCCATCTAAATATGATATTATATTGGATGTTAGAACTTAGCTGCTTTGAAAAGTGAATCTCTCATTGCTGGAGCTGGTAAAGCTTCTTGCTCACTGACTACTGTCAGTTTGTTCTTAGAAAATACACGGAGAGGGGAGATGTTCTTTGTTTGGTTTTCTTGCTTTCCAGAAACAGCGAGAATAAGCTCTTAAAGTAACTTTTCATCTTGAGGCCCAGTTCTTGCTTTCGTTAAGTTTACACAATTCATACATATGTATGTTTGTTGCTCATACAGAGAGCTTAACTGATTCAAGTGTGGATCTATATCTCTCCCTGTTGAAATGGAGATGTTCTTGCAAACCATTTATGATGAACTCCAAAATTCAACATTTTAGGTGATGCCAATGACTTTATCACTGTTGAAAGAGTTGTAGGCATAAGTTGGCAGAGGGAACTGGAATCTCAGTGTAAATGAACAATAGCTGGAAATATTATTTCCTATAGGGCATCCTCCTCGTCATAGACCATGGTAGCTTAATTAGAATAAGATGCTTACTAGTAACTCTGAGTATATATTTAGGCAGTGAAAAATCGTCTCCAAAATTAGTCCAAATGGGTAGCGTATCCTTTATGATATATGGCCTTTGTAAATATAGGAGGCTAGTTCTTTATGGTTTATCAGACTCATCAGTTTTCATAGTGTGGTCCCTATGAGTTTGCTTGGTAACTTCAGATGTGTTGAAGCAGATATCTAATCACACGATAACTACTTCCCCTCCAGTAAAAAAACGCCTTTATTTCGTTTATCATTTGCTTGTCATCTTTCATTTGCTGCATGAATAAGAAACCTGACTTAGATCAGAAGACTCTGCCCAACATTCTGCTACATGCAGTTTCATACTTGCAATACTTCTATTTTTCCGATTTTATTTGCAGTTCTATTATCATGTTTACCAACTAAAACTCTTGGTACATATCTTGGCTTGTCCAGCAATCGAGGAATGGCGTAAGCGGAAGATGGAACGAGCTAGGCAGCGGGGACTGGGAAAGAATGGAACAGTTATCTAAGAGAACCTTTAAAAAAATGTTGAAAAAATAGAGTTTGTATATCTCGTATGTCATTGGAGATCCACCAGTTAGCTGACACTCCAGTATAAAAAATAGTTGAGGATTCAAAGCTGCGTTGGCGTGGTTTAAAATGTATTCCACGCTAAATCAAAGCATTGTTCTTCATTTTAACATTGTCAATGGTGCATTATGGTCTTATATAGACCAGAGTGAAAGTAAATTTGAAGGCATTATTTGATGGGTACTACTGAGTCTTGATCCATTGAACCTAGCATGTAAACCCCTAGACTATAATTTTGGATCGATAAAGATGTACTCCATGTTGTCTTTCCTGGTCTCAATTTCTTGAGAATTGCAGCCTATAAGTTGTAACGGTAGGCCAAAAACAACAAAAAAAAAAACAGACACGATTATGCCAAGTGTACTCAGGGTACCCTTAACTGTGCTTTGGAATTTATGAGGAGATTTTTGTATGTTAACATTTTCATTTGTAATTTGTATTCTTGGCGTTGGCGGGAACAGAATCACAAGGTAACGTATAACCCTTTTGTCATCAGTTGCATAATCCTATCTGGCCAACACCACAACGAAGATTATTACTTTTTTTTTTTTGGAAAAGACGAAGATCGTTACATTAACTATTGAAAAAAAAAACGTGATATGTATAATTAACACATTATATCTTCTTTTTGAAAATAACAATTTAGGAGGGGTATCGCTTTCAAAGAACAAATACGACATTTGTTTGTGTGTGATATCAATATCCAATTGTTATTCTAACATCAGAAAAATGTAAGTGAAAACTTTTTGACACATCACAAGTCATAAATCAAGAGTACAATTTCCTAATGTCTCAAAAATAATAATAAAAAAATTCATAGCAGACTTTAATTGACATTGTAGTAAGTTAGTATAAATTATCAATACAATAATCTTAAACTCACACCGATAAATAAACTAGGGATCAATCAAAGTGGTGAATGGATGAATGATTGATTATTCTTGTGTGATATACGATTTAGGAGAAGGGGACAGTCAGTCGATGAATTTAAACTGAGTTGACAATTGGAGTGAGGAAAGAAAAGAAGACCGGTTTGGGTTTGGGTTTGGGGGATTATAAAACTGAAGTAGAAGAAATGAAACACATGGGAAGCATGATGGTAAGCGTTACAGTAGGGAAAAGGCAATTGCATTTTGCCATATGCCAAATAATGGAGTAACGAATATTCTTTTTTAAGAAATTGAAAAAAAAAATAAAAATCATTAACAAGATGAAGTGTGTTAAATTAAAAAAAAAAAAAAAAAAGACTGCCCTTGTTCTTAAAGAGCGCAGCCTTCAGCCTGGGATGTGCTGGCCCCCCATCTAATTTTGACAACAACGTTTGGCAACCAGGAAATTATATAGTTTTGTCCTAAATTAATTGTTCGGTTTATTATGATAGAAGTACAAATCAGACGAGCAATTTAATTTACAATTTGAAAAGGTCAAAAACTGGTCTTCTTTATATAGTTTTCCCAACTACATGAACCAACACTTTGTTCCTTTGACAATCCATTCCAATTCACCATGTGGTCAAAGGAGTCAGGAAACACTAGTATAAACATCGCATGTGGAACAACATCATTTTCATTTACATATTTATCTACTTACTTATGTTTGATATTTTTTATCTCAATTATATCAAACTCTTTTCATTACAAAATAAAATGGTATTTTTTCAATTAAAAAAAAAAAGACAAGATGAATAACTAGCAAAATTCATTTCTTGCGCATGAAAGAGTGAAAAGGAATTTTAGTCGAGCGTTTATTTCGTTCTCCATTTAAATTTACATGAAAGTTATTATTTCATGCGAGGATACATCAAATCAAAGTGTAAGTCCCGTGTCTAGTACAGACATAATGTATTTGTCAAAAACGATATCAACGTATTCTTAAGATGTTAGTCTCGTGTCTATTGCGGATATAATGTATCTGTTAAAAACAATATTAACGTATTCTCAGAGTGTGAGTCTCGTGTCTAGTACACACGTAACGTATTCATTAAAAATAATATCAACATACCTTTGTAGCGTAAGTCTCGTGTCTAATACAGACATAATGCATCCGTTAAAAACGATATCAATGTAGCTTACACACCATATTTTCGTGTCACAAATAAAAGAAAAAAACAAAGCTATAAAACGGTCATGCAAACACGAGGCCAGTACGGTACACTGATGGTAAAGTGGGGTGGTTTTGAATTTTGATGAATAGATTGTGATTAGATTGTCCTTAGTTAAACAACTCGACACACGAATGTTACAACAACAATTTGATTTGTTACCGTGGGTTATTGTTTTGGTTTAACATGGTTTGGGAGTTGGTGATACGAATGCTTAAATTTACTACTAAACCATTTTTGCGGGTTAGTGCTTTTGTTTATTGCTCGATAGTTAATCCGGAGATAATGCAAAATTAAGTTATAACATTTCCACAGAGGCCAAATTTTAGCTGATGCTTCATACTTTCGTTCATGGACATCCTGTTGAACCTTATAAGCAACTAGTTTTTTTTTTCTTAATCAATTTTTCGACCATGATTATACCATGATGTCATTGAGATATTATGATTCATTAATGCGAACGTTCAAATATAAGGCGTTATATCCCTAGTTTTTCTTTTTAATAAAAAGAGCAAAATTATAGTTAAATAAAAGTAGCAATACGGATAATAATAAACCTTGAACTCTATCAAAAACATTTTCTATTTAACCTTAAGAAAATCATGCATGTCTTAAAGATACATGTTATCCAAAATTTAGTGTTTTCATTTGCCTGATTATTTGAATCGATTACCTACTATGTTTTTTTTTCCCCCTCATTTTTAGTTACCAAGTTAAAGAAAATCTTGGTTAATGAGATGGTAATCATTGAAAAAGATAAGACCATAAGTATTGCTTAAATTTTGATCATTTGATTTGATTAATAATAAAAAAGATTATAAAATGATAATACAGTAAGTAATTAAATATATCCACCAACCCAAACCTTCTTAATTTTGATGTCCAGTGGTGAAACCAAGGCTGAGAAAAATAGGCTTACCATCCTCCTTATCTCACAATTCTCAAAGGTACAAAATCCATCCGATCTCAGCCGTTGAAACTCACCAAAATAAGCAGACACGTAGCGGCTCCACCGCTGATGAACTATCCACTTCCAAGGTCTTGTACCTTCAACCAAAGGTACAGTACAATACAACCCCAAAATTTTTATTCGCATGAACACCCAAAATATTCTGCTGAGGTGCCTATATTTTTGACATCATCTTTTTTTTTTCTTTTCTTTTTAAGTTTGTGAAATAAAAAATAACTTCTCTTACCAAAATACCAAATACCAGTTAAGTGTACAATAGAAAGAAAGCACAAACAAACAGCCATTGTATTGTAACTCCCAATTTTTTTTTCTCTCTCTCTTTTTTCCCTTTTTCCTCTCTCTTTTAATTCTGCAGTGATTATATCTGTCCCTCCCCTGTTTATTCATCTTTTCTCTGTGTTTACCTTGATCTGTTGATCTGATCAAGGCCTAATTTGAGGTTAGTTTTGGTGGATTATGTTGTTGATTATCTCAAGTTTCAATCTTTTCCCAATTTGTTTGTGTTGATGATTCTGCAAACCAAAAAAATGGGTATCAAGTACATGCAAAGGGAAATGCATTTGCATGCAATAGCCCCTGATGATAATTTCTGTGTGGGTTTTAATTTTGATGATCGTTGATGATCAGATTACGGTTTTTTTGCCCCCAAATTAGGGTTCTTTGATGAAATGTTTCTGATGTTTTGTGTTTTTCCCTGCAGGGTTTGAATTAATTTATTGAGATATCATCTGGGGCATTTAAAAAGGTGATAACTTTGGAGGACCAGAGTTGTCTTTTTGATGATAAAGAGGTGAGGTTCTTTATACAGCCTTGTGTTTTTGTTCTGTTTTTGCTAACTGAGCAAGAGTTCTTCGGTAACCCACTAAGAATTTCGGTTGGTTATGAGTTTTGAGGCTACCCACTAAGAATTATTTGAATTCCTGGTGATTCTGTTCCTAATCGTGTTTGACCAAATGGGAAATGTTGTAGCTTTTTCCTCTTGTGAAGGGCATTGAAATTTTCTAATTTTAATAAAATGGTTTTGTAACAATGCAGTAAGTCTTTATCAATGATTTTTTGAACTGTTCCAATTTGTGTATCTTGGTTCTGAAGCATCTTCAGTTCATCGGATTGTTGTTGGAAATTAGCACAAACAGGGACCTTGATTTTTGAATTTGGGCTGTTGAGACTTGTTATTTTCCTCTGTTATTACACCATAGCTAGTCTACATCAATTCTTATTTGTGTTGGTTACTTGGTAGGTTGGTTTGTGTCCTTACTTTTCCAAAAATCAACTTTTATCTCCTCGGGATGGTTTCTGAAAGTTCCTTAATTGGGCTTATGATGTTTATGAAAATCCTCAGTTTTCTGAATGCTTAACTTTTATGTGCTTTAACATGTTTGTAAGTGAAGCTGCTGTCTTGGTATACCGTCGAAGAGCTTGTGTTTTGCTTTCTGGGAGTAGAGGATTTTGTGATATTTTTTTAAAATTTTTTTTTTTGGATATGTACGGATGGAAACTTGAAAGAAAGTCGCTAAATTATGTTAAGTGGTTATCTGTCACTTGACTTTGACATCAGGTGTATAGTTTTGTTTTGATCGTTCAGTATTTCTTGTAGAAGCAGAGGACCACCAGAGATGGTGCCGTTTGTTCCCTACAAGGAAAGCCTTTAAATTTGTCTTTTTACAGATATGTCATGTTTTTAAGATGTGCATTAACCATAGACAGCCGCAGAATTTGGGAATACCAAATTCTGGAACTGGCAGTATAAGTTTTTCCTTATAAATTTGCAAAGAAGTCAGAAGAAGAGATCTTCTTACGCGTAAGCTTCAGATGTGATCTGTAATACAGTTTCTAATTTGGTAAAGGTCTTACTAGGAAATCGTTTAAATATAGCTTAAATGTATGCTCCATATTTTTCCGATGGATTTTTTTTTGCTAAGATAGCTGCTGTAGTCAGAGTTTGGTGTTTCCATTTAGCTGCTGCCATGGTTTATCCATTGAAATTCTAATGGTACATTGCAAAGAGTTGATTTTCTTTCTTATAGTTTGTATCTGAGGTAGTATGAAGAATTTCAAGTGGAACTAAATAGTCTTTCAAATGTTACAGACGTTCAAACTTGAGCGTATTTTCGAGATGTTTTGAAATGCGCATCTATGATGTGGCTGGAATGTCTTAATTTATGAGGTGATGGATTTGATCCCCTCTTTTTTTACCAGCTAGCATGTGTTAAAAGAGTTTTAAAGTTTACAAGAGCAGCAATGAATTTTTCTACTCTCTGTTTGTAGGTGCTGAAAACCTTGGTTAGTTTTTTGTTGTACATCATGATGCATGCATCTCTTTGTTGCTGGAATTCCTCGTCACATTTTCCATCTCAAAACTATATGTCGCAAATCACTGTTAAACTTGTGAAATGTAGATCTTGTGGATTTTAGAAAGTGAGAATGATTGTTTGGCTGGCTTTGTTTCATCAACTCTTTTGCTTAAAAATGTTTTATTTATTGTGTACTTGGTTCTTTCTTTTTATGTTTCATTTGACATGTGCTTATTCAAAATTTGCATGTGCATTTTCCGTTTTGGGTCGCTTGCTCTGCTACTATATTTTGTTGGCTAAGGAAAAACTGAATGCCTGATGCTACCTTTTGCTTTTATGGTAAATTTTTAGATTTTAGGGTCTGGTATTAAAGGAGTTAGGGTTTCCGCCCGGCATTAGCGTGCCCTTTAAGTTTCTGAAATTTTCGTGGGCAGTTTCTTTCCTTTTCTGGTAGATTTTTTTGGGAGCTTTCTGAACTTTAGAACAATATGATTGATCACCTATCTAAAACTTTATGTGTGAACAGGAATCAACAACAAAATCCTTTTCATCAATATGGGGCAAAGAAATATGCATATGGTGGAGCTGGAACCAGATAGGCGGGGTCAAGACTATATCCATCCAGAACCTTGCATCTTTTATGGTGCCATGACAAATTTTCCTCAGCCTAGTTTGCATGCAGTTGTACCCGGTCCAGTAAATGCTGGTAACTTCAATCTGCACCATCTACCAGAACATCATGACGGTAGTTTATTCTATAATCTGCCTCAATATAATCAGTATCCAGGCGCTAATCTTGACCCAACCATTGGTTCGTCATCCATTCCCTATAATCCCTACATGGCTCCTCCATGTGCCCCAAGAGATTTTCCCATTCAAGTTAGTCATGGAACAAGTGATCCATTGTGCTACCCAAGTGGTCATGTGATGGTTGGAGTTCCTACAGACGGTTACGGAAGGGCCAATCCGTATTTGGATAGTATTAGAGGCTCATTTAAGAGGAAGACTGCTGAAGGCCTTCCAAGGAATGTCCAGCACTCTGATGCTTTGGAAGGCTCTAGTTCTTCTGTTGCAACGGTAAGTGCTAGGCCGCTTGAATCTGATGCAACACCAACAGATGCTGTGCCACCTGAATTAAGAGGGAACGAGACATCTTCTGTCACTGAGAGTGGGCCTAACAGAAGTTTGAGGAATAGGTCCAATGTCATTGGTCCAGAATCTGTTATGGCGCGCAGCCCTAACCATTCAGTTCAACCTAACTTTGTGGGTCAACCCTATCCAGTACCTGGCACTCCTTGGTTAGGTGTGGATATCAATTCCTTTCCCTGGAATCAAGCATCGACTTTACCATATATTCATGGTAATTTGTGATTTTGTAGACTTTTAGTTGTCTCTCTCTACCAAATGAAACTTTGCTTAATGTGAAATCTCTTTGTTCCCTTTTTCCTTTTCCATTTATCACTCTTAAGTAGAAGTTGTCTGTTGTGTATGGGACTATTCACATCAATAATCTCTCTCTCTCTCTCTCTCTCTCTCTCTCTCTCTCTCTCTCTCTCTCTCTCTCTCTCTCTCTCTCTCTCTCTCTCTCTCTCTCTCTCTCTCTCTCTCTCTCTCTCTCTCACACGCACAGGTGGCATGGAGGTTAGTAATATGGGTTTACAAGGTTATCGAGTAGCAGGTAGTTCCGGTAATTTTCTCATTCCTCAAGGACGCCCCAGTTTTCATCATCAGCCACCACATGTGCAAGGATTAGGCCATAACATGAACTTTGGTTCACAAATGGTAACTGTTCCCCGTAGATTTCCCCCAAATAGCAATGTTGTAGGTCCCTTCCAGGGTGTCATGGAGACAGGAGCTAGATATCTGGGACCTGTTCCACCCACTGGCTTCAGAGTTTACAGGCCTCCTCGAAGAGAAGTTTCTGCAGAGGCAAATCCTAGGCAACGTAATCTCCAGCACCTAAGAGTGTTGCCGGAAGATGTAATTTTTTCCTTCCCTGTGGTTTTTGCATTGGTTTTTTGCTGCTCCTGCTGTAAAATGTAGTTTTCTTAATTTCTTTTTTTCCCTGTGAATTCTGACAATGATATTTTGAATGCAGGGAGTTGCCATTTTAGAGGTTCCTGGTTACCAGGAAGCTGGGGATTCCATGGATCAGCACAGAGAAATGCGCTTGGATATAGATGAAATGTCCTATGAGGTGATGGTTTGCTAGAAGTTTGTGTTCTCTTTGTTGATTTGTTTGAAAGCTATTTTGGGTGCACTTTAAAAAATCTTAATGCCGTGTCCTCTCACCCACTGAGCAACTTGTGGTGTAAAAGAAGAAACTCAGATTAATTATGTTTTGTTTCAGGAACTTCTCGCATTGGGAGAACAGATTGGCCATGTTGTTACTGGCTTATCAGAAGAAGCCATTGCAGCCAATATGAAAAAGAGATTATTTACTTCTTCATCAACTTGTTCCAACGTGGACGAGGCATTAAGTGAAAGTCGTGAAGTTGATTTCTGTGTCGTATGCCAGGTATTGTCTTAATCTGGATGTAAATACTTCTTAAATGTGATGATGCCTGTTATTATTGCATTTAATTTGATTTTTATTGAGTTGGCTTTGCTTGGAAAATAATCTTTTGGGTGATTAAAAGGTTATATGCATTTCTGAAAATCCCCCTTAGCTAATTATTAGTATTATTTTTTATTCTCGATAAACCCCTTTGCTAAATTTAAATCATTACACCACACCTTTTTAGTTTTTACATGCAACAAAGTTATGTCTTAATGCGCTATATGGAATTAGGTTATCTGATTGAAAATACAGGTTCCTGTTCCAATATTGGGGTGTCTGGAATGTTACCGTGGATTGATTTGACATATCTCCTGCTGGATGATGTACTGATTCCTTCATTATTTCCTTTAATGTGTCATTTACAGTTGGCATCTTCCTTCCTTCTCTCTGTTGCGAATCACCTTTCCTCATGACCTTTGTTGTGCTATTGTTTTAAGAGTCCTGAATCTTCACTGAAAAAATTGAAGCATCTTTCCTCCTTTCCTCTCATATTTCAGCTACTTCTTAGTTTCATCATTGTAGTTTTTACTATATTGGGTAAACCTTGCACATCTCTACCTGTTAATGAAGACAATTGATTTGGGGCTTTTCATTCTTTTGCTTATAATCTAGTCTCATCTTTGTTTCCGTTTTCAGAATGATTACAAGGTTGAGGAGGAGATTGGAACTCTTGAATGTGGTCATGAGTATCATGTAGATTGCATAAAGCAGTGGCTGGTTGTCAAGAATACTTGCCCTATCTGCAAATCCACAGCATTGACCGGCGAGGGAAACGGAAAAGGAAAGGGAAAGGATTCAGAATGTTAGCTTCGCAGCATCCGAAGCAGCATATTTATAATAAGTCATCACCTTTTTAAGCTGGGATCCAGTAGTACTTTGTCCAAAAAGAGGGATTTTGACGGTTTCTTGTTGTTAGTGTATGTTACATATAATGTATATATTCTGCAGAGATAAGACTGACAGTCAACATTGTCCAAAACATTTATCTGTTGGCTCTATGTCTCTCTCGAATTGTACAGACTTGTTAAACTGTTTGTTGTTTAACCCATGCATGGTCTCTGGATTTTAAGTTCCAGGCACTATGTTATGTGTACTGTACTTAATGTAGGATATTTATGGTTGAAACTTAGATATGGATGTAGTTTGGCATGTGACATTCATTGATTCTTTCTTTGTTTTATTCCTGAGGCTGTCCAAGTGACTCCATTATATCATTTTTATGCTGGTGTTGCTTAGATGGATACCTGTTATGTTGATGCAACCCGTCAATCTCGCAAGCATTTCTCCGCTGGTGTGGCTAGATGGATATTATTATGTCTGAAGCAATGCAACCAGTGAATCTATTAAGTATTTCTCTGCCGGTGCTGCCATATAGATACCTATTATGTTGAAGCGATGCTCTGGTATAGGTTGACAAAATCATAGGATGACTAGGAAACACTTTCATTGTAGATGTGTCATTACGCTAGTGCACGTGCGGTAGAGTGGTTTCATACATTGATTTCTTTCTTTTTGTTTTCAAGTACATACTGAAGTTTTAATCTCTCTTTCAGGGAAAATTACTTTGTGCCAAGTTTACTCGGTCTAGGAAAACTGTTTACACATTATCATATTCTACAGTTCTACATCACCAATTTTCTCTTCTTCTAATTCCCTTCTAAACGAAAGAGTTTGTATTGCACTCTTCACTTTGTGTTTCAAGTACCATTTGTTCTGTCTTTTTTCAACCGTTATCCCTTCACTTGGCTACCAACCAAAAAGACTGATTCCTGCTACTGAAGAAAATTTGAAGTTCTGGGACCGTTAATTGGTTCCCAATTCATCTCATACTTGTCTCACCAAGATTACAATAAAATCCAACTGAGTTCTGCATGTGTATCCTCAAAGTAGGCAACAAATCCATCCTCTTTTCACCCTCTAAATGTTCTGCCGCTTTCACAACATATCCAAACTCTCTACCATAAAGGTGACATGCCGCTGCCGCTTTGTAAGTCACAAGTCTCAGGTCTCCTGTCACAACCAAAAAGAATCATTAACTACATGTGCTCCGTTTAAAACATTACCACCTCGCAAGGTTAATAAGTACATTCACCTGAGTTTCTATCAAGAAAGGAAGAGACGAATACAAGGATCGTCTACTCTACCTTCTACAATTTCTGACTCAAGCATCTTCCTCGAGTAATGACGCTTTTGCCACCATTTGCACCGTAGCTGCCAAGAAGATTGGGATTCGGAGCCGCAAAACATATCTGGAATCTGATTAATGTCATATGTATACTTCCTTCTCTCCCTATTTTGATCACCTTCAGAACAGCCAGATAACCGATCTCCCTCGCCATGGGCCAGGTTCAATAAACAAGAAGCAAACACTTCCCACATGCCGCACTGCGCAAACGTACCATCTAGGTGCAACCCTATCAGTTCCACCACCTTCTCAGTACTACAGTGACCTGATATACATTATGAACATCGTCAGAAATTCACAATCCAGATACCATTATCGTGATGTCGGCTCAGGAAAAAAGTTGATGATATTTGCTCAGATTTCCAGTAAAATAAATTGTCATAAGAGCGAGCCTATGGCTGAGAAAAAAACAGTGCCGGTATACATCAGGAGCGAGCCTGTCAAAGTCAGTGGCTGTTGTGAACAAAGATAAAATAAATTACCATAGGGATAAGGTTCGTGAATCCCAAAGGTTGCCTACGGGTGGAAGGATACATCAAACATTATCAGAATGCTCATAACTGATGATGGATTGACTTTAAACATTAATGAGGTAATCAGCTTCCAGTTACCTCACTCAGGGACAATCCAATAAGAGCATGGGAAACTCAATTAAGTCCATAACCTTTTAGTGTTTATCCGATAAATGGATTGATGATTAATCAAAGGTAAATGCAAGCAACACAATTGATGTGAAGTGGCATCCTAGAGTGTTGAATCTTTTCTTCAGTAAATTTTAAGCCAAGCATGTCTACACCGTCAAATTCTAGCTCACCATATTGCAACTAACTTATGTACTTCTGTTTCTTAACAATGACTTTCATCTTGATACAGATCCTAGAGCAAAAAGCATTTATAGGAGGAAGGCAAAAACACCATCAGACACAATAAGGAGATCAGACATAAGAGCATTTCATCTTTCTGAAAGCATCTATAGAATGATGAAGAGAAAAGTACCATCAGACAAAATAAGGAGATCATGCATACCATTTAGATGCATGTCAATGAGTTTTGCCATTGAGTGGCTGCATGTGGGATTCCTTCTCAAACTGTCTTCTACTTGTGCGAAAATTTTGGGATTGTTGCTGTTGTTAAAGTGTTCCAACAGACTAGTTTTCAATCTGCAATGATAAATAAAAACATGAAGTTAACATATTATATATTTCAAAAATGTCAGTGAACAGAACTTCAAGTATGATTGCACCATTCTTAGAAAATGTCACCAATTTGTAACCCTATCATTATATACAGACGATAACAGATTTCCTCAATCAAAAGAGACTGGCTCAGTGATTGATTTAGCTTCATAATGGTAGATAGGAGACCACAATCAAGAAGACTATAGATTAAATGCCTGCTTCATTTAACTTTGAGAATAATTAAGAAAATATTTTTACAAGATGAAACACTCGCGGGAAAATTAAGTTTGAATTCTTCTTTTTATCAATGAGACACCATTTCCATTCTTTGTTGTTACAATGAATAAGTGACTCATGCGATAGTTCAGTATTACTTTCTATCCACAGGAATGTGTTACCTTAGTTGAAAAACTGTACAAGGATTAAACTTTTCAGCTTCATTTAAAGCCTCCTCAACTTTATCTCCAGCCAGTAGCATCTGCACAAGAGTACCAGAGTTAGAGCCAATATACATACAAAAGGGATATTCTCCAATATCTTGATATTTTCCATAGAAAAAATCAGAGAATAAACTTAAAAACATGCTTCAATAGCACATCTAATTTAAAGAGCATTTTCGCGGTATGTGTTCCGCAATCAGATGTAACAAGTGGTTTTGAATGACAAAATTCTTCAAGTAAAAGATGTTCAAGCCTAATGATCCATACTAGACAAAGCATTGATAAAAAGATGTGTCAAGTTTCACAATTGGCTCTTGCAATCAAGTCTATTTCTTACCAAGGATAAAGAATGATGCCAGCAATCAATAGAAAAATTAACATGGTTAGGAGAAGCACTACGACTATGTTAAGTAAGACTAAGATAGGAAAGTAAGCACCAGATAACAAATTTATAGCTTTTCTATTAAGTGACAACTAAAGAGGGAAGCAATAATATAGGAAGATTAGAAACAAATTAATGGTTACTATTTCAGATAAAATACAAACGTCAAATAAATCCATTTAAATAACAAACTACCTGTATTAAAGGGTGAAATGCCTCATGCGCAGAGGGCTCCAAGTACAAAGCAGCACGTAGATACTTCAGTCCATTCCTATAATTGTCATTCAGGGAACCCCTTTGCATATAAATGAAATCCTCAAGATTTTCAGTTGAACGAGGAAGTTGTAGAGGCAATAACCATGGTGGTAGACCTGTAAAAGTGAAACTGGAGTACTTGGAACTTCTGATAGTAACAAATAATAACTAAGAAAAGATACAGAACATTGACCGGTTCAAACATAATTATTTAGGAAAAAGAACAAAAAAGAGGACAGGGTAAAACTGTAACACACCAGGAGTGTAGAAAATGGAGGTACTAGGTATTTCATCATCATGCAGATCTTCACGCCCTTGCCTCTCTGCTGAGTCCATGCTCAAATCTTCTTTCTTAAGAGTTTCTTTATGCAAGTTATCATCAACTTCCATGGGAAGTTTTCTAATAGGATCACCAATAATTCTTGAATTATCCTTTCCATTCCCAACAGAGGTGCTTGAAGTACAGTTCAAGGGAAATTTTGTTCCTTGAGTTTCAACAGCATTATGACCATCAATGGACATACCAATTAAACCTTCAGACATCTGCGATTGGAAAGCAGTCACAGAATTCATCCACTCTTCTGAGTGGATACCACCTTCAGACATAACCGGTTTCATAGGAGCAGCAGACTGACTAATATCTTCCAACTTCATCTCTCTTGGGATGCCCAAATACCATCGCTGAAAATATGTCAAGCCAACAAGAAAATTTGAGACAGAATCACTCTCAAAACCAGGTTCCTGCATAAGACTAATGTAAAATCTGATCACAACTCAAACGACGTCAAGGAATCATTGTCAAACTAATACCAAGAACCCTTAAAAGCATACCATAAAGCCGCTTGGTGGGCATCCTCTATGTCTCCCCGTGTTAGACAGAAAATTATAAATTCACATTGAGCAGCAAACCTTTCCTGCCCAAATTATGAAGAGTTAGTATTAACCAAATCCAATCTGCACTATTACAATAAATTCCAAAACAAAACACCATGGATGTAGTAAGCACAACATTTTCTTTTAGCGCCTATGTTTTTCCATATCATAGCACGAAATCCTTTCAAGTATGCAAGTCCACTCATGTATGTGTTTTGAACTATACTGTTATAATGAAAAATAAAATTACAAACATAGTAAAACTGTAAAACCTTTGAATACAACCTCAGAGAGATGCTTATGTAATGTACCTTTGTTGGACGACTTTTCTTCCGTCCTAATTTTTTTATCATCAGGTCATAAACAAGCTGCAGTTTCCTTTTGCTAATGTTATCACCTTTTACATGATGCATAACCTCCAAAGCTGCCTGCAATATTGTGCGGTCTTTCAGTAACAGTACATTGATTTCTCAAAACAGACACAGACACAGACACAGACACAGCCACAGCCACAGGTACTTAAATTAAAATACGTATCTTCCCCCATAATACAGCATAAAATTCACAACACAGCAACTAGATACAAACCAACCAAACATAAGAACTCATACGCATGAACATAGAAGATCTTTTGTGTTGCTATTGTCAAATACTTCTCACCACATTCTTCATACATATTCCAGGCTTCCCCAGTTATTTAGTGTTTTAGTTCAACCATAAAATAACTTTTTCTAAGTACCCTTATACCAACAATGTGAAATGTTAAAAAAAATCCAGTACAAAATCTCAACACAAGTTGGCAGGAAAAACAATACTTGTATACATCGATGGTCTTCCCTTAGGAAGAACTTCTCGTCATCAACAGAACGAACACAAAATTTAAGTCCGTCCAGCTCCCTCCAACAACCAAACTTCCCCAGCTCACAAAATTTAAAATTTCCCCCCTATTCTTTCAAGGAATCAATCTTTATTCATTAACCTATCATCAAATTTACTATGAATGAGCAATAAGTGAACCAAGGAACTCACAAACTGTAATTGAATAATGAAAGAAAAAAAAAATCATCCGGATTGAAAAACAGACAAATTAAACAGTCAAATATGAATACCCAATATTTCCTTCGAATCCTCGAGGTTGAAGTTTCACTGGGAGATGCCTGAAGCAAAACACTCAGAACGCCACTGGCTTCCACCCAATTACCCTTCCCAATCAGCTTCTTCAGCAGCAGGCGTAGCCTTCTCCGGTGCATGGACCGCAAGCTTTCCCCGCCCGGGTGCGGATTCGGGTACCCAGTTCCCCTCTGTAATGAGTAACTTGGCTTTAAGCTTGTCCGTATGATTCCCTTGATATTCCTGGCTAACTTGGAAGCTCCGACGGGATTATCATCGTCGACGTCGTTGGGCTTTACACGACTCGTTGAGCTGGGGAGCTTCTTTTTACCTTCCCTCTTGCCCTTTTCTTGAGCTTTTTCAGATGGGTTCTTCTTCGCCATGGTTTTTCCGGATTTCTGGGCTCATGAGCTCCGGTAGCGCGCACGATGTGCCCCCCGTTCGTGTTCCTAATACATTCTAATCAGACCTGGTTCCTGGTTTGACTTAAACCATTTTCCCAACCCTATTTTATTTAAACCGGTTTTTTTTCTCTCCTAAAAAGAAAATTTAAATTTGTGAATTGATCCCAATTTTCCCTTTTCTCACTCTATTCCAATATTATTATCACATTCATATTTGTGTTAAAAATATAGCAATAAATATTATAATCACTTTGAACAGAAGAAAAATAATATCTACAGTAGAGACTTGCTAAGCTAATACTCTATAAATTAATTAATTCTATTAAATAATAATTTTTTTAAGGTTTCGTGAGCCATACAAATTCAAAAAACATCGATAATTTAATAAAATTTTTAAATATTCTTATATGAATATAGGTCCCTTAAAATAATCATAAATTAAAAATGAGAAAAAAACAAAGAAGGTTTAAGAAGGTAGGTGGCTATTGAGTTTTACTTTTCTTTTTTTTTTCTAAAAATTTACACTTGAGAAAATTTCATCCACGATTTTCTTTCCAATCCATAAATAAAAATAATACGATCATTGTTACATACACGAAGTAGGGTTGAAGTTGAGTATTTTATTTATTAATATGATTAAAAAAAACTTTTAGATTAATAAAATATTAATTTATTAATAAAATAATAATTATTAATTATTAATTTAGCGACCGAGGAATTGGTTTAGTGGTAAAACCTTGCTCCAAGACGAGGTCATAAGTTCAATCCTCACTCCAACAAAAAGTGAGGGATTGGCTCTCACCTTACCTATTGGCACCCTCTAGGGGCTTGTTATGGTTATGGCTAACCCACTAATAAACTCCCAATTTCGCACCCGAGCTTGTCACCCCGGACTTACCTAGGATAGTTTATCTCTCACTGTGTTTTGCAGGTTATTGCAGTGAGCGTGAATTTACCCATCTTTGATTTGGTTCCCGGCATTACCAAAATAATAATAATAAATTATTATTATTAATTTATCGATTAAATAATAATCTCTATAAATCAATAAATTTTTATGGAACCAACATTATTAATTATCGAGTCTTTACTTAATTTAGTTTTTTTAAAAGATGTACGTACATGATTTTTTTTAATTTCTATTTCTTTCATTTTCTTTCTTTTTAACCAAAATACTTATATGTTTTAATCGGAAAAATCATTTTCCTTCTTTTTAACCAAAATACTTATATGTTTTGATTGTTTTTTCCGATATGTGTTTTAAAGTGTTTTTTCTATTGTGAACGTATAAATTGTATTAAATCTAAAATATATATACTAGGATGTGATATTTTTACTAATAAAAATTTTTTTGAAAAAAAACTACCAAACAGAGAGTACTGCATATTAGAGAATCTTTTTTGTTGAGTAAGCAACATTATCAAGTTATTATTGCATGCTCTATGCTTTTAATTTGGTAGTTTTCTTTAAGAAGGAAAAGGTGGTGTTTTGATAATCTAAAAATTAAAATTAAGCCATGAGAAGGTAAATAAAATTGAGCCTAAAAATTAAGACGAACCTTATCCATAATATTTTGGCTTTTTTAAAAAATGCATGCTTTTGATGGGAAAGAAACTCCGATATTTTGTGTTTGTCAAATGATAATGATACTCTCTTAGCCAGATATAGTTGTTACTAAATTTAATACGTACTATAAAAATTAGATCATTATTTTGGAGGAAACGAAAAATTCCTAAGAAAATAAGTATGTTGACACTCATAGGTAACAGAATTAAATAATAAATACTTGCAATGTAGTGATGTTTAATAAAGTACAATCACAACATTATCCTACCCTCCAAAACAAAAGCTCCATTATTATGAATTATTTTATTACTGTATCATTTATCAATTATGGCGACGGTTGCGCTGATGATAAAGTACACCAATACGACAAGTTATTCCACGCAACGAACTCTTCAATTGTTTTAGAGTAAATGTAAATTATTGTACAAAAAAAAGTAAATGTAAATTATATCAATACACATCGCAATGGCAAGTACAACAAATTGTTCGGTTATTACGAAATTAACATGACATTTGATTGCCAACAAAATCAACATTATTTTTAATAGAGTTAGACAAAATGAACCTCGTATAGTCGTATATACTCCTTCCCGTCCTTAATATAAGACATTTTGATTTTATCCTAAGTTTAATCTAGTATGCATTTTAAATTAAAAAAAACCTTAAAAATATTTCACAACAATCAAGAAAACACGACAAATGTGAAAATATATATTTAAGGTTTTTTCAATTAAAAATGAGTACTAGGTAAAAATTAGGACAAATCAAAATACCTTAGATTAAGGACCGGGAGTACTAATTTTTTCGTAAATATTAACATAGGATAATACGGAAACGGGAATATTAGCGGATATATCCCAACGTTTACCCTCTGCTAGTCAATTCATCCCAAACTTTTAAAATTGAGTGAATATATCCCAAGGTTTTTAAATTTGAGCGCAACCATCTCAAAAAAATAAAAATTTTAAAATAAAAAATAACAAAAATACCCTAAACCCAAAATCATGTGAAAAATGAATTTTCGTCACTAATTAACAGCCAAAATTAATAGAATGATTTCTGATGAATTTTTTGTTTCGTAAGGTAACTTGTTATACAAATAAATTTGATTGATTATATGTATTAGAATTACATAATAATTCAATGACCCGTTATGAGGTTCACTCTTTTTTTTTATTATTTTAGTCTGGTTAATTATGTCATTCCATGGCCTCATCTCTCCCAATACTGTTACCGTTACTGAACAAAACACTCAGTTTTCAATCTGTTTGGAACTTTTCAATGGCTTTTTCATAATAGTTTATTAATAAATGTCCAATTTCAGCATATCTTTTACATTTCTACCGTACCTTTTTACAATCTCAATAGAAAAAAAAAAAACTTAAAAACACACACTGACTGAAAAAAAATATCCAAACATAGGTAAGGGTTTCAATTTATGTTTGAAACAGGTGAAATCAAAATCCACCATGCATTATTTAGATATTAAAAAATAAAAATAAAAAATAAAAAACCAATTATTTCTTCATAATAAGGTCATAACTAGATTTGAAAAAATTTTATTAAAAAAATATTAAAAATTAAGAGAGACAGAGAAAGAAAGAGAGAGACAGATAGAGAAAATACTAATTTTTAATTGTTGTACCTGGTCAATTTTGTGTGTTTTCAGGTCAATGAGATGGTTGCGCTCAATTTTAAAAATCTTGAGATAAAATCATTTAGTTTTAAAAATTTAAGATGAATTGACTAACAAAGAGTAAACGTTGAGATGTATCCGTCAATATCCCTATACGGAAACAGTCAAATAGCTCTACACATAATCCAAATCCAAATTATGTCATCGTCAATGTTCTGAACATTAAAGAGCCCTTTAATTGAGTATTATCTTAATCAATCGATTATTTTCTAATTATTGTACTCCAATATCCTAATTTTCCCATAAATGTACATGAGTAGTAGTTAATTAAATAAATTATGATTATATATTATAATACAAACACATGCACAATTTTAAAACACTTTTTGGTGGATTCAGCGTTTCATTTTCAGCTAGCCAGCTGCTCAATTGGTTTTACGTCTGAGTCTGTCCAATATTTACGGAAACTTCCAAACCTCCCCCCAAAGAGATTACCATGACACAGTCACATCGCCACCGCCACGTCATCGTTTCCTCCCTAAATACAACTCCCCACTGCTCCATTTCCAAGTGTTCAGCTCTTTGATAAACCCCAAGTAGTTTTTCTGTATAATTGTTGAGAAATTTTTCCTTTTAATCTGAGAAGGAAATTATGGAGAGCGGGAAGGTCACCGCCAAAGCCACTGAGGAATTCGGAGGGGAAAAATTGGAGTATTTGTCAGGATTTGGGAATCACTTTTCATCGGAGGCTATCGCCGGAGCTTTACCTCAAGGTCAGAACAGTCCTCTCATATGTCCTTACGGTCTCTATGCCGAGCAGATTTCTGGCACTTCCTTCACCGCTCCTCGCAAGCTAAACCTCCGCAGGTTAGTTTTATTTTTGTTTGATCTTTGGTTTTTGATTCCTTCCCTATGTCAGACGTACTTATTTCAGGCTTTGTTTTGATTCGGAATTCTTCTGTGTGATTATTATTAGTATTTTTAACGTGAAAAAATAGTGAAATGAAAAATAACACTGGTTTACTGAACAGAAGTTGAACAGAGTCGATGATCAAAGTTATTCACTCAATTTTTGGAGCCAGTGATTAAGTAATAACAGGGAAGGAAGTTCCTTAATTCGTGAACTTTTTCCTTGATTAGGATTTTTATTTATTTGCTTGCCCCCTTTTCATGGTCTTGTAAAAGAATTTGATGGATGACTTGATCTTATGTGTCCAACAATTTCTAAACCACTCTAGTAAAGATGATCTAATGGAAAAGTTTGATGATATAGTTTTTTATTCCTTTTTCCCTCTAATATTGTGTAATTACGGTGCATTTAAACCTACCGCGTTTTAGTCACAGTTAAGATTGTCAGGAAATGGCACTTGGCATTTCAAAGGTTCTGAGTTTCGTTTAGATTTCAGTATGGAGGGTGTGACTCCAATTTTTATGAATCTGATGGCTTACGGGCACTTCTTTGTCACAGTTGGCTATATCGGATCAAGCCTTCAGTTACACATGAGCCATTTAAACCTCGAGTTCCTAGTCATCCAAAGCTTGTAAGTGAGTTTAACCAGTCAAATAGTTCTGCCACACCAACTCAGCTAAGATGGAAACCGGTGGAGATTCGAGAGAGCCCGACAGACTTCATTGACGGCCTCTACACTGTATGTGGAGCTGGCAGTTCATATCTGCGCCATGGTTTTGCTATTCACATGTAATTGTGTACTCCTACTTTGTTGGTGCCTGTTGGGCTAAACTACCTTTTAGTACTTTGATTTGTTTAGTGGTGCTCTCTGAGCTACTGCTTTGAGAATTCTGGATTGTAATTTTGGTTATTTGATGATTCAAAGGTGAGGATTTGATATTGCACAGTGCCCAGCTATTGTCTCATCCATAAGGTGTTTCCTGTGACTCTTTCCGTAGGTTCACTGCTAACAAATCCATGGAGAAGTGTGCATTGTGTAATGCTGATGGCGACTTCCTGATAGTACCTCAAAAAGGAAGTAAGTGATATGTTAAATATATCCATTTGTGCAGGTGCATATTCCTCTTGGTTCTGATAATGCATGTCGATATATAGACTGATCTCCTGAATATTTTCTAATGAATTTATTATCATGATGCACCCTGCTTATATCTTTTATTGGGTAAATAACAGCTTTTCTTTCTTATTTCTGGATGGTAACTTCTTTTATTGTATATTATATCCTAATACAGGGTTACTGATCACGACTGAGTGTGGAAAGCTACAAGTGGTTCCTGGTGAGGTAGCTGTTATACCTCAAGGATTCCGCTTTGTTGTTGACCTGCCAGATGGACCTTCACGTGGTTACGTTGCAGAGATATTCGGAAATCATTTTCAGCTCCCAGACCTCGGACCAATAGGTGCTACAAAAAGTTTTAAAATAAATAATTAGTTTGGTTTGATCTGGACCATTTAAATCCCACTTGACTTGTTGTTTGGATTCACAAGTTTAGGTGCAAATGGCCTTGCTGCTCCAAGGGATTTCCTTTCACCGGTGGCCTGGTTTGAGCAGACTACCTGTCCAGGTTACACCATTGTCCAGAAATTTGGTGGTGAACTTTTTACTGCAAAACAGGATTTCTCTCCATTCAATGTGGTGGCTTGGCATGGCAATTATGTCCCGTATAAGGTAGATATTCCAATTGTTTGGATAGTAATCACTAATCTTTTTCTTCCTTCCATGTAAGTGGTAATATGTTAACTACTCCTCATGGCTGATACTGCAACTTATTGTTTTTTGCAGTATGATCTGAGCAAATTCTGTCCTTACAATACTGTTTTATTTGATCACAGTGATCCATCAATAAACACAGGTAAATATCTACTTGTGGAAGTTTCATAACCTTCTTTACTACTGAGCCTAAACTTAAAGTTATTCAGTATGTTATTTCATGATCAAATACTTTAATGTTCACTGAAGCTTACACTTACTGTAAATCAAATGCAGTTCTATCGGCTCCAACTGATAAGCCTGGTGTGGCATTACTTGATTTTGTCATTTTTCCTCCTCGATGGCTTGTTGCTGAACATACTTTCCGCCCTCCATATTACCACCGTAATTGTATGAGCGAATTCATGGGTTTAATTCATGGAGGATATGAGGTAAAGGTTTTCTGTTTTTGTACAAGTTCCTGATGAAGTCTAATTACTTTTAAAAGGTTTTGGGTTCAAAAAATCAATCCAATCCATCTGGCACATAAATCTAGAGTTGCATATATGGGTATGGTGGTCTATCAGTCAAGTCGAACATAGGGTTTAATTTTGGAAAATAAATCTGTAAATGGATGGACTGCACTTTTGCCTGGTGTTGTACTCTGTAATTATTGCAATACAAAATGATTCTACAAGACCTTTTTTTTTGCAGCATCTCTTATGCTTCTTTATTGGTTTCTGGAATCTGGAGAAACAAACTTCTTGCAAATCTATTGTTTGCGTGTTGCTTGGCATACTATATAAGGCGTCTAACTGATGGGAAGTAAGTAAAGGTGTTGATGTGTTACATGAGCGGCTTCGTTCAGATGTTGTGTTGGGAACGTACTGCAGACTGGTTTTTGATAATACAAATTGAGAACTGGTGTCTTATTTAGTATTAATTGATTTGCGAATAGGATGGTCTGGACCTTGTGTTTGTTTTCATTAACCAAACTCTTAAATAAGCCTAATTCCTATTTTGTTGTATTGTTCTTTTCAGGCAAAAGCTGATGGTTTCCTCCCAGGTGGTGCTAGTCTACATAGCTGCATGACTCCCCATGGTCCAGACACAAAATCATACGAGGTAATATACCTTTGAAGTTTAAATAGTCTATACCACTCAGTCTCTTAGAATTTGTTTTCCTTGGTGCTGTTTATGCGTTTAGTATTATTAGATTGTATTGTATAGGATTTTAAGTACTCTATTGAGCTTCTGGAGTTTGTTTGCCTGGGTTGGCAGGCTACAATTGCTCTTGGCAATGATGCTGGACCTAAGAAAATCGAGAATACCATGGCTTTCATGTTTGAATCATGTCTAATTCCACGAGTCTGTGCATGGGCACTTGAATCCCCGGCTATGGACCACGACTATTATCAATGCTGGATTGGCCTGAAATCCCATTTTGCACACGAAGGTGTAAAGGAAGAGAACACTGACTTACAAAATGGGAGCAACTAGAGAGTGATCAAGATGATTGCCTTTCTTGGTGGATGTCTTCTTCTAACTAGATATAGCCCAGGCCTATAGTGAATATTATTAGCAATTAGTAATGGAAATTGTCTGAGTCTCTCAGATGTCACCTATTCTGTGTTGTAAAAATGTCAAATAAAATTGTTGAAAATAGTTATATGAACTTTTGCTCGTTCTTTCTCAATGTAATCAGATTTTTTATAATGTGTGTGTGTGTGTTGTTTTTTAACAATTTGGGAATGGAAATCTAGAATATGTCTTTTAGAATCTCATCCTAATTGATATGTCTTTACTCTTTACTCCTCGTCGATTGCATTTACAAAAAGGAAAAATATGCAAGTATATTTTATACATTTTTTTGGTATGAGGCTTGGAGTTTTACAAAAAAAAAAGAAAAAAAAGAAAAAAAGAAAAAAAGAGCATTATGCAGCAATTTACCAACCGACCTAAAACTTTTTCCATCTCATTTTACCTGAAAAAGTTTTTTGAAAAAAAACCAAATAGTCTCTTTAATTAATTAATTTTCTATTGGTTTGCAGAATACCGTAGCGCCAGAAACAGCTTCCCCCGTCAGTTCTTTCTTCCCCCCTTTCATCCTTCTTCCCCGACCTCCTCAACCTTCAGAAAAAAACCCTAACCTCGGTGTTTCTCCCGCGCTACCCACTGAGCTACTCACAGATTGCTTAAAACCTTCTTCTGCTTGTAGGCCTTATGGATAACAAGGTGATTCAGCAAAAGGATGAGCTAAGCGTGGATGATTCAATCGATATTGAAACCCTGTACGAGTTCGGAGAAAAGCTTAACGAGGCCAAGGACAAGTCTCAAGTAATTTTTTCGAACTTCTCATGTTGCCATTTTGCTGCTTACTTTTTGTTTCTTGATCTGGTGAAAATTTTTAGAATTTTGAAAATCTTCGTATTCTTTTGTAAATTTTAATTTTCCTTTTGTTTTTTTTTTTTTGTTGTTGTGGTGTTCTATGCTGGAGAACAGCTTGAAAAGGATTACGAGTACATTATTGCTGCTGCAAATGGCTCTGTGAAAGCGAAGCAATTAGCGGCCCAGTTTATACCGAAATTCTTCAAGTATTTTCCCCAGCTTGCAGAACAAGCGCTTGAACAGCATTGGTATCTATGCGAAGACGAGGAGCTAGGGGTTAGTTCTTTCTTTGAATTTCCTAAAATTCATTACAGTTTTAATTGTGCAAACTCCTATACTAGATAAAATTTGTTGTGCGTGTGTTTTTTTAATTATTTTATTAATTTTAATGTTGCCTTTGGGATGTTATTATCTAGCTGAACTTCCTCTGTTCTAGAAGATATGTTGTGGCAATGAATTTGGAAGGACGTTAGATGAATGAGAAAGGAGTTTCAAATGACATCGTGTTTGTGGTTTTGATGGTCTTGTTTATGTGTTCTGACAGACGCTGAAGAAGTTGGATATCGTGTTGGTGGTTTTGATGGTCTTTAGATGCATTGTTTTTTGACAAGTCTTGTCTTCAATTATCAAGTTGGACATACGTCATGTATATAGTTCTTTCATAAAATGTTCTAAGTAAGCTGGGAAAGAAAAGGAATGAAAAGTATAGTACAATAATGTTATATGATTTATGTTCATTAGTATGAATTTTGATTTTTGGTTTCATCTTTATCAGGTGCGTGTGCAAGCAATCCGGGGGTTGCCTCTTTTCTGCAAAGATACGCCTGATTATCTTGCCAAAATTGTAGATATTCTCGCTCAATCACTTGTAGCTGGTGAGTGTTTGTTTTCTGTTCATTCTGCAAGTATTTGTATTAGTCTTGTTATTTGCTGAGATCGTGGATTTATCCTTCAGGAGAAAATGTGGAGCGTGATGCGGTCAATAAAGCTTTAATGACTTTGTTGCGGCAGGATGTTAAAAGTAAGACATTCTCTGTGGACTTCATTCTTACAATCTCTTGGGTATCATTCTCGTTTTGCTTCTATGTCATGGTATCTGTCTTGCACTTTTCTTGATTATCTTGTCCACTGTGTTTATCCGTTTCTGTTTATCTTGAGTACGCCTCCCTAAACTTGTTTCCTAAAATGGTAGATGTTATTACTCTAGAAGATAATAATTGTTGATTCCTAAGGCCCGGACAGTTCCCTTCTTTTCGGCACAAGTGTTATTTGTGTCTTTTGCTCTTCATGCCTAGTCGAACTTGGACTTCTACTTGGAAAGGATGAATTCTTGCATGAGGTTCAAATCAAGCTACCAGTTTATGTAAAAATCTATGCAGTAAGTTGTATACTTGAATTGTTGCTTCTTGTTAAGATAAAATCTCGTGCTTTATCGTGTTTGGTTACCAAGTCTTTTGAGAGGATTTTAAGTGTCTGTTTTATGTCTGGGAAGATTATTTTCCAAAAAGCTTCTGGAAAGGTTGATTTTGGACAACACATGGTTAGATCCTGTTGTTTAGGGGTGTATCCATAAAAACTGAAATTGAAAGAAGATGCTTAGCAATTCTTCAATGCCCCTGCTTTGGCCTTGCTCCCTATTCACCTTAGTTTCATAGTTGATTTATCAGTCATTATGTAGATTTTCAGCTAGCCGCATTGCATTTTTATTTCATTTTGATCATGTCAGCATATATTGTTTTAAATCTACTGTTTGAAAATCCCTTGAACCGGAGATTGTCTCGAATTTGTTTGTAGCTATTGCATCATGATTCAATTTCTTTGGTGTCCTGGGTTATTTAAGATGTTGCTGTGCTTTACTGATGTATTAATACTTGACTCAAATATTTGGTAGAGCTTTTGATGGAAAATATGAACCAAGTTAAAATTTGTGTCAGTGTGTTGATTTTGGTGGTTTCCTTAGCATTCTATTTTACAGATTTTACACTTACTATGTCTTTGTGGTTGTCGGGCTATTGATGGTATGAACAAATTCCTCCTGCAGCTTCCTTGACAGCATTGTTTAAGCATGTTGGAAGCACTGAGGAAAGGAGTGAAGAAAGAAGTGTAGAAGAGCTTAGTGCAGAGAATGTGCGTGACAAGGTTATCTGCTTTCTCAAAGATAAGGTGAATAGTTGATACTTATCGCATATTCTATTTTGCATGTTCTTTATCTGGTTGAATGCTATTATGCTCTTTTCAAGATTACAATTGGTTGATTATATTGTTATTAGGTTTTTCCTCTCAAGTCGGAGTTGTTAAAACCTCAAGCAGAAATGGAGAGGCATATAGCTGATCTGGTGAAGCAGGTATCTCATGCACGTTTGTCTCATCCTCTCTGTTACTGTTTTTACCAGATATCATTTTTGTAAAAGCAAGATCCTTGATCTAATTGCGTATAATGTAAATTAAACTTGCTGTAAATGGTTTGTTGCAGAGCTTGCAAGATGTAACTGCAGGTGAATTTAAAATGTTTATGGACTTCCTGAAGAGCTTGAGCTTGTTTGGGCAGACTGCTCCTGCTGAACGTGTTCAAGAATTGGTTGCAATCATTGAGGGTCAGGCTGATCTAGATGCTCCATTTGACGTAAGTTCATGTTCCCTTGTTTTTGCAGCTTACAAAGTACAGGTTAAAGAAACATCACGCATAATTCACCGAAAGTGTATCCTAATGTCCATAGTTGCGTTTGAGTTGATGGTTTTAGATTTATGATCTCCCACCTTTTTCGCGGTGATTAAGAGACTTATGTATGCTGTTTTGATATATTTGTCTTTGTAGGTTCTGACGGTCAAGTCATTCTCTGGTTTTTAAATGTTAATTTTTTCTTGGTTTTGTTATGGATGGAAATGCATGCAGTATTGAGGGGTCTTTGTTTGATAGTCATAAGTACGAAAATAGTATTCACAAAAGACTGCGCACTTAATGTGTATGTTGTGCTTCTGTTTGTTTCAATCTTTTTATAGTTACAGTTCATATTCTCCATCGTTTTCTACATCCTGTATCCTGTTTATATGCATAAGCTTTACTCTGGGAATTCATTTAAATGTGATTTGGTTAACTTGTCTTACGACTACCTTTCAGGTTTCAGATGGAGATCACATTGGCAGATATATAGCTTGCTTGCGCACAGCGCTTCCCTTTTTCATGGTTAGCACTGCCTTTTGGTACCTTCTGTGTTTTCGGATTATTATAGAAATTAACACTATCCGTCTTATATTTGGTTTAGAGGGGAGCCTCCAGCAGCAAGTTCATCAATTATTTGAGTAAGCAAATTATACCTGTTTTCGATAAGGTAAGGAGTATGATGTGATTGTAATGACTAGCTATCTCCATCTCACATTTGATTATGCAGCTCCCTTGTACCAGTTAATGCTCAAAAAATAAATATCTCATAGTCATGTCTCATTATTTGAAATTTTCATTTTTTTATAATTCGAAATGGAATGAGATCTGTTGAATGTGTGAAGTCTATCTGCGTCTTTGCACTTGGGATGAATTTTGCCGGTTGCATAGCAATAGTTGATTTCTCAACATGTCTCCACATAATAATAGAATAAAAGGAGATATGGTCATGAATTATTGTCACTTATCATATAATGATTAATATACCCTACACCATATCCATGATCCATATGCTTAAATTAATCTGCTTATAGACTCAGATGGGAGATGTCTAAAAGATTATTGTCTAAGAAAAGCTTTTTTTGAGTTCAGTGGAGATTAATTATTCTGATGATTTGAGGAAATGGCTACTCTGACCCTTACTTTGGTATTTGAAGGCCTTTTGATCTTATGATATTAAGTGCTGTTCCGTAACATTTGGAACTCATTTTCCTTATGTCTGCGACTATGGGATTCCCCATAAAATGCCATCTTGCGCTTCTTTTCAGCCCCTTCTTAGTTAGGATTGTCATTGGAGTCCCTGTTTGGACCAGCTTTGGTTGGATTCAAGTTTGATGAATTGCCTTTTTGGGATATGTAGACTGAGTAGGATTGTGATTGCATGTTTTGAGATGCGTTGGATTTTCTTCATCTCTCTTTGTAAATGCATTGAGGTTCTCGCAGCAACTAAAAGTTTGTGATCCTATCAGCTTCCTGAAGATCAAAAGCTGGACCTGCTCAAGACCATGGCAGAATGTTCTCTTTATGCAGGGCCTCCTGATGCCCGCCAGTTTCTTCCATCCGTTGTTCAACTTCTGAAGGTATGGACATAGTAGAATTTTATAAATGAGTCACGGGGTTGATATTTTCCTTATGTTACATAGTCTTGACTTGTATGGTTGACAATGTGCATCTTTCCCATAACAAATCAGTTTAATTATCTGGTAGTTTCTATCTGTTATGGCCTTTTTACTTTTGACTGTTGGCTTGGTAAAAGGTGTGGTATGAAATATGAAGCTCAATTTTGTAAGCAAGTTTCATTAGTAGAATTGAGTTCTTTTGAAGAGGCTTTTCATAGAACAGATTCAAAATGAAGTACCTTTTGATGAGAATTGACCATGTAAGTTTTTGTGGTTACTTATTGTCTCTTTCTTCATGTTTTCCCCTCCAGAAATATATGGTTCGGAAGAAAATTGAAGAAATGAATTTCACATATGTCGAGTGCCTCTTGTACACATTCCACCATTTAGCTTACAAGGTCAGATGAATCATGTTTCTCAATTTCCTTCTTATTTTTCTGTTTCTGGTTGCACATGTGAACTGACTTTTCCCCCCTCCGATTTTATGTGTTTTGTAGACTCCTAATGCAACGAATAGTCTTTGTGGATATAAGATAGTTACGGGCCAACCTTCTGATAGGCTTGGGGAAGATTTTTCTGAGCAATATAAAGACTTTACTGAAAGGTACAGTTTCTCCCTCCTGCATGGCTCTTAACTGCTTAAATACTTCATGACTGCTAAAGTATAATTTTGTATTGTGAGTCCAGTAGATAGTATTTTGATTTCAAATGTGGAGACTATACAAGTCTCCTTATTTCGTAGATCCCCAGCCTTTGTGGGTTCTACATGGTGCTGCTGAGGATTATAGTTAAACCTAAAATTTTGCTGTTGTGCTTGAGATGCTATATACGCTTTTGACTTGGTTGAATATCCACGATTAAAATACTAAAGATGAGTCTAAATGGAAAATGTTTATTTCTTTCTATTTTACTCTTCTGGTATTGGTAGTTTTTAAATATTTATTTTGAGGAATGATCCTTTTTGTTTCCAAATCATTGTCATTTTTCTTTTTGTAAGTTAAAACTATAGCACTGCCATCATCAGTGACTTGTCCCTGGTTACGAAATTTTCCTGTAAGAATTTGTAACGTGAATGTGCAATTCCTTCTGAAGAATTTTAGTATTTAATTGCACTTCATAATCATGTGTAGTTATGCATGCTATACTTCACACCTTTGTATTTATTCGAACGTTGGAATGATATGTTTAAGTTTAAATCTGATGGATGAGACAGATTGCGCACCATTGAGGATTTAGCCAAATCCATGATAAAGAAATTGACTCAAGGGATGAGTGATCACAACAAAGCAATGACAGCTGCAAAGACTGAGCAAGAAAAAGATAATATAGTAAGTTTAGCATCATCCGTGATTTATTTCCATTTTCTGCTGCTTGGCGTTACTAGACTCGCATAGAATCATTTGCTCACTTTGACCATTTTCTGCTGATTATAACTGCAGAAGGCACAAAAGCAGAATGCTACTTCTGGGCTCAAAAGTTGCAACAATATACTACAGATGGCACAGGTGATTCCCCCCACACACACCCCCCCCCCCTCCCTTCCTGGTATTAGGGTTTTAACTTGCAGGAATGTTTCTTTGGCTGACCTTCTCAATCATTGTCCAGACGTTGCATTCCAAATCACCTTCCTTTATCGGGGACCAGAAAATTCACTTGTCATGGAAGGAAGGAACTAAACCGTCTAAACCGTCTGTTCAGCCTTCTGCTGCCACTGCTGGGTAAGACACTAAAGCACCTTTCTATGCTGCTTCAAACTGCTGAGAGTAGTCGAATCTACTGATGCTAACCTTTTCCTACTTTTTTTGTTAACATATGACAGTCAAAAGCGAACTGCAAGCGCTGTTAATGGATCCAACACGTCTTCAGTAAAAAGGGGCCGAGGAGGCGTCGGTGGCTTTCAAAATGAAATTTTCAATAAAGCTTTTCAAGGTTTGTCGAATGCTGGTGGTAGAGGTGGAAGGAACAGAGGTAGGAGGGGGGGACGAGGAAGAGGAAGGGGGAGAGGGTATTACTGAATGACCTTTACATTCTCATTCCTAGTGTAGAACTTAGAATGAATAGCATCGCAATTATCGACTCAAAGCTCCTTGTTATTAACACAAAATCATAGGAAGGTTTAATCTGTTTTAACGTCTATAGCTGCTGATTGGACTGAATGAGGCCTCTCTGTTCCACTTCATGCAATTCCTGCACACATGTTTATAAATGTTGATTAAGCTGTTGATGAGACTAATTTGATTGTTTGTAGTTCCGAGATTTTACTACACATGGATTTTCTTCTTCTTCGTTCTTCTTTCTAACGCCTGTTTGCTCCCTATTAATTTCTGCCAATGGTCTTTCCTTGTAGCTTGTGTGTGTTCTTTTGTGTGCCAATTTGTTTAACAATGAAATTGGTTATGGGAATGAAGTTGATGAAACGAGTGGGGGCCTTCTGGGCTCCTACGCACCCACGTGCAATAATGCTTCTTTTATGTTCACACAGTGCAGAGCACAGGCACACACTCAAAGATACTTTCCAATTCATGTCCAGTTTGGGTGTACGGAAACCTTAGAATTTTTGGGATCGCCAAAATGAAGATTAGGAACCAGAATTAAAGAATCTTTGTTATTAATACTAAATATTGGCCGGTACTCGATCCTTTATTGCACATTAGGGACCATTTGAAGGGATATATGCACATTAGGAAAGGGGGGAGGGGGGGCCTCGACACGGCAAATTTTGTGACTGAAATATGTAATCATATCCATGATTCTAGTGGCGGAGCTAGGGGACCAGCAGCGGCGGTTGCTTCCAGCCGAAATTTTTCTTCATGGGTCAAATTTTTAGTGTAAATTAAACTTTTTTAGATTTTTGCCTTTGCAAAATAAATTTTAGACATTTCACCCCTGTAAATACAAAATCCTAGTTTCGTCACTGCATTATTCTCGTTTAGAGATAATTATACATGTGAGATATGATGGTAACTAGTCTATAGTGGATTTTCATATTTGTACTATTTATGAAAGATTTGTACAAATTTATGTGAAATTGTTTCGAAGACAGTTGGAGTAATTCTTTAGAAAGAGTGACAGCAATGTGCTATATATCATTAAAGAAAGTTTGATGTTATAATTTCTACAAGGCACATGACAAGGGGAATCAAAATAATGTAAACAAAGTGTAGTAGGACAGCGGTACAATCGACGTACTTAGAACACATCCTTCTTCAACTGGACTTTGTTATATCTGTAATGATTGTAGTTGTCTTTTGGGAACTATTTTCTTATTTAGATTTTTTTTAACAATTAAACGGGGATAATGGAAGCAACCAAGAACTGAACAAAAGAAGAGAGAGAAGAGAAACCTAAGTGGTTGTGGTGGAGTGAAAAGTATTCCTTCACCTTTAATCATAGACTGAGGATTCGAATTTTGTCATGAGTATGGAGCAATTTTAAATATTGTGGCCAGTTGTCTCATCCATCAAGGTGTCTATAATTCAATGAGAGGAATTAGTCATTGTTGCCGACGTTAAACACTGGACACCCTGCAAATATGAAAAAAGAAGAGAGAGAGAAGGGCAAAGGTAACATAGGTCGGGAGCATGTGAGTCTGATTTGGGGACAATGCAAAGAAAGGTGGGGGCTCCGAAAACAGTTCACATGGGGAGGAAGGAAAACACCATATATTGATATTTACTTGCACCCTTCCTTTTCTTTCACAGCTCAACGCCTCAACCCCTTCTCTACTACTACTCCTAATCTAATACTCTCAACTCTCCATTATTTTTTGTTTCCCTCTTCCTCTTCTTCTTTCCTTAAATTAAAGATTCTGTACTTGTCTTGGCTTTACTAGGTACACCAATAAATTGCCGTGTCTAGCCACTAGGGATAGCATAAGTAGGTTGCATGTAATGGGTTTTTCCATTCATTATGTTATTCTCCGTCTTTATTTATCGTACTGTTTTAGTTTTAATAGATTAGTAAGAAATGTGTATTATTTGGCATCACTAAAAGCACAAGGATCTGAAAATTTCGCCATCTGAAGTTAAATCATGAATTGAACAATAACATATCTCAACTCATATCGTGATAATTTTATCTTAGACTAAAATCTTTTTAGATGTTACTTGATCATTATTTGTTGCCTTGCAGTGCTTCCAAATGACCATAGTGATTGAAGTGCGTTTATAGTGACCAATTCATTTTATGGTACTATTATAATTTAATGTTATAAACTACAAGATGATGAAACACACAATAAAACAAAGATAGTACTATTAGATATAACATGTGAGATTAAAACTTGTAACGGTGTGGAGTGTCCCATGTGTTGTAACCGCGGGAGGAAAAGTTACTGATGCCATATGTTGGCATACGAGATTCAGACCGGGGTCTTTGAATGATTGGAAGAGAGCTGAAAAAAGGCAGAGAGAGCGTTTAGTAACCCATAGGTCACATCGGCACGTGGTGGCTGATTCCTTCCTGTAAGTCTTCCTTATTAAAGAAATTTCACTAAATTACTTCCTCGTATTTATTATAAGATATTTTAATTTTTTTTTAAATTTTATCTAATATATATTTTTAATTAGTAAAATAACTTTAAAAATGTTTTATAACAATTAAGCGAATACAAGGAATGCGAAAATATATTTTTAAATTTTTTTTGTTAATAAAAAATATATATTAATTAAAATTTAAGACAAATCAAAATATCTTATATTTAAAACTAGAGAAAGTTCTACTCTCTATACTCTGCGACTTTACCACTCTTCTTCTTTTTTCTGCCTTCCCCTTCCAAAATTAGCTGTAGCTAGCTGTCCTAAATCCGAATCCCTCCCACACCCCCCATGTGACCACCCCTCCCTCCAAAAACTCTGGGCCTTCAAAATAGTTCCTCCATTAAAACCTTCCCCAAAACTTTAACCAATAAACCAGAAATTTTAAAAAGATTAAACAAAAACACACACACACACACACACTTTTATTACAAAAAGGTTCAACATTTGCCTTTTCCTCTTCTCTAAAAACTGCCTTTTTGTTTTTGATCTTCTTTCTTGCTATTCATTCAATTCCTTTACCAATCCCCATGTATTATATATATATATACATATACGCAACCACCTTCTTTCTATCCTGAATTTTCCTCCAACTAATTAAAAACCTTTTGCATTATTGGCATTTCCATATCTCTCACCAAGAAATTCTCTCCCTTTCTCAAACCCTCCAAAGATTTCACCAGGAGATTTTTTTTTGTTCAGTTCTGAAGAATTTTGGGTGTTGTTTGATTATCTTTTAATGCATGGCTCAACTACCACCCAAAGTTCCATCCATGCCACAGAATTGGCCTTCTTCCTTCCCTTTCCAGATGATGCCATTGCCTTCCTCCACCCCGCCACAGAATTCCTCCTCCTGGGTTGATGAATTCCTTGATTTCTCCTCCGCTCGCCGGAGCGCTCACCGGCGGTCTGCCAGCGATTCCATTGCCTTCGTGGAGGCCCAATTCGTTGAGGAATGCAGGAATTCATCCAACCCCAGAAACAATTCCTCATCATGCAACAATAATGGTCACGGCGGCGGCTTTGAAGGATTGGATGATGAACAGCTCCGGAATATGTTCTCCGACGACGTCGCCGCCGCCGCCACCGGGCCTTCCACCCTTTCCTCTTCCAATCCGTCCAGCACTAATCCCTCCACCCCGTCGGATCAGAACAGCGACAATGACGAGAAGAATGTGGCCAATCAAGATCAAAATGACATTAATTTACAGCGGAAAAATGAAACAGGGGATGTGGACATTTCAAGCCGATTAGAATCTCCTTCCAATCCTTCCTCAAATGTCGTCTCTCCTGATGCCATTGTTGATCCCAAAAGAATAAAAAGGTAAATTCTTCAGAACCCCTTTTCTCTAAACGGCTCAGAAAGACATCACTTTTGAGCTTATTCATTAAAATATAAATCCATCAATTAAGACAGAATTCTTATTTTCCCCGGGTTGAAAATGAACTACATGAGATGACGCAATGTGATACTGTATATGAGTTATTTTACTTATATTCATTTGTCAAATCATATTGTTCTCAGAATTTTGGCCAACCGGCAATCAGCTCAGAGATCAAGAGTAAGGAAGCTGCAATACATCTCAGAGCTTGAAAGGAGTGTCACAACTTTGCAGGTGGCCTTGAAACTTAGTGCTTCATTAATTATCACATTGATTTATGTTAATCCAGTTGTAGTTTTTTTTTATGAAATTTTGTTTGTCCTGGCTAATTGTGCAGACAGAAGTGTCAGTATTGTCTCCAAGGGTGGCCTTTTTAGATCACCAGAGATTGATTCTTAACGTTGACAACAGTGCACTTAAGCAAAGGATTGCTGCTTTAGCACAAGATAAAATTTTCAAAGATGGTAAGAAATTATTTTTTCTAATTCATTTGCATTTTTTATGATTTGGGTCTGTGCTACGTGATTTCAATAATGATTTGACTTGAGTTTATAAAATTGACATAATTAGTGAACAGCAAGGAAGGTGGACTTGCATTAATTAAGTGTTTTTCTTTTTTTGGTGATTGAGAGAATCTTTATAGGCATGTGCAATCACTGTCAATAAGTTTTTTCAATTCATGGGTTTTGTCTATTTGGGACAATAAATTAATAATGTGATTAACCTGAATGATTCAAATGATCTCTACTGTGATTAGTTGAGCTGCACTAATGTTTTGAAATTCAAATGCTGTTAGTGGGAAATTGTACATGACTTGTTAGTTGATGACAATTATGTCGATTTTTCACAAGTTGGCTTACTATTTCTCACACCTTTTTCAATCCATTATTTCACCCCCACCACATAATTGATCCCTTTGAAATGTGGAACTTCGGTGTCACCATTACTAATATCATCTCTACATTTGAAACTTCTTACATTTATAAATGATTGGCTCGAATTCGAAGAATTAGTGGCATGATTTGCCTGAAAAACCATTGAATAAAATCTGATGTTCTTCTTTGAGGAGTGAATTAATGTTTGATGTTTCTGTATTTAACTAGCTATCGCTAATTACTTGTTATGCATTTTGACATCAACACACAGCCCATCAAGAAGCGCTGAGAAAAGAGATAGAGAGACTGAGGCAAGTGTATCATGATCAAAATGTGAAGAAGATGGGCAGCAATAAGAATGACAATGGTGGTGGCAGCAACACTAATGAAGCATCCCATTCCCCACCAACAACACCAACACCATTGCAGCCAAACTTTAACAAGACTGCTTCTGCTGCTGCTGCTGCAACTGGTGCTTGTACGGATCAATAATACCACGTGCAAATGTTGCACTACTACTATTACTACTGCTGATTTTCTTGATTGAAGAAGAAAAAAAAATTTAGTACCCGAAAGGAGTAAGTAGATGATGGATGCTGATGATGATAGAGCTCTTCCTTTCCCCCTTTTTAATTGTGTAGAGAAAGAGGACCGATCTCACGTGCTGTGTTCCAATCTCTCTTCCTATCGTTCAAAGAAGTGGACCCCTTTGACAAGGCCTTGATGGATTGGAGCAACTAGGGTTTTTTTATTTTATTTATTTACTTTTTTTGCTAATTTTCTATTTGATTTTTTTTTTTTTTTGGTTGTTGTAGGAGGAAAAAGGGGAAAAAAAAGAAAAGAAAAGAAAGAAAGATGCTAGTGTGTTCTTAGCTAGGATATGGCAGTTCATCGTTGCCAGAAAAAGAAGAAGAAAAAAAAAATCTGACAAACTCGGAGTTTTATTATTTTATTTTTGTTGGATTACTGAGTTTAGGGGTACTTTTCTAATGTAATTGTAAATTACTACTACGCAATATATTATTGGATTAATTAATGTAAACACTTGTTGAGTTTTTCATTTTCTTCTAATTGTTATGGACTGGGTTTTATACTGGAGAAGACAAGACCAAGGCTCCTGGGCCATTTTAAACTTGTATGTTTTCACCCTGAATTCTGGCCCAATATATTAACGCTTCCTCGATCACTCACCATTTTTATTTTTATTTTTTTGAATGAAAAGTTTTCTTGTATTAATACTATAGGACTGATTTAATCACACAGTTTTTTTCCACTCTGATAAATTGAGAAAACGTTCCAAATACAACATTACTTTGATGTGTAACATGCTCTCTCTATATGTTAGGGGGTGGTTAATGAATTTTCAAAAAGGGCGGAGGAAAGATCAAAATTATTCTAAAGGCGTTAGCATATTTTATTCTTTAGTATTAACATTAAAATAATTTTTATATCTAATAATATTACAAATGACTAATTTATCCTTTTTTCCCCAACAGTTACTATTACTATTTTACTTCTTCTTACATAAAACTCATCTCCTGAATCAAATTATCTGCTCTGTTAATAACCTATTTCCAGGGTATGATTCTAATCCTAGTTACTTTTTTGCTGAAAAGTTGACAACCTTTGATTGAAGGAAGCACTTATTTATAATTTTTTCTTTCCTCTTTTCCTGCGGTGGACATGGAGAATAAGATCAATATTGATGCTAATTGCAAAACGAAACTCCAGATTCATCAGGGTTGCCATGTTCTTGAAGAAATTTGGGGATTCACAATTAAAGTCAAGAATAATATGAAAACTAAATTAAAAAGATATAACCAAAAAAGAAGAGAGACAATTCAGATTCAAGTGGTTTAAGTCATTACTCTATCTGAAATTTTTTGAATTGAAAGGAGAAGTAAAACAGAGCCCTCCACTCCTACCATGACCGATTTTTTTTTTTCCTTCTTCTTCTTCTTTTTCTTTCTCTTTTTCTTTTTGATTGTGAGTCTGTCGATTATTGTCTAGGGGAAAAGGAATAAAAGAAAGGATGAAGTAGTCTTTTTGAGTGTTGAAAAATATTTTCTGTATTTAACCAATTTAAGAAAAGAATAAAAAATAATGATGCCGTTAATAATAATTTTGACTTTTTCAGTGCCCTAAAAATAATGCATTAATACTTAAGTCACCTAATAATGAGTCAATTTCCACATGGACTCACTCAGATAAGGCATAAGAGTCCACTTGCGCATGGGAATATTTTTCGCCAAATTCACTTCCCACAAATATTCAAAAGAGTTATTTTTATGTATAACATAACAATAATTAATTTCTGGCAATTGATAAATATATAGCTATTTTATTATATAAGAGAGAAAAAAAATTTCAATTACCAATAATACCCTTATTTAAAATTTTAACACTTCTATTGTGATTAATTTCCTTTATTTTCTCTCTTCTTTTATAGATTAGGTGATAGCCAACCTTTCCTATTCTTAAAAAAAAAAAATCTTACGTAATTTCTTTTTCTTCCCCAAATAAAAAAAAGTTGCATAATTTATTTTTCCTTCTCCAAATTTAAAAAAAAAAAAACTACTGCTGCTTTTTTTTCCTTCTCGTTTCATGTGATCTTGAATTAAAACTTCCCACACTGAAAAAAATACCTATTGAAACATGATATTCGAGAATTTTTGTGGTGGAAAAAAATCATCGACATAAGATATCACCTGTCATTTTTTTAGTTGCTTACAACCGAATTGTGTATTTTATATTATTTTTTTATTCTTCATGAAAATTTTCAAATATTATATTTCAATATTTTCTTTTATTTGGTGGTGGAAGTTTTAATTCAAAATCACAGAAAATGAGGAAAAAAAAGTTACGCAAGTGTTTTTTTTTTTTTTTTGATTTGGAGAAGAAAAAGAAATTAGGCAAGTTCTTTTTTTTTTCACCTCTTTGATTTGGAATAGGAGATTGGCTTGTACCCAATCCATAAAAGAAGGAAGAAAATAAACGAAATTAATTAATGTCGATGTATTACAATTTGATAAGAAGAGTATTATTGGTACTTAGAAAGATTTTGCTCTTTATATAACAAAATGGCTCTATATTTATCAATTGCCTTAATTTCTAAGTGTGATGCAACACAAATCTTTCAATTGGGAAGAAATCTATTTACCGTACTGTTTTTTTTTTTTGGGTTAAATTTACTGTATTGTTTTAAAATAATAAAGATGACTCTTATTCTGAGTTGGGTGTAATATATAAGGGGTTGTATGCACATCCTAAGAGTTAAAAGAGTTGTTTTTTGTTAGCTGTTTGTTAGCTTTGTTTGAGTGTGGGTTTTCTCAAAACTTCCAAAGGGAAAAGTCCACTTTATATACCTTAAGAATAGGGAATTTCTAAATCATTTATCCTCAGAATTGATTTTCTCAAATTATGTACCTTATATTTGAATTTTGTTATTTTAAGTATTTTTTAAGGACAAAATGAGAAACTAACAAAATTTTGTCCTAAACTACTACGTTTTCGCTCCCAAACTCCTGGAAAAGAGCCGATTACACCATTAATTTTATTGATTTTATAAAAATTTATCTCTCAATTAGATTTCAGTGAATTATACTTAGATTTTTGGTCAAAAATTTCACATGACTTCCAGTGTTTATTAGGTGGAGAAAATTGTACCCAAAGAAAAAAGATAGGTGGAGAAAGAATCCAATCCAACCATGGCTAATTCGCAGATGTTTGGGGGTATTAGAAGTATGATTATAATGTTAGTAAGAATAGTTCTTTTGGTTGTTGGCATTTATTTTTGGCAAACCTGCCCACAAACTCTATTACCACCCACATCGATCCCTTAATCCTGCATCAAGAATTTGAGAAATTTATTCGGGCTTCGGCAGAAATTATACAAGTGATGAGGAGAAAGCCAAAAGATTCAAGATTTTCTCTGAAATTTACAAATACATCCAGGAGTCGAACAACACGCCAGGTATAGGATTCACACTGGGTATCAACCAGTTTGCAGATCGTGGCGATGAAGAGTTCACTTCATGCGTAGAAGTTGACGACAATTGAGTGAATTGTGATGAAGGGTTCTCGCTTCCCCGTTTTTTTTTTATTATTGAAGGTGTGTGAAATATGAGATTAAATATATCAAACCTTTTTATATTATCTCTATTTTTGAATCAATAACTTCCCTCATTTTGTTTTTAGTTAATAATTAGGTTTAGATGAATAGAATTAGTCTAACCAGCTTCCCTCACTGGAGAATGGCTTTGTTATTGCATGAATTATATGTCCCTGATGATCTGGACTATGGGGAACAGAATGTCTTCCAACCAGCTTATGCTCATCTTTGTCTTTGTCGTCCCCTTTCATCCATCGTTTGAATTTCTCCATTAAATTTTTTCCTCCTTGATGAATCAGGAATGTCCATGACTTCCCATATCATCGTCATCTGACCCAAATCCTCTTGGTTCTTCCTCATTTAACTCGTGCCTTAGACATGCATTGCACCACCTTAGGTAAATCAGTTCTTCCGTTTCCACGGCACGTTGGGACTCAGAGTTCGCTTCCAACTTACCTTGCATCTTCCCTGACGTTATCTTCCGTTTTTACTTTATCTGCTTCAATCTGGGAAGAACAGTGAGAAATATTGTCACTAAGGCATCCTATTGAAAAAATTTATGCAAGGTAAACTACACTAGTCCTTTATATATATATATATATATTGTTAAAAAGTGCTCAAGTAATAAGTAGTAATGCAAACCTTCAATAGAGCTGATCTGGTTTGACAAGTCACATGACCTCTTCTTCTAGCGCTCATGTGAACGTTGATTCTGCTCTTTTCTTTCAGAGTTGTCCTGATTTGTTTCTGTATGAGAATGATCAGAGTCCAAACAGGACACATATGATGATATCAAGGCGCTCCAGATCATGCAAGCCCACTTCATCTTGGCAATAAATATGCATGTTTCTCTGCTTCGGAGGCATCAAGATTTGGGCTTTTTCTTCCGGTAATCCGAGCCAAAACAAAACCAGGTGCAGCAAATGCCAGAGGAATTCCAGCTTTCAGGAAAGAAAACTGGCTTAATAATATATAACATCCACCTGTGTGCTTGTGCTTGTGCTTGCGTTTTCCATGTTCTTCAAGATTTGGTTCGAGCAATTTGGAAATTGGAACTGGATATTTCAGAAATCAAAATTTGAGACTTCTAGCTAGGAAATAAATAACGTTAATTCCTCAGTCTTGTTTGGTTGGTTTGGTGAGTTCTTTATCCGGCAGGCACTGATCATCAGATGGTTTATAAAGCTTAATACCCACATTTGCCTTTGTGTAGAAATTAATTCTTTGCCTTAAGCTTTGCTTTGGGATTCAAAAAATCTTGCTTTTTTGACCACTCAATTAGCCGTGAGTTGCATTTGGCGAATAAAAATCTGTCTTCCTGGTTTGCGAGTTGGGAATCCAATTCGTTCCCCGCTGGAATTTGAGAGATTCTGTCTTGCCTTCAATTCTTGTTGCATGTCCAGAATTTCCGGTTCACCCCTTCTTGTGATTTTGTCCAGAATTTGCCTCCAATTCATTGGCCCAATTATCTTTTGTCCAAATAAACTGATTACCAAATCACGACAGTCCGCATAGTGATTTGCGGCCAATTAGTCTCAAGAACACTATTTTTTGGGTAACATTTTCTTGCATTAAAATCCTTTTTTTTTTTCTCGCGTGGATGATTTGATAATGCAGCACAAGTTTTCTATTAAAATCGACTCTAGGTGTGAGACCCTCTGATGGATGGAGATAACATACATACAACACAGACAAAGCGATAAAAATATTAATAATTTTATGGATCTTTGTATTTTATAAAATGTTACGCAATATTTATTTCGGTTGCTAAGATTGTGCTTTCATTTTTCCTCAATGTTATCCCTTTTACTCTATTAAAGCAGAATACAGGATGTTGATGTGGCAACTTCTTATTAAAACTTTTTGGCTCCAAATGCACCATATTGCATTGACCATTCTACCACGTGTCATCCCTTTTTAAAAGAAAAAAAAATCTTATCACGAGAAATGAAGCTACTTTACAAAAATAACTACACAATTTTAACTCCTAACATTTATCATTTATCAATCAAATTAAAATAGCATTTAAATTTATCCATAAACTTATCTCCTTTATTACTCCACATTCTTTTGTATGATTTCTACATCGTTGTACTTTTTATTATTTTTTTGCTTTGGCAGATGATTTTTTATTTTTATTTTATTTTTGACTAAAAAAAGGAAAAAAACAACCAAATGTGTAGCTATTTTATTTTTTCCAAATCAAGAATTTATTTATCTATTAACACAAATTTAAAGTAGAGGGGCGCCCGGACATCTGCCTGGGCCAAGCATCTAGTTGGTGTTAAATCCGTCCGCTTATAAATAGATAAATAGAAATATATAATGAACGCTAGGAATCAAAGTGTTTCCTCCTTGAGTAATCTGGTATCTTTTTGTTTGTTTTAATGAACGCTAATTCAATCGAAGAACTTCTACAATTGGCCATTTTTCCGAACAATCTCAGCTAATTTGGTGTATTCATGTCAGAGTTCAGCGTTAATGATTCGTGAGAACATGTTGGGTGTTATGCTATCCCTTTCATAGATTATAAATTCAGGTGCAAATGTGCAATTAAAGAGATTTTGTTGGGTTTCAAATCCAGCCTGCATGCACTTACGGATTTAGGGTGGGGTCATGTGGGCCATGGCCTCCACTGGTCCCACCTAAATAGTTGAATAAGGTATTTGCTCTTAATTTTATGATATGAATAAGTAGCGGCATATTACACAAGTTGTATATGACACAATCAGCCTTGAGCTTAATCTCATATCAAATATAGGCAGACAAAATAATCCATTGGCTAATTCCCAACTCTTTGGACGCCAATATTAGCCATACTATTTCCTTTTTCTTTTTTGGGATGTTCCCACTTCCCATTATCAATTGTGGCTCGTGTTACTCTATTCTCGCCAAACCATTTTATCATCAACGAACTCCAGTGTCACGTACAAAGATTCGCACGACCCCTTAATTCTGCATCAAGAATTTGAAAATTTGTTCAAGAATTGATTAGATTTATCCAAACCGAAGAGGTTAAAAACAAAATATTGTATATCTTCGCTAATTTATTATTATTATTATTATTATCATTATTATTATTATGTTGGTTGAACGCTAAAAACTTCAAATATACCCCGGAATTCAACAAGGTCCAATGCGGGGGTATCAGCAAAGTTACTATATTCCCGATGATTGATAAGTTTGTGGCAAGTTTTAAGTAATTTTAATCTTCCATGCATGCAGTACTGTTTCAATTATTATTTTTTTATTTTTATTTTTTGTAACGGAAAAGATTCTTTCTCTAGCTGGCCAGTCTATATATCAACCGCCTCACGCCTCAATAAAATCAGTTATTCATTCTACTCTTTTTTCCACTACAATTCAGAGCAGTTTCTCTCTGGAAATCAGATTTATATAGTCTTGCTTAGTCTTGAACCAAACTCCTCCGTTAACCACCCTGCCTCCACCGTCAAACTCGTCGGCAACACCACCTTCTTTACTCGAAAACGCTCCATAAAATCAAGAAATGGACCTTCTCCGTACCGTTCCGGCAAAACCTCTTCACCTGCTTCCGGAATTGCCCAACCTGAACGTTCAAATCAAGATGCCGAATACTCGCTACAAGCCAGCGTGTCCAATTCGCGCTCTTTCAAACCCAAACTTCCATTACCGCGCGGAGAAATTGCCGGCGCCGGCGGTTGCTGTGGCAAAATCTGAGCCGTTATTGACAGTGGCGGCGAGTTCTCTGCAATCCGAGCCGGGCTTTTTGTTACGGAATCGCTGGTTGAACCTGGAGAATCCGGCGGTTGGGGAAAACGGTGAACTGAGTACCATGAACTACTTGAGGCAAATCTTGCTGTCCAAGGTGTACGACGTAGCCAGAGAGTCTGAGCTGGAGCTCGCCACTAAGCTCTCGGAGAGAATCGGCAACAAGATCTGGCTTAAACGTGAAGATCTCCAACCGGTACGTTTATCTTAATTGTTCTTTTGAGTTATGTGTGATCATTTGATTCATTTCACAGCTTATGTGGTGGTTTAGTGATGAATCTTACTCTGTAGTGTCTAATCTTGCGTGATTCTAGCCCTTACTCTGTTTCAAAATTAGGTGTAAGTTACGGAATTATTCAATTGATTTGATTCAATCTTAAGTACTGCATATACGTTACCATGGTTCTTTCTTTGTAGATCTTTTCATTCAATCTCCGAGGAGCTTATATATGATGGCCAAGCTGCCCAAAGAGAAGCTAGATGGAGGTGTCATCAGCGCTTCATCTGGAAATCACGCACAAGGTGTTGCTTTAGCTGCTGAGACTCTTGGCTGCGATGCTGTCATTGTAATGCCTGTTACTACTCCAGATGTTAAGGTTTGATTTATGGCAAATTCCCATTTAATTTACAACTGTTAATTTTGAGAATTTGTTTTATCTTTTTCTCTCCCTGATTTGCCGAGGGCCTTTGGATTTTCTATAAGTGTACAGTTTAAGCAAGTTCAGCAGTTGGGGGCTAAAGTTTTCCTCGTTGGGGATTCTTATGATGAGGCCAAATCATATGCAAAGAATCGAGCTCTAAAAGAATGCAGGACATTTATACCAGCATATGATCCCCCAGATGTCATCAGCGGGCAAGGAACGGTGGGAATGGAGATTCTTCGCCAAGTGAAGGACACAGAAGGGCTACATGCAGTATTTGTACCTGTTGGGGGTGGTGGGCTCATAGCTGGTATTGCTGCCTATCTGAAGAGCGTATGTCCACAGATAAAAATCATTGGAGTGGAGGCTTTTGATTCAAATGCCATGGCCTTATCATTGCATCATGGTCGAAGGGTAGTGCTAGACCAAATTGGTGGTTTTGTGGGTGGAGTCAGGACAGTTGGTGAAGAGACCTTTAGACTGTGTAAGGACTTAACAGATGGTGTGGTTCTTGTTCATCCTGCTGCTGTTCTTGAATCCATACAGGTCAGTTTCTCTTATCTTTTTCTTTTAACACCAATTGAAATCTTACCAATTATTCGTGCAGGGCTAATAACCAATGTATCATTTTGCATGCATATGTGTTTTGCAGTTTGGGGTTGATAACTTCTCTTCTTCTCACAGGAAATGTTCGAAGAGACAAGGAACATCTTGGAACCAGCCGGCGCTCTTGCAATTGCAGGGGCAGAAGCTTACTGCAAATATTATGGCTTGAATGGAGAAAATGTGGTGGCGATAACTAGCAGTGCCAATTTGTATTTTGACAGACAGAGATTAGCTGCTCAACTAACAAAAGGTGGTCTACATAAGGAAGCTGAGTTCGCAAGGATCATGCCGGAGGAGCCAGGCAGCTTTAAGAGATTTTGTGAACTTGTTGACATACCACATGCAGTACTGGATTCTATTGTTTGTGCCTACTCTGCTCCACCAAAGTTTGTTCAACACAAAGAGAGCTCGTAATCTCAAGAAAAACCGGCATGTGAATGCGTATGATCAAGATTAAAGCTCTCAATATGGTGTCAATAGCTTGTGCAGTGGAAGGGATTGGAGTAACTTTGTTAATGAAACAGTGGGATTTTTTGCTTTCTATGTTCTTTAGGATTTGTTGAGTGTTGATTTGGTATAGTGAATTTTCAGAATTCAAAATTTGAAACTTATAGCACGAATTAAAAACAAATATGTTCCAAAAGAAATGGGTGGGCTGGGTTTGAAGAAGCCCAGTGTAATGAATCAAGCCTTACTAATGCGGCTGGGCTGGATGGTTCTGGACGATCCGGAGACCATATGGGTGAGAGCATTTAAGGCAAAATATGGGCTTGATGATCCCATGGGCCCAGAAGTGCTTAAAACGCAGAACCCATCTGTGATCTATAGTGCTTTGAAGAATATTTTTGACTGCCAATGCAAAAAGGGGTTAGATGGGTTGTTAATAATGGAGAGAAAGTCAAGTTTTGGGAGGATGTTTGGCTTATTGGGTCCAAAACACTTGAGGAACAGGCGTTTGGGCCAATTTCAGCGGCCCAAAAAAATAGACATGTTTCTGATTTTGTAAAGACCTATGGCCAATGCGATTGGGGTCTTTTTCAGAACATCATTCCGGCTGCTGAACTCATGAAAATCGCCGCAATACTGCCACCATGCCCTTCATGGGGGGGGGGGAAGATAAAAGGATTGGTCTCACCTCTGCTTCAGGGGGTTTCTCCACCAAAGAGGCCTATAAAATGTTGGAAGGCGTCCCACAGAGGCCCACAACACCAATCTGGAAAGCAATTTGGAATTCGCCTTGTCCGGAGAGGGTTAAAATGTGCCTATGGTTGTCCGCCAAAGGCAAGTTGATGACGAATGTGGAGAGAATGAAACGCCAATTTGCTGATTCGGCGACTTGCCCACTATGTGGTGACCCTGAAGAAACTATCATCCATGCTTTGAGGGATTGTCTTTTTGCCCGCCCTATTTGGAACAGGATAATCCCGAATGCGCAGTCGGTTTTTTGGGAGATGGATTGCCACCAGTGGCTGGAAAAAAAAATCTAATCAATCCAAGGGCATGTGGTTGGGAGGAAAGGAGCTGTATTTTTGGTATTGTTTGCTGGTCGATTTGGGGATGGAGAAACGACCACATTTTTCAAAATTTGGAAGTGCCCTTTCACAAAAAGCTGTGGTTGATCCATAGGAAGGGATTAGAGGTTAAGGCTACGATAGAAGCAGCACGAAAGATAACCCCTACTCGAAGGCTGAGGGAAGAGAGATTTATAGCATGGGAACTGCCACCACCAGACTGGATAAAAGTCAATACATATGGGGCGTATGATGTTGACACTGGGGCGACAGCGGCAGGGGGGCTCATTCGGGACCATGCTGGTAATTGGAAGAGGGGTTTCACGGCTAATATTGGTAGCACTTCCATTACTGGTGCTGAACTTTGGGGCCTGTACCATGGCTTGAAACAGACGTGGGAAATGGGGGAAAAGAGGGTAATGGTTGAAGTGGACAGTGAGTGTGTGGTCAAGATTGTAGAAAGGCAATCCAGCTCGGTCACAGCTCATGAGGGGCTGGTGAGGAGTATTAAAGACCTCATGTCACGGGAATGGACTGTCCAATTGAAGCATACACGGAGGGAGGCCAACTTCGCAGCTGACTGCCTAGCAGGAAATCCACCCGAAGCATTTGGATACAAGGAACTGAATGTGCCGCCGGCTTTTGTAAAACATTGGCTTTTGAATGATGTAGTGGGAGTGTCATACCCGCGCAATGTAATAGTTTGAAAACTAGGCCTTGTGCCTCCTTCTTTGCACCAAAAAAAACAAATATGTTCCTCACTTTTGTTTTGATTGGCTTGGTTTGTTCTTTTCTGTGTGTTGAATTGCTGATGTTTTAAAGGACACAGTGTTTGATATTTGCGTAATGTCTCTGCCAAAGCGGATTGGTGGACAAAAATAGCTAGCTAGCTCTTGCTCTTTGGCCTCTCTAAGGAAATATTTTCATGGCTTTGAAGATTTCCACCAAGCTGCAATTCCATTGCATGATGATGTATTAGGCCTTTTCTTTTCCAGTACGATGTCGGGATTTCCCTCTTCATTTCTAATGGTCCTTTTTCTTTTTTTCTTTTTGATGGTCATTAAGCTTTATTTATATGTGTATTTTGGTAGCCGAACAACTGAAGCAATCATCACTACTAGAGTGAATATGGTTAAGCTTAAACCGTTGTGAATTTGAGATATACTAACAAATTACAAAAATGATAGTGACTAGTGACTGATGACCAGGTATATGGGAGGAAAAAAACACCTTTTTGAAATTGAAATTGGTTAAGAGAGTAGTTTAATTTTATTTATTTTACCTAGTATACAATATACTAATTCGTTTTGAAATGTCGTTTACTTTATCATTAGCATAAGTAACTTAAACGATTACAAGTTGGACAACGAAACAGCTGTGGATGGAGGAAGAATTTTAATATTACTGAGTACCTTTTCATGTGTATTCTAAGTATAATTCTTATCATTTGTTTTGATATTTACATGGAATTCAATTTGCTTCAAGTTAATTTTAATACTACCTCTGTTCCTGATTATAATTCCAATTTTCATTGGAAATGTTCAAAAAAAAAATGAATATAATTTTCAATATTTGCGTCAATTAGTTTAGATGTGACAGTGCCAGTAAGATGTGCGCGGTGTTGAAATTTTTCCTTTTAGTAGGCAATTTATTGGGTGCACCCGGGGGCACCATACTCCCCTTTCTATTTTTTGCATTACTAGTCCTTATTGTACTTTTTTTTAGAGTCTCTATCCAGTATACCCGAGGGCACCATACTACCCCTTCTATTTTTTACACTAGTAGTCCTTACTACACTTTTTTCCACTTTTCTAAATAACATCCTATAATTTACAGGTTTAGTCCCTTTGATTTTTTTTTTTCTCTCTCCTTTAAAAAACATCTCTAATCTTTAAACGATCATATTTCTCAATCCGTGAAGAATTAGAAAACGTGTTACACATGAATTTTATTGTACTCGTCGAAATCTATCCAACAAGATACATGTCAAATATTTTTTTCGAGTTTAAAAATGACTAAATTTCGATGGGCAGAATAAGATGGATATATAGTTTAGAAAGATGGATAACCAGTTTAATTTATATTAAGATTCTTGTATTGCATATATCTCTTGATCCGTAAATAATTAGAATACAAATTATATATGAAATTTATAGTGCTCAACGAAATCTATCCGATAATATCCATGTTGAATTTTTTTTTGAACTTTAAATGCATTTAAATTTTACGGGCAGAAATGAAGAAATGTGTTTTTCGTTTTTATTTGAAAAATGGTTATCCGTTGTATTCCTACTGATTATCCAACCGGTTTGGACTGATTATCCATTCTGTTTGTACTTGTCATCCAATCATATTTTGACATTCACTCTTCAAAAAAAAAAAAGAAAGAAAGAAAAAATGATTGGATAAGCATTGCAAACAATTTGGATAATCAATAGAAAATAATTAGATAATCAGTGCAACACATTTAATAATTAGTACAGAAAAGTTTGACAATCATTTTCATAAAAGAGCAAGGAAAAAAAATACTGGATAACCACCACAAAGAAGTTGGATAATCAATATGAACACATTGGATATCCATTTTAAAAAGATGGATAACCAACTTATTTTACATTCATATTGTTGTGTTCCTTGTATCTTTTGATCCGTAAAGAATTATAACACGAATTATATATGAAATTTGTAGTGCTCGATGAGATCTATCTGATAAGATCAATGTTGAATATTTCTTTTGAACTTTAAATGCATTTAAACTTTACGGGCAGAAATGAATAAACTGAAAAATGATTATCCATTGTTTTCATACTGATTATCCAACCGGTTTGAACTAATTACCTATTTTCTTTTATCCAATCATATTTTTTACATTCACTTTTCAAAAAAAAAAAAAAAAGAAGATGGATAACCAACTTAGTTTAGATTGATATTCTTGTATTACATATATTTCTTTATCCGTAAAGAATTAGAACACGAAGTATATATGAATTTTATAGTGCTCGACGAGATCTACCGGTTTGGATTGATTATCCATTTTGTTTGTACTTATTATCCAATCATATTTTTTTACATTCACTCATCTTCAAAAAAAAAAAGAAGAAAAGAATAAAAAATAAAATATTTGGATAAGCATTACAAACAATTTGGATAATCATTAAAAATGATTGGATAAGTAGTACAAGCTGGTTGGATAACCAGTACAAAAAAATCGGATAATCATTTTCATTAAAAGAGCAAGGAAAAAAAAAGTCGGATAACCATCCATTACCGAGAAATCGGATGGATAATCAGTATGAACACATTGGACAGATTTTTTCTCAAAAAAAGAAAAAAAAAGAAGAGAAATTATGTTTGGATAATCAGTGAAAACGATTGGATAAGGCATACAAAAACGGTTGGATAGTCAGTACAAAAAACTGGACAAGGATTTTCGCAAAGAGTAGGGAAAAAAATGGTCGGATTATCTATATAGAACAGTTGGATAATCAATACGAACGCGTTGGACAACCATTTCTTTTTTTCAAAAAAATAATAATAAAAAGAAAAACCAAATGGATGGATATCCAGTACAAACGAATTGGATATCCAATACAAACTAAATAGATATCCAGTACAAATAAGTGGGATATCCATTACAAACAAGTTGGATATGCATACAAACCAAATGGATGGATATCCGCTACAAACAATTTGGATAAATATCCAGTACGTACAAACAAGTTAGATAGGCATACAAACTAAATGGATGGATATCCAGTATAAACAAGTTGGATAGGCACTATAAATTTCATGTGTAATTCGTATTCTAATTCTTTACGGATCAAGAGATATATGCAATACAAGAATCTTAATCTAAACTAAACTGGTTATCCATCTTTCTAAATTAGATAGCCATCTTATTCTGCCCATCGAAATTTAGTCATTTTTAAACTCGGCAAAAATATTCGACATGGATCTTGTTGGATAGATCTCGACGAATAGAATAAAATTCTTGGTTAACACTTTTTCTAATTCTTCATGGATTGAGAGATATAATCGTTTGAATATTAGAGATGTTTTTTTAGAAGAGAGAGAAAAAGTGGCAGGGACTAAACTTACAAATAATAGGAAGATTATTAGAAAAAGTAAAAAAAGTAGTCTATATCCAGTATACCAGGGGGCACCGTGTACTCCCTCCTATTTTTTGCATTTCTAGTCCTTATTGTACTTTTTTTTTTTTATCAATTTTTCTATATTTTGCAAGTTTAGTCCCTGTCATTTTTTCTCTCTCTTCAAAAAAAAAAAAAACATCTCTAAAACGAGCATATCTCTCAATCCGTGAAGAATTTGTGAACGAATTATATATGAAATTTATAGTACTCGTCGAGATCTATTCAACAAAATCCATAGTGAATATTTTTCCGGGCTTAAAAATAACGTGATTCTGATGGGCAGAATAAAGGTGAATATCCAGTTTTACAAGATGGATAACCAACTTGTTCTAAATTGGTTATCCATTGTGTTCATGCTGATTATTCAATCAGTTTGAACTGGTTATCCATTTTATTTGTACTGCTTATTCATTTGGTTTGTATGTCTATCTAACTTGTCTGTAATGGATATCCCACTTGTTTGAAATGGATATCCAACTCGCTTGTACTGGATATCTATCCATTTGGTTTATATGCTTATCCAACTTGTTTTGTAGTTGTAATCCAACGGATTTGCATGCATATCCAAGTTGTTTGTGCTGGATGTCCAACTCGCTTGTACTGGATATCCATCCACTTCAAACTGATTATCCAACTTCTTAATTCAAAATAAGTTGGTTATCCATCTTCTTAAACTGGATATCCAATGTGTTCATATTGATTATCAACTTCTTTGTGGTGGTTATCCAGTATTTTTTTTCCTTGCTCTTTTATGAAAACGATTGTCAAACTTTTTTGTACTGATTATCCAACGTGCTGCACTGATTATCCAATTATTTTCTATTATTTTTCCAAATTGTTTGCAATGCTTATCCAATCATTTTTTCTTTCTTTTTTTTTTGAAGAGTGAATGTCAAAAATATGATTGGATAACAAGTACAAACAGAATGGATAATCAGTCCAAACCGGATGGATAATTAGTAGGAACACAACGGATAACTATTTTTCAAAGAAAAATGAAAAACACATTTCTTCATTTCTGCCCGTAAAATTTAAATGCATTTAAAGTTCAAAAAAAATATTCAACATGGATCTTATCGGATAGATTTCTTCGAGCACTATAAATTTCATGTATAATTCGTATTTTAATTCTTTACGGATCAAGATATATGCAATACAAGAATATTAATCTAAACTAAACTGGTTATCCATCTTTCTAAACTAGATATCCATCTTATTCTGCCCATCGAAATTTAATCATTTTTAAACTCAAACAAAATATTCGATATGGATCTTGTTGGATAGATCTCGATGAGTACTATAATTTTCATATATAACACGTTCTCTAATTTTTTACGGATCATGAGATATGGTCGTTTAAAGATTAGAGATGTTTTTTAAAGGAGAGAGAAAAAAATCAAAATGACTAAACCTGCTATTTAGAAAATTGGAAAAAAGTGTAATAAGAACTAGTAGTGTAAAAAATAAGAGGGGAATATACTGGATAAATTGCTTACCGTTGATAGTTGTTAGATTATTATACCTTAATTAGTATTTATTATTCAGATAATAATTGATTTCAGGTATGTATCGTAAATATATTTGAGTTAGATGTATATTCCTACACTAGTTGGTATTAGCCTTAGCTTATTACTTTTGGGATTAGTCTATTACTTACTTACAGGTATAAATACAAGGGTAGTCGTATTATGTTGATGTACAATTATGCTAGGGCTGCTAGCAATCGAATCTCTCTTTTCCTTATCCGCGAACGTGATAGATATTATATTTTGATTTATTTATTGATATTTATCCTCTATAAAAACTTCGGGTTTTCTAATTAAGACCAGATTCCACAACTCCAAGAAATTACCACATTTTTCTGAGTGACAGTTTCCCGCCTGACAACGGCGCCCCTAAGCATTACAATGGAAGTTATGGGATGTGTTTCGGCTAAGAAGCTTCCTCTGCCGCCGAAGTACAGCCTCCTCACTAGAATTCCCAACGGCAGAGTCAACGCGGTACGACCACAGGTTTCCTGCAGGTTCGGAAACAACTGTAGAATTGCCGCCAAATGCCAGCCAATACGGGCCGTTTTGCGGCCGACGCTTGATGTGTCATTGACGCTTACTCCGGCGTTCCAATCCGATCCGTTATTGGCCGTGTCACCCAACTCGCTCCAATGCGAGACCGGTCTTTTATTGCGGAACCACTGGTTGAACGTGCAGAATGGGGCCGCTGGGGGAAACGGCAAGTTGACCGCCTCGGATTACGTGAGGGAAATCTGTGCTTCCAAGGTTTATGACGTGGCAGTTGAGTCGGATTTGGAGCTCGCCCCTAATCTCTCCAAGACAATGGGCGTCAACTTTTGGCTCAAGCGTGAGGATCTTCAACAAGTAAGCTCTCAACCTAACCCAAAATTATTATCCAGTCGAGATTTTTACTATCGTCCAGTTTGGATAAACTGTTATTGCGTGGTAGTAGCTATAAACATGTTACACACATCTTCCTAATTAATCTTCTGGCAGGTATTTTCATTCAAGCTTCGAGGAGCTTATAATATGATGGCCAAGCTATCCAAGGAGCAGCTAGAAAAAGGCGTGATATGCTCGTCAGCTGGAAACCACGCTCAAGGGGTTGCTTTAGCCGCTAAGAGACTTGGCTGCAATGCTGTTATTGCAATGCCTGTCACTACTCCAGAGATCAAGGTTCGGATGGATAATAATGGCAATATTTTCACTTCCTAGCAGCAAATTTTTCGTAAATCATCATTCTGATGTAAAGTTTCTTTTCTTTAATTTCTTTTTTCTTTTTTCCGTGCGTACAGTGGAAGTCAGTTGAACGATTGGGGGGAAATGTTGTCCTGGTTGGGGATTCATATGATGAAGCACAATCCTATGCGAAAATACGAGCTCTGGAAGAAGGCCTCACATTCATCCATCCCTTTGATCACCCGGATGTGATCAGCGGGCAGGGTACAATTGGAATGGAGATTGTGCACCAAATGCAGGATATAGAGGGCCTGCTGCATGCTGTATTTGTCCCGGTTGGGGGCGGCGGCCTAATAGCAGGAATCGCTGCCTATCTGAAAACTGTAGCTCCGCATATAAAGATCATTGGGGTGGAGCCTTTTGATGCAAATGCCATGGCACTTTCATTGCATCATGGTGAACGGGTGGCGCTGGATCAAGTCGGTGGTTTCGCAGACGGTGTAGCTGTTAAAATGGTTGGTGAAGAAACCTTCAGATTGTGTAAAGAGTTGATAGATGGTATAGTTCTAGTCAGCCGTGATGCTATCTGTGCATCAATAAAGGTCCGTCCTAACCAAACAGTCCGCTTTTTATTTATTTTTTATTTTTTGGGAGGAAAGGAATACAAATTTTCGCAGTTGAGGGATCTAATAAATTAATCACTTGTATTTGATTCCCAAATACAGGACATGTTTGAAGAGAAGAGGAACATCTTGGAACCCGCAGGAGCACTTGCACTGGCAGGGGCAAAAGCATACTGCCAATATTATGGGTTGCAGGGCGAAAACGTCATCGCAATAACAAGCGGTGCTAACATGAATTTTGACAGACTGAGATTAGTTACAGAGCTGGCTAACGTCGGTAGACAGAAGGAAGTTGTGCTGGCAACATTCATGCCAGAGGAACCAGGCAGCTTCAAGAGATTTTGTCAACTGGTAAGCATAAGTATTCTCAATTAATCTAGCTACTTAACTATCTAATCATACTTCAGTTACAACTTTAAATTTCTGTTTCTGAGCTCAACTTGTTGAATTTTTGTAGGTGGGAGATATGAACATTACAGAATTCAAGTACAGATACAATATGTCAGATAAAGATAAAAAAGCTCAAGTTGTATACAGTATTGGGGTTCATACAAGATCAGACCTGGAAGAAATGATAAGCAGAATGCGGTCATCAAAATTTGGGACCTTGGATTTGACAGATAATGACTTAGTCAAAGATCATCTCCGATATTTGGTAAATATAAAATTGATTTGTTTGATATTTCTGTTCCTCTATTTTAGATTTCATTGGTTAATTAAGAGTATCAATCAAATTATTGCATAGTTGAAGTAATTTGGATCATCTTCTTCCAGTCAGGTCGTCTTTCACACATTCAGGATGAGGTTCTTTGTCGGTTTATTTTCCCAGAGAAACCCGGGAGTTTGATGAAGTTCTTGGATGTTTTCAGTCCACGCTGGAATATATCTCTGTTCCACTACAGAGCACAGGTTCTTAATTACTTCTTATCCCACAAAATTCTAATTACTATTTGTTTTCAACAACTAGGAATCCTGCTTTGGGACATTTTTCAAAAAAGAAAAATTCCAAATTAAACTTATAACAGACACTGAATGCCGATTTCTCTTACCGGTTTACTTGTTGTCTTGTAGGGCGAAACAGGTGCAAACGTGTTGGTCGGTATTCAAGTAACAAAAGATGAGATGGACGAGTTCAGGGATCTAGCCAACGCACTTGATTACGAGTATGCAGTGGAGGGCGACAACGAAGCTTTGAAGCTCTTAATCTATTGATACATACTTGATCGTGTCTACCTTGCATGCACCATTATTGTTCAGCGTATGGTGCCTTTAAAAAACTTTGTCGCAAGGCGAAGTGTGTTATTTATGCTTGGCCAAGTTGGCATTCCAAAGAGATTGGATTGCTCCCGGATATATGGAAACACAAACTAGACAAGCCTGAAATACTACCTTTATTTATGTATATATTCATTTTAAATTCCCACTTCACATCGGACGACTCCCACGATTTTCTCGAATCCATTACTCCCAAGAGTTCCTAGAATCACAGCTCCTAGAATATGATCACAAATGCATTATAAATCTTCTGATGAAACCTCCAACAATAGATATTGTAGTCACTAATACAACAAAACTGACTAAAAATTCTAATTATCTCGAAAATTTCTCTAGTGAAAATTCTATTAAAATCCATCAAATAGCACAGTTCAATTGATGAACATGTCACACACTAGAACAAAATATTATCTCGAATGTATCATAAATCCTCGAAATAGTATATATAACGAATGATTTACTGATGCTACAAATTATCGAGTAAAACACTCAACATTATTGTGATTAACTGTATCAATGAACAAACAATGAATGACACGTTCAAATATATTGAGGGACAAAAACATATTATATATCTACTAACAGACAAAATACGACTTAACCGATCAATCTATCATTGATAGGCTAAACTTTAAAAGAAAGTCGTGGATCATCACACGTATTTGATGAAAATAGTTCAAACGATTAAAAGAAGCTATTTTCCGATCCAATAGAGGAAAGATGGAGACAAAATCGGGGTTGTTTGGGTTTGAGGGAAGGGGTAGGCGGCTGGAGAAAGAAAAGGGAAAAAAAAAAGAATAAAGAAATACTTGTTATAAAACTAGGGTCTAAATATAATGATCCACGCAAATGTACTAATAATTTATTTAGAGATGATTTATTTATAACCTTTCTACTAGAGATTTTAATATAATAACTTTCTAATAGTCTAAATATTAAGAGATAAATTATTAGATTTATGAATGAAGGAAGAAATATATTTTGTGGACTTAAGAAACATGAACGAGTAGAAATTAAAGAGTAGAATGAAGATAGATTTTTTGGTGTACCATTTTCATTGCATGAGCACCATATTTATAGGAAAAAATTGATAGACAACATGCCTGAATTTTCCTGCTATCTATTATATAGGTTTTGACCTTTTTGTCATTCAATTATTTACAACACTCCCCCTTGAATGACAAAATAAATTACGCTAGTTATATATACCACCTCATTAAAAACCTTGCTAAAATAAAAACCCAGTGGGAAAAAAAAAATTTAGCGAAGGGAAAAAGAGTGCAGTGCATAATTGTCTCCCCCTGATGATAACATCGATAATTTTTCACGTGTTGTGTAAATGACGCATTCCGATGTTATGAATATGCTTTCTGAAAAGTGCTGTAGGAAGTGATTTTGTGAAAAGATCAGCTGAGTTTTCACTGGATACGACGTATTGAACATCAATGTTCATTATTTTTCGTGAGCTCTTTGGTATATGCGAAGAACTTCGAAGGGATATGTTTTGTCCGATCATTCTTGATATATCCTTCCTCCAATTAGTGAATACAAGCTGCGTTATTTTCATACAAAATAGCTGGAATTTTCTCAACTGGAAGACCACAAAAAGTCTTGATGTGTTGTGTCATTGACCTGAGCCATACAGATTCTCTACTCGCTTCGTGCAATGCAATAATCTCGGCATGATTTGAAGAAGTAGATACTATTTCTTGTTTCTGGGAACGCCAAGAAATTACAGTTCCTCCATATATAAACACATATCCAGTTTGAGATTTTTCATGATAAGGATCAGATAAATAACCTGCATCTGCATAACCAATTAACTCTTGTTTCGAGTCGTTAGAGTAAAATAAACCCAAATCAATACTTCCTCGAAGATAACGAAATATATGCTTGATTCCATTCCAGTGTCTTTTGGTAGGAGATGAGCTGTGTCTTGCTAACAAATTGACTGCAAAAGAAATATCAGGTCTAGTACAATTAGCAAGATACATAAGAGCTCCAATTGCACTCAGATATAGTACTTCAGGACCAAGAATCTCTTCATCATCTTTAACTGGTCGAAATGGATCCTTTTCGTCATTAAGTGTCCTGATAACCATTGAAGTACTTAAAGGATTTGTTTTATCCATGTTAAAGCGTTTTAAAATATTTTTTGTGTAATTTGATTGATGCACAAATGTTCCATTATGCATATGTTCAATTTGTAAACTAAGACAATACTTGGTTTTTCCAAGATCTTTCATTTCAAATTCTTCCTTTAAGTATGCAATCACATTATTAATTTCTTTATGTGTCCTAATGATGTTCAAGTCATCAACATAGGCAGCTATGATGATAAATCCAGATGTTGTTTTCTTAATAAAAATGCATGGACAAATAGCATTATTGGTATATCCCTTATTTGTCAAATAATCATTTAAACGATTATACCACATGCGTCCAGACAGCTTTAACCCATATAATGATCTTTGCTGTCTAATTGAATACATTTCTTTGGGTTTTAAACTTGATGCTTTAGGCATCTTAAATCTTTCAGGGGTTTTTATATAAATATCACTGTCAAGTGATCCATACAAATAAGCAATCACAACATCCATGAGATGCATTTCTAATTTTTCAGAAACTGCTAACCTGATTAAGGATCTAAATGTAATTGCATCTATAACTGGTGAATATGTTTCATCATAGTCAATTTCCGGTCTTTGTGAAAAACCTTGAGCTACGAGTCTAGCCTTGTATCTGGTGATTTCATTCTTCTCATTTCATTTTCGTACAAAAACCCATTTATATCCAACAGGCTTTGTATCTTTGCATGTGAGAATAATGGATCCAAAAACATTTCGCTTATTAAGCGAATGTAATTCAGCTTGCATAGCGTCTTTCCACTTTAGCCAATCATGTCTATTTTGACATTCTTGAACTGATTTTGGTTCAGGATCATCACTTTCGTTCATAATTTCACATGCAACAGTATAAGAGAAAATCTCATCTTTATATTCAATTTCATCTCTATTCCACAGCATTTTTCTACTGTTATAATTGATTGAGATTTCTTCATTCACCTTTTCATTGTTTTCATCAGGAGAATCTTCTTTGCCTTTTGGTTCTTCAGGAACATTTTCATTGACATTATTTTCTGATCTCTTTCTTATTCGGGGATTTTTATCCTTTGAACCAATCGGTCTCTCACGTTTTAAACGTGGTTTAGACTCTTGAGAGACTTTATCCTCAGATTTTATTTCTGGGATTTCAATACGAGCAGGAGCATTAACTGCTGGTATATGTGATTTAGTTACTCTTTTTGTATCAGTAAAAGCATCTGGCAATTGATTTGCAATTGCTTGTAAGTGCACAATCTTTTGCACTTCTGTTTCACATTGCTTTGTTCGAGGATCAAGATACAATAGTGATGGTTCATTCCATGCGATATCATTTACTACTTTTCTTTCTCTCCTTAATTTTGGAAAAATAACCTCATTAAATTGTCAATCAGCAAAACGTGCTGTGAAAACATCACCTGTCAAAGGTTCAACATATTTAATTTGCTGGGTGATTCGAATCCAACGTATATTCCCAATCTTCTTTGGGGACCCATTTTTGTGCGTTGCGGTGGCGCAATGGGTACATATACTGCACAACCAAAAACTCTAATATGTGAAATATTTGGTTCAAATCCAAGTGTCAATTGCAGTGGGGAGTATTTATGATCAGCACTAGGCCGTATTCTTATTAGTGAAGCAGGATGTAATATTGCATGGCCCTAAATAGAAACAGGTAACTTTGTACTCATAATTAATGGTCTAGCAATAAGTTGCAGTCTTTTAATCAATGATTCTGCTAAACCATTTTGTGTATATACATGAGCAACGGGATGCTCAACAATGATTCCAGTAGACATACAATAATCATTAAATGATTGAGACGTAAATTCACCAGCATTATCAAGTCTTAACCCTTTTTATTGTATAGTCAGGAAATTGAGCTCGTAGTTTTATGATTTGAGCTAAAAATCTTGCAAATGCAACATTCCGGGTTGACAACAAACATACATGAGACCATCTGCTGGATGCGTCTATTAGAACCATAAAATATCTGAATGGTCCACTTGGTGGATGTATTGGTCCACATATATCACCTTGAATTCTCTCAAGAAACATATGTGATTTATTTTGGATTTTTAGCGGTGAAAGCCTCAATATCAATTTTCCAAGAAAAACAAGCTGTACATGACAATTCATTACTTTGAGGTATCCTTTGTTCTTTTAATGGATGTCCAGGTGTATTTTCAACCATCCTTCACATCATTATTGAACCTGGATGGCCTAGCCTTTCATGCCATAAATTTATCACCGAATGATCGAAGGATTTTGATTTCATTGTCATGTTTGATTCAATGTATATATAATACAAACCATTTGAAAGCGGTAACCTTTCAAGTGTTTGAATCTTTTCAGACTCATATCTAATGATTTTTAAATATTTTACACCATCTATTATCGTAGATTGTGTATCATACCCATTTCGGTATATATCATCAAAACTCAACAAATTTCTTCTAGAATTTGGTGAGAACAAAGCTTCATCAATCACAAATTTTGTTCCTTGAGGCAATGTAATTTTGGCTTTGCCAATTCCTTCAATCAAGTCTGCAGGACCTGATATTGTATACACAATTGCCTTTGTTGGTTTAAATTCAATGAAAAAGTTTCTATTTTTCAAGATACTATATGTAGTGCCACTGTTAGGTATACAAAAATCACCAAAGCCACTTTTAAGTTGAGTTCCACTATGATCACTTTCAAGACTTCAAAAACAGAAAAATAAATAATCAACACGTATCGTAAGGAAAAACATCAAACATGAATATTTTACATAAATTCATTACAATCCAATACGATAATAAAACTTCAAATATATATTACAAATACATTTATTTTCATCAACAAAAATACAACAACTCAATAACATATATCCACTTATGTCTCAATTATCAGCATAATCATCAGTGAAATCAGAAGCATTCATATGTGTTTCCCCATTCTCATTATCACAAAGCTCGTTGAGATTGACTTCCTTTCCTTTACCCTTTGATGCGGCATAAAGATCACAAAGGTGTTTTGGAGTTCTACAGACCTGTGCATAATGACCTTCAGTACCACACCTGTAACATGCATATTCAACATTCTTTTGAGATTTTTTTGGAGCATCATTCTTGGTCATTTTATTTTTCTTTTGAGGGTGAGCTATTTGTTCATATGGTGTATTACCATGATTATGGCCAGAAAATTGTTTCCCTCCATGGCCATTATAGCCACCACGACCGCCATAGCCTCCACGACCGCCACGGCCGCCACGGTTGTGATCACCACGACCCCGACCCCGACCACGACCTCGGACTCGGCCACGTCCACGACTATTAAAATTTTCAGAGTATCCTGGAATTATGGCATTTGCTTCAGAATATGCCATAGAGCTAGTAGGTCGTGATTGATGATTCTTTATCAAAAGTCTGTTGGCATTTTCTTCTTGCAAAAGTGCTGTTGATAAATCGGAATAATACTCATACTTCATCAATCCATGAGCATTTGAAAGAATAATACCATATGGATGAAATATTGATAGAGTTTTATCTATCATTTCCTTTTTAGTCATAGGATATTCACAAAATTTTAATCGTGAAACAATCCTGAACAATGCTGAATTATATTCATCCACACTTTTAAAATCTTGAAATCGTAATGATTTCCATTCATCAATGGCATTTGGAAATATAACAGATCTTTTATTATCAAATCTGGAAGTAATACTTTTCCACACAACACTTGGATATTCTTGATCAATGTATTCATTTTGTAAACAATTATGAAAATATTTGCAAAGTAATATCAACACAGTTGCCTTATCCTTTTCAGTGGTAGTATTTTATGGTTTTATAGTATCAGTGAAACCCATTGATCGTAGATGTGTGATAACATTTGTTTTCCAACATATATAATTTTGTCCAGTGTGTTTGAGAGCTTCAAACTCAAGCTTTGATAAATTTGACATCTTTGATAACTAGGATAAAGAAAAAAAATCGCAGTTACATTTAATAATGAATAAATCTTACAATAAATAATGCTAACAATTTATTCATTAAATATAGCAATGAAGTACAATGGTAAAATACACATTATAAGAACTCCTAAATGAAAAATAAAATCATCGAATTCTTCTAGAAAAACTATCATAACAATATATATATATATATATATATATATATATATATACTAACTATTGTCATGCTAAAGAGAGAAAGGAAAGACATTTTTTCTTAGAAAATAAGACGAGAAAGAAGGAGAATATTGTGAAGGTGTGTAAATGAGGTTTATAAATGATGTATTTATAGAAAAAAAAAATTAAGATTTCAGCCGTTATATAGCCGTTAATATATCCGTTAAAAAAATTATTATATACATATTTTTATATGTAAAGTATATTATATTTATACATATATAATTATGAAAATTAAATCAATCAAGATAAAACAACTAAGTAATAATTGAATGAGGATATATATTTTTATCGTATACTCAATTAAATTGAAAATAAACAATTTGTTAGAGACAAATAATTGTAGTAGGGATTTATCAATCATCCCATCATAGATTAGATATAGTATATAGGGACATAGAAAAACATCCCACCGTGAAAATCTAAATAAAGATATGAAAATAAATGCATTAGGGATATATGAAGTCATCGCACAAGAATGTAAATTATATAAATATTTACGTAGGAATATATTAAAGCATCCCACTACAAAAATAAAATTCAAGACTTGAGCAATGACAAGTCTTTAAATAAATTGCAAGAAATTAAATGACTTGAATATAAATTAGGAGGTGTTATAGAACCAGCCATATGAAATGTAAATACTGGGTAAGAATGACACGTTCAAATATATTGAGGGACAAAAACATATTATAGATCTACTAACAGACAACATACGACTTAACCGATCAATCTATCATTGACGGGCTAAACTTTAAAAGAAAGTCGTGGATCATCACACGTATTTGATGAAAATAGTTCAAACGATTAAAAAAAGCTATTTCCCGATCCAATAGAGGAAAGATGGAGACAAAATCGGGGTTGTTTGGGTTTGAGGGAAGGGGTAGGCGGCTGGAGAAAGAAAAAGGAAAAAAAAAAGAATAAAGAAATACTTGTTATAAAATTAGGGTCTAAATATAATGATCCACGCAAAGGTACTAATAATTTATTTAGGGATGATTTATTTATAACTTCTCTACTAGAGATTTTAATATAATAACTTTCTAATAGTCTAAATATTAAGAGATAACTTATAAGATTTATGAATGAAAGAAGAAATATATTTTGTGGACTTAAGAAACATGAAGAAGTAGAAATTAGAGAGTAGAATGAAGATAGATTTTTTGGTGTACCATTTTCATTGCATGAACACCCATATTTATAGGAAAAAATTGATAGACAACATGCCTGAATTTTTCTACCATCTATTATATAGGTTTTGACCTTTTTGTCATTCACTTATTTACAACAATACTCTTAAAACTCTTCTTTGTTTGACAAGTTCTTTTTTTTTTTCCCAGAAACTTTTGATATTTTTCACATTTTCAATACAGTTCTTAACATCTAAACAAAATAACAAAACTTCAATTGGTTCGTTATGTAACCTTCTACTCTGTAATCTCTAATGCGCGTAGTAGTTAAGTGTAAGTGTCCACAATCTTTGATTAATCAATAACTCTTTGCAACTTGAACAAATTAATGGATAAATATGTGATTATTCAGCGAAGGCAAGCTTCGGTAATACTACGTCAACATGCGCATGGGAAACCTTTTAACCAGATTCATTTAACCCAATATTCAAAATGTTTATTTGGAAAAAAAAAAGGCCGCTAATTAATTTCAAAGTATAACGCGACACGAATATTTCAATTGGAGAGTCCTATTTGTTGACAATATAATAAACATAAACATCATTTTGGGACGTCACGAGAAGAACATAAATAAGTGTCTCTATATATGCACATCCTAAAAGCTAAAAGAATTGTTCCTTGATTAATCAGCATTTTGTTAGCTTTGGTTTGGGAGTGGTTTTCTCAACTTGGAATGACATGATGAAGTTCTCAGCACTACTTAACATTCTAGCTCTGATTATCATCACTATGATAGTCTTCAACCCAGGTACTCATGATTCCTTCCTTCAAGCTAATTAACACTACGTTTTTGCATTAAAGATTTTGGTCTTCATACTCTTTTCATAAATTAGTGAAAATTCGGTTTGTAGATAAATTTCTTCCAGTGTGATCAATTGAGAGTCCCTATAAAATCTGTGAAGTGGATGGACGAATTCAACCTGCACTCTAATTAAGTTTTCATAATAAACTAATCAAGTCCCGATTCATGTTTTGTGGAACTCTTTTTCAATTTTTTTTTAATTTTAATTAATTTTGATGTTAATTTGAATGTGAATAAACAGGCACAGCCGTGAAGATGGCCGAGGGATCATGTACAGTTATTACATGTAACAATGCATGCATTCTGGAGGGCTATGCCACAGGCACCTGTGTGGGAACTTCGTGCGTTTGTTCGTAATAAAAATTGGCTAAGTGGGAAAAATAAAAAAGACTGTTTTTGCTTCTTCCTTTCTGGGATGTCAAGTAGAGTACTTGCATTATCTTCATTTTGTGTAAAACTAAATAAGTTAAGAGGGCAAAGATCTAAGGATGTTGCCCCTCTTAATCTGGTTTTCCCCAGTTGTATTTGACTTTAAAAAGAAAAAATACACCTTCTGTCGCCAAAAAAAAAAAAAAAACCACATTGAGTTTTGAGTTTTGTATAAAATTTTAAGGCAACGTCTTGATTGTCGCTTACATGATGACTTAATTTAGCTCCGTCAAAGCGAAAACGCTGACTACTGGGTTCAGAAATTATATCAGTTCTGATGAAATGAGAATCAACGTCTTGATGGTCAATCTCTGCATTCATTAGGTCTGCGGAAAGAAGATTTTTACAACAGATCCCTTCTATACATGTACAGCTTTTTATTAACGCATCTGAATTGATGCTATCTACACATAGTACACATTATTTTTATTTTTTTTTGGTAACACATAGTACACATTAACTATACACAGTTGCATATTATGTTACAAATTTACATGGAAATGGTAATTTACAGGACACAGTTCCAAAGATCTTTTGGGATTTCAGTACATGACCAGGCACTAGTAGTACCAGGAAGCTGGAAAGGTTGTAGTGGAAGTTCCAGAGTTGCTAAATTTTCTAGAGAACCTGACCTTCAGTTTCCTTGAATGTTTTAGCACCAGCAAGATGAGTGTCCAGTTCCTTTCGTGTTCGGACATGGAGTTATCCTCTTTACATTTGGAATGGAATGCATAAATTGCCAGTGCTGATGTTGATGTGACCCCTGTGAATAAGAACAACACAAGAAAGCTGCTAGGACTTAGACTGTGAGTTTCATGTTCCAAGTCACTCTCCACACAGTTATCAGAAGCTGTTAGTTTGTCTTCTAATTCCTTTAGTGTGCCCTTTTCAAACACTTTGAGTAGAGCTTCATCGATGTCTGCTATCAACGGAGATCCTTTAGGAAAAGCCTGGCACAAAAAATTGCACAATTCATTGCTTTTTCTTGCATAATGGACGGTGTAAAATGCAATGGAAGTAAGCGATGAAAATAGTTTATGGAAGCTGAAAAGGGTATAGACTTACATATCCATAACCTCCATACTTGTAGGTTGGACCTGTTGTGGTAAAGCTCTTGCAGTATTTGGCTAGGAACAGCTTTGCTGTAGGAACTTCAAGCAAAGCTCCAGCAGTTTTGCCTGTCTTAAGACTTTCTGCACATTCTTCCAACGTCGAGAATTTCTTAATGTAGTTTTCTTTGAAGTGTAAGACATCCAATAAGTAACCCTTAACAGAACCTTTCCTGGAGTAGCCAACCATTTGTTTGTTATTTCTGAGTGTCTCAATATTGGCTACTTTTGGCTCAAGCCTTGGAACAGTGAGCAAGCTAGTAAGATTGGCAGTGTAAGTCTGCGATATGATGAGCGCGACGAATAGCCACACCACTGTCGCCATCTTTGACAAGTTGCTGTGCAACTTATCACCTGTTTTAATGGCATCAAAATCAGCAAAATCACCATAAAGAAAGTACTTTGTTTCAGCTCTATTAGTAATGATGATAGCTTAATTCAATAAATTACCTTGAATTGAGAACAATGTTGCAAAAGCCAACCATAGCAGTTTGCCTATTTGATGCAGAACTGATCCCTTGAGTTCAGCGCAATAGTTTCGCTCGATCATCCATATCACGAAGCCATTGTAGACAGTTACAGCTACTGTAACCAGCCACATTGGTTTGGTGAATGGCTTCAGAAACAGCCAGCCTTTGTTCGATTTTGATTGAACTGGAACTACTAATACCAGTCCTGATTCAGTGTGAGGGTGAGTGAAGTCTGCAAAAGCATATCGTTTGGAGATTATAGCAATGTCACCAACTGCTGCATCAAAGTTCTGCGTAAACAGGCAAGTTCTGTTAGATTCAATCATAACATTAAAATGATACTATATGTACGTGCAGATTGCAAACAGTTCCAAATTTAAACAGCCAACAAAGGCTGAATTCGTATTGGATATCCACTAGTTGATGTCCATCCAGGTCCTTTTAGCCCTGCAGTTATCTCAAGAGTCCTTGAAATTCACGAGTAGGCTAGGTAGCCCTGCAGTTATTCCAATAGATTTACTACTCACCTTTAACCAGACTTGCTCAACCAAAGAATCATAGGTATCATCAAAAGGGATGAATTCGTACGGTAAATAATATGGTAAGAGCGCAACAGCTTCTGTGAAGACATCAATTGAAAATCCTGAGATAGTGTAATTTCCTGTTGAATTATCATACTCCACATCCACAAAGCTGTTGATCAAGGTGCCACTAGGTACGCCGATTCTCAAGGGATTACTAACATTTGGGACTTCCCATCCTCTTGGAGTAGCCAAAGATCCTCCAGGCCAGAAAACCTGTCCCAAACTCTCCATAGTGTTGCGGTTTTGCATCTTTCCATCCAAATTCGCAGAGAAACCTAGACCATGTGTCCAGAATCCAAGTTCTTCATAACTCCTTCCAATGACATTAATAATTTGAAACACAGTTAGTGGGGCTAACGTACGATCAACAAACTGGATTTCGCCACTTAAACCAGTGATACTCGAATCGGAAAGTTTGTCAACAAGATTGCCCCCTTGCTTCATTGCTTGCGCCAGTGTCCAGATGGCGTCGTATGCTTCCAGTGCAGAATCTCCTGGTTCATTATTCTTTTCTCTAGGGTACTTAGCACCAAAATTTTCATCAAATTTCCTATAAAAATCCTGATACTTCACCCCTTTATCTTTGTAATAGCTCTTTACTCCAAGCACCCCTTTCATTGAAGAAATCGCCGAGATATCCAAAGAATCAACAAGGCTAGTTGTGCTATCAGTAGTGATCCAGACATAGCCTTTTTCCATCATCTTCAACTCTTTAGCCTTGTTAAACAACTGTACAGCCAAGGCCAATGAAACATGTACAATGAAAACTCTGCATTGATCTGCTTTAAGCTTCTCCAGTTCTTCAGACAAGAAGGAAACATTATTAGTCAAAGGTGGAAATGTAGTAAGATGGCTAATTTGAACTCCAACTTCTTGCAGAGCATCATAAAGATGTGGTGATATTCCATTTGCAGCGGAATCTATGTCCTCATAGATCACGTTAACCCGGCGCCATCTCCAGGATTGTACAACAGCAGCAACAGCTTTCATCTGTAAAATTCTGCTCGGAGAGGCCTGAGTAAGAAACGGCCAATGCCTGGTTGACCATGGAGGGAAATAATCAGCTAAAGAGAGAATTGGGACGCCATATTGGTTTCCAACTTCAGCAATTACGGATGTTTCTTCCCATGATCGCGGCCCCAAAATCGCTTTAACTTTCTCTTCATTGATCAGACTTGTAGCTGCAGAATTTGAAAACATGATGATCAAGTAAAGGTAAAATACTGCATATGTACAAAAACACAGTTCTCTACCAATTGTCAAAGGGTCGAAAACAAAAAATCAATTCCATCTATATATAGATATATATATATATATACCAGAAAGAGTTGCTTGGACAGCATCTCCTTGAGAATCTTTCAGAAGCAGATTAAGTTTCATATTTGTTTTAATATAGTAATCCTCCACAGCCATTTCCATAGCAACCAGATCTTCTTGGCCTTTTCGACTACTGAAATCAACAATGGCACCAATGGTGAAGTTGACAGCTCCATCATTTTGTGCATTTGCAGTTCCGCCGACAAATGTAGCATGTTCTAAATTAACCAGTAACAATAAGAATGAGGAGGACAAGAGGAACAGCCAGATGAATGACAAATGATGTTGATGATGATAAGTTACCATTTTTGATCATTTGTTAGCTGTTTTACTTGGTCCATTCATATAATGCCTATGGAAATAGTGAGAGATTGATTGGCTCTATTTATGGCCGAATGATGGAGTGAATATTGCATGAGAGAAGGAGGATATTCTCTGGAAAACTTCCGTTCAATTTCAAATTCCCAGCGTCATTTTCAGGCCTTACTTTCTTCATATTCTATTAGAGCATGAATTTGTGGTTATACTCTCTTACTTATTACACGATCAAAGTCTCCCCTGACTTTCTAACTTACAGTATATTAGGATACGTTTGTTTCTTTTTTTTAATGTGTATTTTTAGGTGTTTTTTCTAATGAGAATATAAAAAAGTGCATTGAAAATGTAAAATAGTATGTTAGAAATGGGAAAATTAATATTTTATTATTATGAAAAAAATCATTCAAAAAACAAAACAAACAAATAACTGGAATATTTTTGGGTACGAAGGAGACCAAAACCTAACACGTACAAACGCATCATAATAGCCCTGGATATCCAAGTCGCTGAAGCGTTGGATGGCACAACCAAGGAGATTTGCTGAGATTCATGATAAATAACGAGTTTCTTGTAGGTTACTAATTAAGCGTAACACAAAAGAGTTAATAAGTAAATTCTATTTAAATTGATCTTATTAATTGAATAATTGTGGATTGTCGTTCGTGATTTGACAAGCGCACACATTTAACTTACAAATGAAAAAGATGGTCGGTCGTTGGAAGAAAGACCAAATGTGAATGGTTCACCTTTGTGAATTGAAAGCTCCAAAATTGGATGTTCCTGTGGAAAATTTGTACACTGCTGATTCAGAAACGACGTGTGTTAAAAGTATTTTACATCACAAGCTTTACTTAATTATTAGGCAAGAGATTCTCCCCCAAAAACGCGTAGATACTTGCTCCTTCCTCCCATCTGGACGAAACACCCATAACCTCAAAGTCAGTCCAAATGGAGCTATTCCAAAGATTCTTCCATTAAAAATTCAGGTCCAAGTATTTGGACACTTTGACGATCTACTGGATTTGTTTCATTTCCCATTAGGCGAGTAATTCTTGTGCTCTTTGTCCCGTTATTATTGTTCAATTTACATTTTCAGTTTAATATGTTATGTAATTTTGAGATAGAAAAAAATGTATACGTAGTTGCAATCATGTAACAACGTAGCAGTGTGCAAATTTTTTTTTCTTATAACAATAGATTGTGCAATTTAATACAATTACGAAAAAATATTACACTTCCAGAGAGATATTTATTACATACATATACTGATATAAGGTGCTTTTTTGTAAGTTATCTAATTATCATTTATGTGTTTCTTCCTCCGTCTTAAGATAATGGTTCACATGTTAATACAAATTTCAAACTCAATGTAAATTATTTTTTTGGAACATGTGTAATATTATTTTCATTTTTAAGGACACAACAACTGTATATACTGATTTCTCTTCTTACAAACAACGTATATAAGAATATTTTATTCAAAAAGTACATCTTGTCTTTTTCGTTTTTTTTTTATATAAAAAAACAATAACCAAATATCTAGAGATAAGGTGATACCTATCAAACTTACCTTTCAAACTTACCTGGCTTGCTTGTTCGCATTAAGCTCTTTAACTTTATTTAACCTTTTTTTTCTCGTGAAATCTAGTAGGTGCCTGATAGTTCTTATGCTGAAAATATCATTGAATACAAAGCATCTGTTGATTACATTCTACTTTAAGAACACTTCAACAAAGAACTGTCCAAGTTCATTTCCATGTCTTCATCTGTTCCATTTTACGCTTAGAAAGTTACTCACCCATGACGCCATACGTGATGATGATACGATACATTTCTTACTCCTTATCCAAAGGATATCCATTAGATTTACTGCAGCCAAAAAGGACAATATAGCTTAAACTTAGAGCAAGTGGAAGTAAGTGGCCTAAAAACACGTGTCACTTACTTCTACATTTAACTCCTTCCCATTAGATAGAGTTGATTTATTGCTCTCTGTTTCATTTATATTTACCTCAACAACTCCTGCATAAATGGTGTGGGTGTAGCCTATTTATCAAAATGTTCTGATAAAATTGAAGTATGGACAAATGTGGGAGGATAAGGTGCTGAGAAACTGGCCCATATTTTTTTTATTTTTTTAGGTAAAATTATTAAAGGAGATATCAATTAAATAGATGTATGATTACTTATGCTGAATTAGAAAAGAGAACTCCACTCTTTACCCTCTCCCACTATACTTTGTATTATTCTAAGTTTATCAGATATCCCGAAGGGACCTTCCACTATACTTGTTCTTAAAACACAAAGTTGATGTACATGTAAAATGCGCAAGTACTCTAAGCTAAAATGAGCAACACGAGGGGGATTTTATTTGTCTTTTTGATACATTTTTTTTTTTTGTTTTTTTTGAAAACAAATTTCAATGAATGTCATAGACCCTTTTCACATTTTTTTTTAATTTTTTATTTAATTTCTTTGTATTTTCTAGCTTCGTCACTGATCGCAACGCATCTCTCGGCATTGACTTGAAGAGAAAGTGAGCTCAATGAATGAATTATGAGAAACGTTTTGCTGCGTCAGGCCCAATTGTAATAATAATAATAAGCAGTGTCAATAATCCTATCTGTAAGAAGGCCTATCGTGAGGCTAAACTATTGTATCATCTTGGGCTTTGTTTTTAATATCGGGGCCGAAACCGAAACTGTTCTGTTCCTATCTTTTTCTATTCTCGGGTTTGTTCGACCATTTTTTCATGCGTACTTATCAAAAAACACCCATTTATTTCCTTGTGTTTTAACATGGTAGTCCAATAATTTTTTTTTTTGAAAAATTTGAATTAAAAATAAAAATTTAATACTCCCTCCGTCCCATAATTATTGTCTACTTTGCCCAAAAAATTTTGTGCCAAAATTATTGTCCAATTTGACTTTTTATGGACCAAATTACACATTTATCCTTAGTAAAAAATATTATCCATAAAATCTTAGTGGTTAAACAATTACTTATGTAGAGGTATATCCGGTTGTTTAAGGTAAAATATAGTTAAGTTTGACCAAAAATAAAATCTTTCATTTTAGTAAAATTGGACAATAATTATAGGACGGAGGGAGTATAAAAAATCATTTTGGAATATAAGAAATACTTTTGGTTCAAAATGGCATCTAATGGAGAAGAAGCAAAAACTTCTCTCCAGTTGCCAATCTCTAGATGTGGAAGCTCAAAAAAGGGACAGGAAAAGAAAACAGACAGCTTAAGACCCACAGAATCGAGCTTTCATAAGTTGTCTAATTTATTTTAAAAGATAATACTGCTTTGTTTTCAAATCTAGATCCATCAATTCAAATTGATGAAAAAGAGATTGAAGAAACTGATTGGAATGGAATGGTAAGCAAGTATTACTATGGGGGGAGTGGGGTTAGTGAATAATGTGATGTTAATTTTATGGCAGTATTATAACTTTGGCTCTTGAGCTTTTTGAGATTCTTTCTTTTGAATTGTACTTCTTGGCTGCTTTGGCATTAACTCCCTTTTCTTTACGTCTTAATCACTAGATAATTACCTACTTGTTTTCAGTTTCCACCAAACCATTAAAAAAGAAATTGCGCAAATTAAGGTACAAAATTGAAAAACATGAATTTTTACTAGGTACAGTTAAATTGAAGTAGCAATATTGGATGAACACTATATCGGTGAACATTGTTTGCATCAGTACTCCCTCCGTCCCATAATTATTATCCAGTTTGAGTTTTCATTTCTAATTCAAATTGTACTAAAAGTGAAATTTCAAATTGGACAATAATTTTGGGACGGAGGGAGTACATTATATTGACCAAAGCCTGTCGTTACCTAGGGATTTCACGCACTACTTTACATACCTATGCTATGTACTTTGCAGTTAATCATGAGAGTTTTGGAGTTATTCTTTTATTTTATTTTTGAAAAGCAACAGTTATTACATTATAAAAACATAAAAAACAGAGGTGTAAATAAATCACAAAAAGTTCAATTCTAATTATCTACAATTGAACTACCCCATCTTTTTCTTATTATAAGGTATTTCAATTTCTCTTAAATTTCATTTATTGTATTTTTTTAATTGAAAATAAAATTTAAAAAATATATTTTCACACATTTATTTTGTTCCCCTATTTATATCAAAGCATTTTTAAAATATTATTTTCAACTGGAAAAATAAGAAACTATAAATGACACTTTAAAGAAATCAAAATATCATAAGGACGAGAGGGAATATTACAAATTTGTATTTCACAAGTTGCAACGCCAGTCCGGGGCAATTGTTTAATGGAAAAATTCATGTTGAGGGTATTGTAGAGTTCATAATTCTTTATTAGGTATCTATTTATGAAATTTCTTTAAAGGCGTTCTATGACATGGATGATATTTCATGACCATATTAACGTTCCTTTAATCCCTTTTTTGATATCATGCCAAGAGATAATGAATGGCAGCAATATGAAAATTCTATTGGAGGGGTATGCAAAAGAAGGATCATGATATTAATAATTAACTAAAAGTGAGTATAAATTTTAAAATACGTAAAGAGAGAAGTTGGTTCATAATAAGTGGAGGATATATAGCTATATTGTCACATCTTTGATAATTTAATTAATTATGAAAGGCGCTGATTTCTGTGTCTTTACTATTTATCTAAGAATTGTTGATAAAATCTGTTCATTTATCTGCATTACATCTTTCCTCTAAGAATTTTTGATAAAATCTGTTCATTTATGTACATTATGGCTTGGAAATATATATTAGTACTTCTGTTTCAAAATAAATAATAATTCATATTAAATTACATTTTTATATACTATTATTATACTGGTCTAGAAAAATAGTCCACAAAAAATTCATCAATGCGATGGAGTACAAATATACACAAGGGTTGCCGAAGATATTATTTCCAAGATGAATCTGTTCATACGAATCACAGGATACACGCCGTTTGCCGACAGTAGAAATGTCGTTGTAGTACTTGTGTTCGGTTTGGGCCACCTTAACGCAAACCGACCCCAAAACTGGGCATCATCACACATGGACTCCTTCTTCTGGGCCCCACCTAATCTAAAACTATCTAACCATCTACCGTTCGACGCTTTCTCATTGCTAATCTGCAGGACCAGGGTGCTCAAAACTCCGAATTGCAACAATTTTTATCTTCTTCTTCTTAATAAAAAATTCGAGACAGAAAAACGGTCCATCTTGTTAAAATTGTTTTAATTTAACATAATTTTATGAAATAATAAAACAAGTAATGTTACTGTTCGGCAAGACACAAATCTCTCCGTTCCAAAATTACTATCAATTTGAATTTTCAATTTTTGTACAAATTGAACTAAAAATGAAAATTTAAACAGAACAATAATTTTAACACACGATCGTCGTGAAACTGGATACTTGTTAGATTTCTATCAGCAGGTCACACCAGGTCTCTCCCTCATCCATTCCCTCGAGAATGTACAGTGATGGCATAAAAATAATCAGTATCATCATCTTCTCCATGTCTCCTTCATTCCGGTACCTCTTTTTTTGGTTCATGTCAACGGAAACGCTTGATGTACCGGATGATGACTAAAAGATAATCATCTGCCCTCATTAAGCCACCCTACGTATGCACTTGAATTCAGATCATTCCACATGCAAAGAAAAAATATAAACAGTCAGCAACTTCATGGACAGATCTGGATAAAAAGTCTTACCAATAAATAGTGAATAATCCTAATCAGAACAGCCCCCCACTAGTGAATACAAAATTATTAATATTTGCAAATACCCATCCCACTACTTTCCGTAATTATCAAATCATTATAAGAACAAATATAAAAATGGTCAAAATCACGTTAATTACCGAATTGTCACCTCCTGATCAGTTGAAAAAAACCCACCAAATCCAAGAGGCCACCACGTACCCACTCTGATCTTCTTCTTCTTCTTGTTCTTCCCATACATCTCTGTCCATACGCGGATCTCACGTCTCCATTTTACACGCACTCACACAGTCAATCATGTTTACTCCCTCCACAACCCATCGTATATAAGTTGCGAAACAAATCATCATACACCTTAACTGCACAATTCAGCTCCTGCTCCGACGACCCCGGGAAATTCCAAACTAACCACCATGGCGAGGAAGCGCAGCAGGCCTTCGTTGTCTTTCACGGTTTTCTTTCTCGTGTTCCTCTTTTGCGGCGTATCCTATGCTCGGCTTATCAGCGACGGTTCAGATCCCGTCGCCGCCGATGGGGTTTACGGTCAGTCTCAGTTCATCCGGCTGTTTAATTCCGCGGCGGAGGAGAAGTGTGAGCAGACGTATGGGTTCCTGCCTTGCACCACCACTGCGCTTGGGAATTGCTTCCTGATTGTGGTCTATGGCTATCTTATGTTCCTTGCCGCCACGTATCTCTCCAACGGGAGTGAGCTTCTGCTTGAAATTCTGGGCCCTGGCCTCATTGGTGGCCTCTTTCTTCCCATACTTGGTGCTCTTCCTGATGCCATGCTTATTCTCGGTAATTCCTTCTCAATTTTATGCTCCTTGTCTTTTTTCGGTCTCGCTCTCTCTTTATTTTTTGTGTGTGTGTTTTATTCCTTTGCAAAAAGTTATTCTTGGACATTTAGTGGGGAATAAGTTGAGTTGGAAGGATTTATGGTGTCTGGTGATTGAGAAATCAAAGAAGGCACCAGTACGATTGGAGGCAGAGGTGGTCTGTGGTGAATTGGGATTACTGGGATAACGGCCCAATTGTGCCATTTTGACAGAAAGATGGATACTTCGGCATTCTACTTTCGCCTTCGTTTATTTGTTTGGTGATTTATCCAATAATTGTGGTAATGCGCGTTGTAAGACTAATCAAATCAAATCAAACTTGGTCCGGAACAACCTACTTAACAGTTTCTGCCATTTTGACATAAAGATTTCGAACATTTCAGTCCCTCCTCCCTCCCCCAAAAGAAGAATCAATCTTGGCCACTGTCAATTTGGGATCGGGATGGACAGGATGCCTAACAATGACTGATTCCAAAATTGTGATGGGTGTTCTGTTGAGAACAATCAATGAATATAACTTCATGTTGGTAATTTTCTGTATCACCCAATGTGATTTGTTCTGATTATGAACCCTTTAACTAAAATGATTTTATGTGATGGAATATACATGAGCGGCTATATGCTGCTTTTGTTCCTTCATGGCTTGAATCTTGTTATACTTACGTGGAACTTTTATGGCCAGCGTCTTTTCCTGAGGTTTTATCTGTAATATTTATCTGTTCGGTTCGGAAAACTGTTTTATTCTTGTAAATGATTTTTGGGACCATACTTTTAATACAAAAAGTTGATCGCATTTCTTGTTTTCCAATACTGATGCACACCTTTTCTGCCCTCCCGAATTTTTTGCTTTAGTATCTGGGCTATCTGGAAGTAAAGAAACTGCACAAAGCCAGGTTTCAGTAGGAATTGGTTTGCTAGCTGGCTCTACAGTCATGCTTCTCACCACTATATGGGGCACATGTATGGTTGTGGGCAAGTGTGACTTGAACAACAATGTGGCCGTAGATTCAAAGGATACCAAAGGATTTAGCTTGACAGGTATTCCTCCCTGCTTTTCTTTTAGTTATAATTACAGATAAAAGTTAGTTTCAGATAGCTTTTTACATTCCTGGATTTCTTTGGGTGTTCTGCAAAACAGGTTCTGGTGTTAGTACTGATATCTGGACATGCTACGCGGCTATAATCATGGCTGTTTCTGTTGTCCCGTATATTATTGTCCAATTTCCTATAATCTTACACTCCACATCGGGAAGACACTTGGCTGTCCTGATTGGCCTTATAGTCTCTGTTTTGCTTTTGATTGCCTATTGTGGATATCAGGTATATATCTTTGTTTTTCCTTCTCTCTCTCTCTCTCTCTCTCTCTCCCCACAAGTTGGGAAGGTTGTTGTGGTGTGTGGCATGGTTATGAGTGTTCAAGTACTGCCAAATCTCAAATCATCTTTTCGGTAATACTGCTGCTGTGATTCATGGGTAGTTATGGTAATGCTATGTCCCCATCATGTTGACATAAGCTTCAATCCTTTTGTCGAACTTAGCTCACCTAAACTTTTTTTTCTGTGTTTCCTTAAAGTTTAAATTGAACTTTGCAGGTATTTCAACCTTGGATACAAAGGAGAAGGATTGCTTTTGCGAAGCATAAACATGTAATTTCTGGTATTCTCAAGCATCTGAGAATGCGTGCTCTGGGAAAGCTTTGCTCGGATGACGGGACAATTAATAAAGAAGTGCTGGAAAAGTATGTGATGATTTTGTGATGTGATTGATGTTGTTTATCATTTGGTACCTTACTAAAACTATACCTTCTTTTGGGTAACACAATCTGTATTCTGTCATTTTGTGTTTTGTGACAGGCTATTCCTGACAATAGATGAGAATGGTGATGGACATCTCTCACATTCTGAATTAAGAGCGTTGGTCATAGGAATTCGCTTTGATGAGATAAACTTGGATCAGGATGATGCTCTTGAAAAAGTGATGAAGGATTTCGATACTTCTGAAGATGCTCAGATCAGTTTTGATGAATTCTGCTCTGGTGTTGAGAGATGGCTGCAGGAAGCTAGGGGATTGAAACCTTCTTCGCAGGCTGGTGCGAGTACAATGAAGTACTTGGATGACTTTCATGAGGTATGTACTGTTTGTTTCGCATTGAGCTTGGATGCTTATTTTAAGAAGACATCACACTACTGAGATATGTTTGCAGCAAACAAGGCGAGATCATTACTTTTTGGGGGAGCAGGAGCAGGATCAGAGCGACGAGATTGTTGAGGGTGTTGAAAATCCTCAAAGGACCTCTTTGAAGGCTGTATTGCTGTTATTGCTGGGTACTGCTATAGCTGCTGCATTTGCGGATCCCTTGGTCGATGCAGTTGATAATTTCTCAAGTGCCACTAGTATTCCTTCCTTTTTCATCTCATTCATAGCGTTGCCACTAGCAACTAACTCAAGTGAGGCAGTATCAGCAATTATCTTTGCCAGCAGGAAGAAGCTTAGATCTGCCTCTCTAACATTTTCGGAGGTATATAACTTTTTTTAACACCTAATGCATTTCTTGGAGTAATGGGTTACTTACCCTTTTTGCTTTAAGTTTCACCCCTTGTTTTTTCTTCTCTGCAGTTATATGGAGCAGTCACCATGAACAACTTGTTGTGCTTATCAGTCTTCTTAGCACTTGTATATGTTAGGGGGCTAACATGGGATTTCTCATCAGAAGTGTTGGTTATCTTGATTGTTTGCGTTGTGATGGGAGTTTTCGGCAGTCTACGTACAACATTTCCTCTTTGGACATGTCTGATAGCTTTTCTGCTCTACCCATTCTCTCTGGCACTTGTCTATGTCCTGGACTATGTTTTTGGCTGGTCGTAGAATGTACCCTTTGTATGGACTTTTAGAGAGTCACAACAGTTCTGGAGTGAATATCGCGTTGATATCTTGAAAACATTGACAGTCACTGTCACGGAGAACGAACTTCCTAAGAACTGATATTGTACTAACGGCTGTTTTTTGCCCCTTTACATCTTCAGCTATTTTCACCTGTCATTTTTTCTCCAAAGTACTGATGCTGTCATTCTCCTTTTTGAACTTGATTGTGGAGGTTTTTGAATCTGTTTGCTACCGTCAAATTAGAGAATTTGCAATGAATCTACCATGCTTAGGTTATATCTAGGATAAATTAAGTTAGGCTTGCACACATTTTTGGGTTAATTTTGTTGAAGCATTTAGATTAACATTATTGAACAAGAAGCGTTTGATCCACTCTGAATCAAGGAAGAACACTATCTCCACCGGGTTCCAATTTGACCAATCTCTCTGAATCAAGAAAGAACAATATCTCCATAGGGTTCCACCTTATCAATTATATATTACGTTACAGAATAATCATCTTTGGACAGTGTGTTATGCATTAAAATTTTGCAATTTGGTCAATTTTACTGTCATTAATATTGGTGAAAGAAATAAATCTGACAAAATTAACGTGTTGAATCCTCTGGAAGGAACAGGAGCGTTCCAATTGAATATCAAAGCTGAGCTGATCATATTTTAGTATTCAAGTTTTAAAAGGTGACACTGAAGGATTGGAACAAAAATCAATCATAACAATATAATGATACAATCACAAGGGGTAAAAATATGGTAAATGGGGCTCCTATGCCAAAGAAAAAAATCCAATCCAACTAGCAAAACTTGAACAAAACATATGCGTTTATAAGCCGCGGAATATGAAGGCTTTAGACAACTATGTTCCATTCCACAGCACTGAATCATGAGAACTCTTTTCTACAGCATTGAAATGGGAGCACCAGAGAGGAAGGGAACCCACGGAATCTGAACCTCATTTTCTTTGTTTCCCATGGTATTTCGATCCAAGAAGCTCATATGTTCAACTATCATCAAGGTTGAGATTTGATGATCTAGTTCTATATGGAAGAAATGAGCAAGGCATTCCAGAAAGAATGATGGATGACACACTGTTCAAAACAGTAATCACGTAAGCCAGTCAAATAACTTCTAAAGTTTCAAGCTGAGATCAACTTTTTCTCTAAGTTCTCCATTGCGGTTGCATGAAGAGTTTGTAACTTGGCCAATCTCCTTTTTGGCCGCGGGGAAAAAGCTAAAGAAAGGCGGTCGGATTGCTTTACTCGTCGCCTGTTCAGGGATGCTGCCATCGCTGTTGAACTGCAATGCACACAAACTCCAGAATTACAAACACACAAAAGACAACAGAAAAAGTTGAAGCCATGTAGTACAATTGTAGAGTTAGTTCTTACTTGGCTTAGAAGACCAGAATTAGCAAAAGCATATTGTGAACGCAAATGAGAGGAAGCAGCAGGAGCAACTGCAGCTGCTGGAGGTGCCAGTGAGAGAAAATCTCCATTCAGCATTCCGTTTTCTGTTTCCTTGACTTCTGTATGGTTTGGTTCTGATAGGGCATTTGATCTTAGAGGGCCTTCTCTGTATAGCAAATGCCGAACTGTCAGAATAATGAATATACATTTATTTAGTAACTACAAGCAATAGAGCAGAATGAGATGAACCTGATGACACGAAATCCCGGATCAGTGTTGACATTACAAGTGTTGCTGCAAGACGTTGATTCCTCCGATTTCGGAACAGATGCTACACTACTGGGAGTGTATTTGAAGTGAAATGCAGGGGCTGGCGGAGTTTCCATAGTAAACGGGTATGGTCTCTTCATGCCAACCATCTACATGGAATAACAAATGGATTACAGAATGCTACAAACAATAGCAGCCAACAAACGGAAAACTGACATAATTTACAAAAAATTGTAGCTGGGTGCTTATATGCGCACAAGGGTATTTCCATCAACAAAACTTAAACTAAGTTGTTGAACAGATTAATAAAAAAGCTAAAACAAGTCAAGCAACTTAAACCAGGCATATTGATGGTAGATGAATAACTTAGTTCTGCTTGATTTCTAACACGTGGTCAATCTAACTTGTGCAATTGAACACAAAGTAATTACCTTCTCTTCATCTGGCCACAAAGGAGTATAGTTGCTGCCTGCACATAAATTTTGGTTTGAAGGGGGCTCTGTCTGAAAATTCAGAATAGAGGATGGCGAAATCCCGGATGAGATATTCACCTGCAACAATGATTAACCACTTCAATGATATCAACACACAAATAAATTGAAATCTAGAAACACTTAAAAAGTAAAGGGCCTCCTGTACTCACCATGGATGAAGAAGATTGTTGGGGAAACTGGTGGGATCTTTGCAATCCATTTGGGATAGGCATAAATGGAGTGGGAGGACCAGACTCAAAAGGCAAATTCATATTAGGCCTATAAACAAATCCATGATGATGATGATCCATCCGATGATCATTTCTTTCAAGACCACCATATTCACCATTAGTCCAAACTTTAGGCCAATTCCCCCCACCACCAGCACCACCACCACCATGCCCTGTGGGAACAGGAACTGTAGGCCAACAACCCATCTCACCATTTCCAACACTCAGTGATTTAGGAAAACGAACTGGATTAGAAGAATTCAGAACATCAACATTTGGTGGCGGGATTGTGGTTCTAAACAGGGAATTGGGTGAAGGGAGATCACTTGGTGATGGTGGCTGAAAAGGGGCTAAAGCAGAGGAAGAAGAATTAGTAGGAATAATGATACTAGGCCTAAAGGTAGGTGGAGGAGGAGGAGGAGGAGGTGGAGGAGGAGGACATTGAACAGATGATAAACAAGAAGATGAATTACTGGGTGACAACAAAACCACCCCTTTTTTCTTCTGTTCTTCCATCCTAATCTTTTCAAGCTGGGCTACACCTAACCCTCTTTGTGGTACTTTCTTCTGTTTCATCTTTTTCTGAGATCTATTACTACTATTATGATTACTCCCACCACCATTACCGTAATGATGATGATGATGGTGATGGTAATTGTAATTATTTCCTCCACCACCGGCGGCGCCGGCGCCGCCGCTGCCACTGCTACTATTACTATGCTTTTGTTGTGTTTGGTCCTCTTGAGCCATCATCATCCCCTTCTTGCTCATCGGCCATCAACTAATCACACCATCATCGTAATCGATCTAGAGGAGGATGATGATGATGATGATTTTGATTTTGATGATGATGAAGAACAATTGTAGAGAAAACCCAAAAGTGAGGACCACAATATATACAACCCACCAACTCCATCATCACTGCCACATAATCATGAGAAAGGAATGTAACAGCAAAGGCAAAATCTTTCTTAATGGGAAACCCAAAAATCCAAATCCTCCCCCTCCCCTGGAAATTTTCTCCTTTTCAGAAAAGGGAAGAAACTCTAAATGGAAAATCTAATAAGAAACGGAGGAAGAAGAAAGGAAACAAAATCTGCATTTGTGTATTAAGATTCCAGAAAATCTCGTTTGGTAATGGAGTAAACAACGGCAACTCATAAGGGAAACATTGAAGAGATTTCCAAAGTTTTTTTGAATACACACACAATGAAATTCTCCCACTCCTCTCTGAGAGAAAGAGAGAGGAAAATTGAATTAAAGAATCTGAGAACTTCGGATTTTTCTCCACACCCCAGTTGTTGTTACACTGTCTGAATTACCGATTTACAGAATCATTAAATACATATATTTACATGGAATTTTCGTCACACCCAAACCCAATAATTCCTTTTTAATGATAAATCATCAAACTATGAATGAATGAGTTCATCTTCATTTTTTATTTTTTATTTTTTGAAATAAGATTCAAACTAATTCTTTTTTACTACCAAATCTAATGCAACTACGTGAATGGAATGGACCCCTTCACAATCGTCGCCCAAATCCACGGTCTAAACTCCTAATTTTGTTCCTAGACCGACTCTTAAGAACTTCCCTCTTTCTTCTTCTTGAATTCATATATTATGTTTCCTTTTTTAGTTTTTTTTTTTTTTCTCTTTTTAATCTCCATAAATTGTGCAGAATATCACTCGGATGTGCCACTGAATCACACTCGATTTAAGCTACATTTTGTTATCTTAATTTTTGCCAATTTTTCATGCGACACCTTTCCAACGTACGAAAAACGTGGGCCCCGTTCCTCCTCAATTCCCCCCCACCACGTCCACGTAATTAAACACCATGCATGCAAAATACAGTAATAATATTAATTAATTAATCAACAACAAATTAATTAAAGCCCTTTTAATTAATTTATTTTGTCAATTTCATTTTCTAACAAAAAAATGATTCTCCTTGTTCTAACAAGATTAAGTATTAGTAGTATTTATTATGAAAAAAAAAAACTTCCTTTCCAATTAGTCCTTTCAAATTGTATTGAAGAAGGCAACCATTTAAATGATTTGGAGATGAGATATCGTAAAATTATTCCAAAATTTCAAGTTCACAAAATTTACAATCAACAGCTGTTAGTTACAGATTTAGTGGGGGGAATTCCAAATCAATTAATTTGTCAAATCAATCAAAGAATGAACGTAGCTGCCAATATTTCTTGCATAATTGCATTGGTTATGGAACTGAAAGAAAAAGAAAAAAAAAATTTCTTAGTACGCATTAGGTGACGCGGCTATTAATTATTATGCATATGGCAATATTAAGAGAATCTGAAAATCAAAATTAGGAATAAATACAAAAACCGGACTAGATTCATCGCTCAAATATGAGACATGTGAATTCCCCAGATTGTTTGCTTAAACGTAAAATAAGATTGAACTAATAATCTTCCAACTACTAAGTGATTAATTGTATTTAATGGAAAGATGTCTAACTCCCCCCCAATAAAAGAAAAGAGAAATCTTCCATTTGATTTTATTGGGGTGAGTTTAAGATAAAGAAACAGACCATATTATCTTTGGTAGGAAATCTAAAAAAATACAAGTTGGCTTTTACTATTCGGGATTGTAGCATGTGAATGCAATAATAAAATTTGACTGGTTTGGAAAACGCACCACTTAATTGATAATTACCTTTAAATATCTACGTTGAAGTTTAAGTAAGCAAATTATATACTCATTTATCCCAAAATTATTGTCAATTTAGATTTTCTACTTTTAATACAATTTCCACTAGAATTAAAAATGCAAATCAGACAATGATTTTGGATCGAAATTAAAAGAATATTATATACTCACTCCATTTCAAAATGTAAGTCGTTTTAAACTTTGAGCGATTTTTCAAAATGTTAGTCGTTTTAGCATTTCAAGGCGAATTAATAACTAATATTTTCTAACTTTATCTTCAATAAATAATTTCAATCTATTTTTTATTTTAGTCTTGTTATTCTAATGTAATTATTGAGAGGTAAAACAAATATTTATAAAAGAAATTAATTGTTAAATAATTGTCTACTTAGTTTACGTGTAAAGTTTAAAACGATTTGAATTTTAAAATGGAGGGGTAATAATTACGGTTTAGTTGACTTGAAGTTTGAACTCCGACAACAATCCACTCAATCTTTTCAATATCTTTAAAACTGGAGAGGAAAAAAAAAACCCTTTTCTAAAAGAAGTGGGAAAAAAAAAGGGAGGGAGAAAGAACATGTAAAATGTTTGGTCTATTTTTGCACGCAAAACTAGAAACACAGATTAAAATGACTAATTCTCACAATTAAAAACACAAGAATTGTTTTTTTTTTTTTATTTACATATCTGCAGGGACGTTTATCGCCAATAACATACACTAATTATCTTTATACCGATTTTAGTTGCTCACAAATGAGTTTTTCTTTTAAGAAATGTGTTATTTAGTCATCATTCGTCTGTCGGTCCATTTATATATATATATATATATATATATATATATATATATATACACACTCTGTTGAACGTGTATACAATTTATAACTGCACAATCCTTCTTGTTTTTCGTTTTTTCAAATCAAGATTCTGATAATATTTTGAATAGAGACTTTCTTGACACAAGAAGATTAGACAAACACATTGGAAAAATTTGCTGACGAATACTATAGACGAAAACTGTCCGTTTTCAAAATGTGTTAGATTGAAAAACATTTTTTTTCTTGAAATTTGGTCAATAATATATATCTTTTTAATTAAAAAAAATCAATCTTATAACAATACCAACAAACAGTTGGTTGGATCCATTAGATGATAAAAGTAATACACATTGACATATAACACCGATTCAAATTAATTGAGAGTGTGATTTTTGAACATCGCTAGTAGTAATACATTTTGGTAAACATGCAAATCAAAAAATAGAGTGTATGATTTCATCTCTATCAGGGGTTCAAGTTTTGGTTCAAACAACAAAATCTACGGGTGAGCGAACAACGCGGCTTGGTTTTAAATTCATTAATTCATTCATACGAGAAACTCATGATGCATTAAAAAGAAAATCATTACAATTGGTTAATACAATACTAGATGCTTGGCCCGGGAAGATATCCGGGCGGCCCTTCTAAATTATTATTTTATTAAAATCTAATTGAATTATTATATTTTGTGATAAGACGTATCTTTTTGAGTTGATCTTCATTCAATTTGCCCTGGTGGCCCTTCTAAATTACTATTTTATTAAAATCTAATTGAATTACTATATTTTGTGCTAAGACGTATCTTTTTGAGTTGATCTTTATTCAATTTTGTGATTTGGAAGATAATGTTGGAATAATCTGTTCTTTGAAAAATATTTTGATCTAAAAACTGAATACAGTCACGTTGGTATGCTTGATAGTTTGGTTTTCTGAAATTTGTTTCCTTATTGAACTCCTTGATTTGTGGTATAGTGGCTTGTGTTAATTATTTTAATTTTGAAATCCTTGATTTGTGGTGTACTGGTTTGTGATAATTGTGCTATTTTGTAAGATGAATTTACGATGGAATTTTTTGAAATAGATTGTGACGAAGTGGAGAAGGAAATATCCATAATTAAGGAAAAAATATTGCTAAAGAAGTGGAGAAGTGAAATTCTATTGACTGTACGATTGGACATTTGAATTTGAATTAATATATCCATTCGTTTGAAATATAACTGATCCTTATTTGTAGAATTCTTTTCACTGGGTTCGGGCCACATCTAAAATATGTGTTTTTTTTAAAAAAAAAAATTATATAACTTCTAATTAAAAGAAACTTACACGTGGCAAAAAGGCTTCAAAAATCTGAAATATAGTGCATTGAAGCCAAAACAGATTCATACGTTGTCGCCACATTAGCTTTATGTCTTCTGCTTTAATAGGGTAAATAAATTAAAAGAGACTTACACGTGACAAAAAGGCTTCAAAAATATGAAATATAGTGTATTGGAGCCAAAACAGATTCATACGTTATCGCCACATTAGCTTTATGTCTTCTGCTTTAATAGGGTAAATGGGATAACTGGAAAAAAAAAAATCATCATCGAATCTCTATTAACTTATGAGCCAAATTGATTTGGCTTTCTATAATGGTCCCACCTTATTCTCAACAAACTACCCCTAACTTATTAAGAAAATCAAAGATTTGTCTTGAAGAGGGTTCCTCCCATCATCAAAGGCAATTTGGTGCCTTTGTGGAGCCTCCCTATGACATCAAACACCTCTCTTTGTTATTTATATCTTCAAGATTTTGTTACATGTACAAGATATAGTTCTTAATATATAAGACTTCTCTTCGCCTAAGATTCTCCTACGATTTTGTGTTTTTTCCATTTATATTTTTGTTTCAATTCTAAGTTTTTTTTTTTTTTGACTGTGATACCTCATTACCTACACTTAGTAAGATTTGATCACATTTACAAGGCATAGTTGCAACCGCGTTCCTTTAGGTCCAATTTTTCTTTTTCGCTTCTCTTAATTTCATTTCGCATAAACTTTAAAATCACTTAAAATTTCTCATTGGTCTCCGACGTTACTCGATCGTTTTCATGCATCATTATTTGCAAGGAGAGAACATATAATAGAGCTCAAAAGAAACAAAAACACGTGAAAAAGAATTAAATGGCCCATATGGTACTTTAGGAAGAAGCTGATTTGAGATACAAAATCGCTTAGATTTGGATTTGATGCCAAAATCTAATGATGCAAGGGGAAAGATTATGGTACATTTATTCGCGTCATCTTTGGATGTAAAGTTGTCTTATCCAAGGAAATTGAGAGTTGTTGAATGTATGAATTTTTGGAACCAATTATAGAAGAACTCTCCAATTTTGCGATATTTTTTGGAACAACTTTCAGTAGGAAAATAATTTTTAGGGACACAATTTTGACAACTACAACTTGACTGTTTGATCCAGAATGGGCTTTTTCTTCAACAAATTTTTGAACTTTTGGCATCACAAATGCTAATAGCTCATTACACAAACATCGTACCCTCTCCTTAGTGTCCCTCCTGAAGAGGAAAACCACAATAAATGTCAAATCTTGGCGTATGAGTTTCGGTTTTACTTAGACATCTTGATGTTACAGCTTTCCTACCCTTCTTAATTTGATGTACAGAAGAAGAAGTTATTTTGTAATTTTTTACTGCCTCCTTCTCCAAATACGAGTCCACTTTGTTATCTATTGCATAATTGAAAAATGATTAGTCTAATTAATTAGGGATAAAAGTTGAAATTTTATACTTCCTCCGTCCTATAATTATTGTCCAGTTTGAATTTTCATTTTTAGTTCAAATTGTACTAAAAGTAAAATCTCAAATTGGACAATAATTTTGAGACAGAGGGAGTATTTATTAATAATTAGAACTTAATTCTTATACCACTCAAAGTGGACTTACTTATTATGAAAGAGAGGTAGCAATACATTCTTGAAGGCCCATATAAACTTATATGTAGTTCCACCTCAAAACTAATAGGCAATGAAGGAATATCACGACCCGGAGACCTTAAGAATGTGGCCGGAAGGCAGAATCGGAGAAAACATAGGTGGCCGGAGAAGGTTATAGTTGGGAATCGAAGAAAAACGAAGAAGAAGAAGATAAATTAGAATATCCAATCAATACTGAAATTTTCGATAATAATTTTCAGACCCTAAGTGACAATATATAGTCCTATAAGTTTCTAAAATTACAATCAGGCCGCCAAATTTCTAATTCCTACAATTCTAGTCTAGGGGCATGACAAACCCCTCCCCTTAAAATAGTCATGTCCCCAAGACTGTGTTTCAAAACAAACTACTAAATACAACTTCAAACAACTATGAGATAAACCTGGCAGTACAGTAAGGTTGTCTAATGCTATTAGCAGATACAACCATTGGAAAATGATACTCTTACTTGCATTAACACACTTATAGCAAGAGGTAATATAAGGTGACAAGAAACCATAACAGCCACAATGAAATTGTAACAGAACTCCTTGGATGTTGGCCGCAAGCTTGAACATCTTCATTGCTGTTGGAAGAATCCAACTGCTACTTGCTGTAGAAGCATGAAACAACAACTTCTTGAACTCCTTACAGCGGTGAGCATCAACTGTCAGCGTATTTATTTCAGCATGCAAAAGGCACAGGCAAACAACCAAGGTAACCAGGTACCAAGCTATTATCCAAACAAAATTATCATCATCAACCATTATCACCGGGTACAAGCTGTCTTCTGCACTAGTTCCATTTCCAAAACAGGTTGCATTCTGAACCCCAGTTTTTATTTCCAGAAACAAGGTACCTCCCTTGAAGCTCGTCATGATGACTTCCAAGAATCTAAGAAAGTCATTCGAACAGACCATTTGACATTCCATAATCCAAGATTTATTAAATGTCTTGCATACAATGTTCTCTACCTCAGTTTCAGTACAAGCCTAAAAAATCCATACCTGAATAGCCGAATTCTGACCGAAGAATTCATGATTACCTTGCTCGAGTATTCAGGAATCTTCAAGTCCAAGGTGATGTTGCATCAAATCTAACATAATTTTCAGACCACTCCAAACTTCCGCAACGGAACATGTTCTTTCAGAGAGCAATTTTGTTAAAGTTGCCTCGCCACGATCAAATATCTTGGTCTCAGAGTTTTCTGCACTAGAGTAGAGGAGAATAAAATGGCTTGTAACAGCTGCATTTTTGTTAAGGTAGTAGCACTGATCACTTCCCTTGACCCTGAAGAAGAAACTCCGCTTCACTTCAATTTCAGGAACATAAGAATGAAACAGGGTAGCAGCTGAGTTGTCTAGAACTTTCCATGCCCATTTTTTTATCTTCAAACTTCTTTTCTCGGATTATATGACATGAAAAAGAAGTACTATTCTCCAGTAATATTTCCTTGTTGTCATTCTCAAAACCAAAATGATCCCAGAAAACCAATTCGCATTTTTGGTTGATGCTCCAATATAAATGAAATGCAAAAAACATCCATAATGAATACCAAAAGTGTATCCACACACTTTAGACATGCCATATGACCACTCATTTGCAGTACCTCCAACAAACTCAACCAAATCATGCAAATTTAATACAACTTAAAAAATGAACCAAGTAATTTCACAAGAACAGTTCCCTGGAGTTGTACAAAATTTCTCTTTGACACAATCCACGTGGAAGGAACTATTTTCAGTCGATTCAACTCCCAAAAGCTCATTGCAGCTAGGATACAAATAGCAAAGAGATTCCCATTTCAATAAGTAATTTCGTAACCTCTGTGTTTTCAAAATTTCCCTGACAAACACCTCTTTTCAAGATATCATCATTCCAATCGGATTCCCACAGAAGATAATCGATAATTCCCTTCCCCTTAAAGGCTTCCTTGTTCTCAAGGAAGTAAAATGAATTAAAAAAATACATTAGAAGTTTTGACTGGATTCAACATTTGTTTATCTTTGAAACAGGTTCGCCCTTTGAAACATGTTATCATCAAAACCCACGGTTTTAGAGTTCCCATAGTTTCATAGCCACTAACACTATCCAACCCAACAAATAACTGAAGAAATTTCATAGTAAACCGACGATCAACAATAGTACAGTTAACATGCAAGTTCAGCACCCTACCATCATCAACAACATTCAGGAACTTTCCAACATTTCGTTGAAGGATCTCCCCTGTTTTATAAGGAGTGAAGGATATATTACCAATTGATGATGCATGTGTTGCAACGCCAGTAACCAACTCTTGGTTGGCATGTGCAGAAAACAAGGGGTTGACTTCAAAAACTTTAGATACGTGGAACTCCGGGATAAAATCTTTTGAGGAAATTTCCCAAAAGCAAAACATTTTCATCTTCTTCATAAAAGAGTCAAACCAGGGCCAAGCATCACAAAACTTTGACAGCTCAAGCAATTCAAAAGAATAATTGCCCAAATACTTAAGTGGAAAGTTATCGATTATAAACATAGATTCAGACTCCACTGTGATACCATTCACATAATAACAGTTACTAAAACAGGCAAAAAGTACTTCTCTATTCTTTTTGAGTTCAACTAAGTCACCCCTCTTCCTGTGATCTCGTGCCATGATAGTTTCAACAGCCATACTTTTGCAACCAGAGATAACATGACCATTTACATAAAACATTTCCGTAGCATTAAACAAAGGCACATAATTACTAAATCCAACAACCATTGAACTCTTAGCACTGAAAACATACACCAGTCCCAAATCTCTAACTGCATATTGAGAATTACTACACAAAACAAGGCAAAATACTCTACTCTCCACCATTGTTCCCATTTCAGAAGCAATAGTTCCACCTTTAAAACCACTCACTAGTAAACCAAACTCTCCAGCAGTAGGTTGATTAATATTACAGTTCATACAAGTGTCAGGCATATAATTACAGTCTTTCAAAGCACTAAACACACCAACAGAAAGTTCTAATCCTCCCGGATCGAATTCGGATAGCCAGCCACCATTTGAACCAATTAAAGAATTCAAAAATTCACGTGAACCAGCATTGACATCAACCACAGGATCACTTTCGTTTAATTTCATTTCACCATCATGAGTGGAATCATACTCAACAAAATATTCACTGTCACAGGCTGGTTTAACCACCATACTGCTCAAATCATCACTTAGAATCAAATCATCAACCATGTCATCAACATCAGCCTTTACTAACACAGTAGTGTTATCCAAGACAACAGAATCATGATTCGAGTCCAGAAAATTAACAACAGAGTTCATAGATTCGGTTACTTCTACACACTGAACTGAGGGATTACCATTTTCATCCAAAGTCTCCACAGAGAGGTCAGCAGGTGAATCCACATCGTTTTTTTCATCCTCTGATGCTGGCAACTCGGATTCCACCGCGATATCACCATCAAATTCTTCAATAGCGGCGACAGATGCCCCTCTTTGGCCTAACTCAGAATCGCCGGCTTCCCACACATTAATCTTCATTGTCGGTCGGATGAACTTGCCAAATCGGAGCTCCAATTTTTCGGCAAATTCCTCCCAGTTCGTCTATTGGGAAGAACATAGCAAGCCACACAAGAATTGCAAAGGTTCACCAGTTAAATAGAAGGTGGCAGTAAATATTTTCTGATGAGAGGGTGTGAAGTTATAGAAGAAAATTTTCTCTATCAAATTCAACCTCTCGGTAACGTTCTCACCGGAAAATAGGGGAATCCCGGACGGTGAAGGCTCCGGAAGATCGAAGGTCGTCGGGTCAGGCGGGACAATTTCAGAAACTGGAAGGGATGATGAGGCGCGAACTTCAGAAAGATCGAACTTCATGGTTTTAGGGATTAAAGTTGGTGCGAACGGAGAATATTAGAAATAGCAGAGATTTCAGAAATGGAGGAAGGAAGAATTGGATTTCAGAGTTCAGAGGGTTGAGAAATAGAAGGGGAAGAAAAGAGTGAACGAATCTGTGAATCCAATATAGAGACGACCAAGAATCGGCCGGCTCTGATACCAAATGTCACGACCCGGGGGCCTTAGGGGTGGCCGGAAGGCAGAATCGTAGAAAACAGAGGTGGCGGGAATCGGAGAAGAACGAAGGAGAAGAAGATAAATTGGAAATATCCAATCAATACTGAAATTTTCGATAATGATTTTCAGACCCTAAGTGACTATATATAGTCCTATAAGTTTCTAAAATTACAATGAGGCCCCCAAATTTCTAATTCCTACAATTCTAGTGTAGGGGCATGACATGGGAGTAGCACATAGGGTAGATATGTTGATCAAGTTAGGTTTCCAACTCTAATGTGGGACAAGTGTCTTTCACTTCTTTTTCAAGTTCAAAGGGATTTAACACTCCCCTCTCAAGCCCAAAGGCGTTGGACAAGACCTCTTTGAATCATTGAATTTCTTTTTGTTTTTAAGGCCCATTTTGGGGTTTTTTTTTTTGGTTTAAAGGTCCATTTCAGGTTTTTGGTTTGTTTGAAGGCCCATTTCGGGATTTTTGGTTGAAGACCCATTTCAAGTTTTTTGATTTTGTCCCAGATAAATCGCTGGGTCTATCAAAGTCCACACACAAAGTCCGCAGATTAAAACCCGCGCTGATACTATCTTGAAGGTCCATATAAATCCACATATGGTTCCACCTCAAAATTAATTGACAATGAAGGCAGTAGCACATAGAGTATATATGTTAATCAAGTTGGGTTTCCAACTCTAATGTGGGACAAGTGTCTTTTACTTACTTTTCGAGTTCAAATGGGTTTTAATACTCTTTGAATTTAGATAGAAACAACAGTATTTTGAGCTGGTTACGACATTTTCCTTTATTTGAAAACTGAGGAAACTTTGAGGGTGAAACCATTTTTTCCCTTAAGTTTGTTTTCTAAAAAGATTCTATATTATTATTATTTAACGATTAACATTTGATCTCTTAGTGGATCGTTTTGGCTGTCTTGCTTCCATATGATCTCATTTGCAAAGCTTATCTATTGAATGATAATTTATTTGCATTATCCTAAATGTAAAATTTATAATTTTAATAGAAAAATAACACTCTTTATCTCTCAAAATAAATTTTATAATATTAATCTTGTTATAAATATATTAATAATGTGAATGTCCGTAAGATAGAAGAGTTATATTAGGATTCCATGTATAGAGATAATATTTAGTTAGAACTCATATTTATTGATCTTTATCTCTATATCTACTTGTCTATAAATAGAGGCCAGTTCCTAATACACCCGAATTTTCTTTCTCTCTTATATTTCTTCTTCCTAATTTATATTTATTTTATAATACGTTATCAACACGAGACTCTAGCCAAAAAATTTTTACCACTGCTGGTGCTCATTGATTTAAAGGCCTGAAATCTCAATAAATATTTTAATTCTATCACCGCCTTAAGTTGGAAATATTTTAATTCTATCACCGCCTTAAGTTGGTGTGTATTGATTCTGAAGACCTAATACCTTTATGAATATTCTAAAGGCCTGAAGCCTTCACAAAGGTTCTAGCCACGATTGAGAAGAAGCATGAGTCTTTAGGCATTGAAAAGAAAAGGTTCTGGGATTGTGTTTTATCTACAAAATTTGTAGGGTCTTAAGTTGTTGGAAAAAACAAGTACGATGGACTGTTTTTCTTAAAGTGATTGACAAGCAGGTCCGGAGTGCCTGTGAAAAGAAAGGTACGTTGCATTCTTATTTTTTTTCCCCTTTGTTTGAGATTAAAAAGTGTGGACACATGATCACTTAGATCTTGGTTTAAACGTGTCTTGAAATTAGGATCATATAGACAAAATCATGATTATTGGAGAAGTAAATAATATTGGAAAGTAAAAGGGGAAAAATATAGTGCTCTCAAATCTCAATTTTTAGTGAGATTTTGAATAAAGAATCACACATTTGCTTGTATCATAATTGTCCTATATTATATTTGCCAATATATATTTTTTTGGTTCTGGTATCAATAATTCCTACTTGTTCCAACAAATATTTTGTTTGTTACTTTTACTCATTTGGGGATCCTTAACAAAAATGGTCCTGTATTTTTGTATGCTCAGTCTATTTGTTTGCGTTTAATTAATGTGTATGTGATGAAGATTTCGGAATGTATCTTCTTGGTTTTTTCTTCGGCGTAGTCAGATTCTTCCAAATTACTTGGAAACTTAGTTAGTGAAGTTCTCATGATTTAGGACGGAGTAAGTGTGATTTCCATCATCGAATTACCCCACGGGAATCACATGGAACTTTAAAAAAAAATAAAAGTAAAATCTCAAACTGAATTATAATTTTAAGACAGAATGAATATTTATTTTTCCATCCCATATTGTTTAATCATGTGGTGCTGTGTGATGTTGAAGTTATGGTTTGGTTGATTATGAGTTTTAAGGTATTACAAGTTTATTTATATTTATTTTGTGAATAATTCATAGATAATTTGTTTTGTGAATTAATGATCTGTTCAATGCTCCACAATTTTACTATTTGGATATCTATTTTTGAACAATTAGAAAAGTAGTCAGTGCATGAAATAAGTTTCGTTGGGGGTAGTGTGTATATTTTTAATTACCGAAGTGGAAAAAAACTGGTTTAATCAATTAAGTTCGGTTAAGTTTGGCGCGAGAAATTGACTAAGTTTGGTTTGCTCGTTCTATTTTCCTTTCGGTTTCAGTTTTTTTCTAATTTGTGAAAATTTCCCGAGTGTTTTTGGAGAATTCAATTAAATGCTCATGTAGAGTATGTAAATGAATTTTTCCATAAAATTGGACATAAATTCCGGAAGAGCATAATTTGCTTTGGTAAAGTCAAATCCACTTGAATGCTCTACAATTAAAAAGCATATGTCCATAAAGTTGGATGACAAGTATTGTAGAGCAATATTCCTTGAGAGAGTTGAAGCATATAAGTACTCCTACAGAGCAGAATTTGACAATAATTAAAGGCATATGTAATAAAAATTTCTTCATAATGATGGATGAAATTACCACTAGAGAATTAAGTATTCAATATCTCGACAAAATTATATCTATGTTCATACAGAGCAAGAATATTTTAATGGAATGATGAACATATACTGCTGAAGAGTAGGTATGCCTTATTATGGTAAATACTTCCATGAATAAGAATTTATTTGGCATACTTGAATAATATGAGCATTAGTCTCCATTAGAGAAATTATATATTTAGTTCTAGAAGAGTTTGGAGATGTATTTTAAATTGGAGAACGTGAAGTTTCTTCCTATTAATGAATTTATCATTGTCTCTGTAAGAGTAAGAGAATGGTAGAAGGAAAAGTGAATTGAGACATATTATATTCTTCAAGGTATAAAAAAAAAGGATCTAAATTGCTCTACCAACTCAACTATTTTTAAATTTAAAAATTCATCGTTTTCTCTAGCAGAGCAACGATACACTTTGCTCTTGAAAGAGCAAGTAAGGTTATGTTAAGAGGAGAAATAAAAATACACTATAATGCATTATGTCATAGCATGGATATTGAAATTTACAAAAGGTAAACCAGAAGTTTACTAGGCAATAATGATAAGAATTGAATATTGAGTGCCTGTAAGAGCAACTGTCAAATGGTCTAGTAGAATCATTTATTGCATGTGTCTTACAACTGTCAAATGGTCTAGTAGAATCATTTATTGGATGTGTTCAATTAATTAAAATCATCGCTTAAGGGAAGTAAAATCCTCATACATAATTGAAGATGTGTTAAAACACAAAAGACACTAATTATAAGCATAAGACAAAACATGCCATTATAAATATTTTCTCCAACATTGGTTTTCGGTTAGAAAACCATACATATCTATCTTCAAATATTATCTATACAATTTTTATTATAATTATTCCACCACAATGCACACAAAGATGGAGCCTCCAGAAGAGGTTAAAAAAATATGTTGAATGTTGAATGTTTGAAATTATTGATGTTGGGTTTTACTACTTAATAGACTGATCGTATTAGTTTGATGAGTTAGTTACTGCCAAAAGGGAGATTTATTAACTACTCGATTGGTTAATCGTCATTTTAGCAAGTTAGTTATCCTAATATCAGGGAAAGAAGTTAAAAAAGCCGATTCATAAATAAAATGGACAAGATCATTATCTCATTAGATCCTCCATGATATGAACCTGAAGTTCAAGAGATAATGTTTAAGACCAGATGTTTACCTGACCGAATGTGTAAATGTATCTTAATATATAAAAGACTGTTGAAACTTAGAATTTGATAATGTGTCCCTGAACTCCTGAAGGACTATCTACCACTATTGTTTAGTTAAATGTCCATTTGATGAGTGGTAGAACTATTGATTCTAGTTATAAAAATCACCATAAATGACAAAGTTTAAATCTATAGATGAAAAATACGAGTAATTAGAATTCATAAGAATCTTTAAATTTGAATAGTTTCCCACTATGATGAATCAACTTCTAGAAGAAGTATAAAAGCACTTGGGAACTTTAATGATTGATGAGATCTCA